TTTGCTAAATATTTTTAAAACATTATCTCATTTAATCATTATGTCAATCTTGCCAAGTTAAGTACTAATATTCTCATTTTACTTATGAGGAATTTAAAACAGGTTGTTATGTAACTTGACCTAATTCACACAGCCAGTAAGTAGCAGAGATTAGATTCACAATGAGATTTAGTTAAGTTATTTACCTAAGGTTAAAATGCTGTATAAGTAGAAATGAGTGTTTTTTAAAACACAGTAAAGGAAGTCCAGGAGTTCAAGACCTTTATAGGAGAGGGTAATTACTAACATCCCAGAAAAATCAAATGTATGACTTCTGACTTATTTCAAAAGGGTGTACTATTACACAGCTCATAGTCTTCATAGATTTATTCAGTAGGTCATAGAGTAATGTGTGGGCCCAAAAGAATGAAAGTAGTCAGTCTCTTCCTTCCCTTGTAAAATGGCAGAAGAAGTAGAACAAATAGGGGCAGAGAAAATAAGCATTGGAACCAGGAAGAAGGATGTAGGAGAGATGATTAGGAAAGCATTTAGAAGAAAATAGTGGGACTGTGAGTAAATGTCATCAAGAAGAAAAGATGTGTTTGCCATGGTTTACGTCTAGTTATACCTCTGTACTTAAGCATTTATCCCCTTTGAAACTAAAATCAATGTTTTCTAGAATTGATTCCATATATTCAAAATCATCTGGAGGAGCAGGTGTTGTGGTGCAGCAGGTTAAATCTCCAGTTGGGATGTCGTACATAAGAGTGTTTATTGTTAAATTAACAACTGGAGGCACTGTGCACTAACTACCCATGCAGGAACTCTGTCCTCAAAGAGTTGTATTATGAGAGTTAACAGCAAAACTTGTTCTCAAAGATTTATTTTGTTTTAGTATATCAAGTGGAGAATATTCTTATGTCTCATAAGTTTTAGTTATGCCTAAGTGTCCAACTGCATTGTTTGTTTTCTTAGGTACATCCTTAATAAGAAAACTTGTTCTCAAGGACTTATTTTCTTTTAATGTATTAAGTGGAAGATATTCCTATGTCTCATAACTTATAGATATGTCTAAGTGTTCACAAAAGGTGTATCATTCTTTGGCACTTTTTTAAAGTTAATTAAGTTTCTCAGAAAAAAAAAAGAAGTGAAATTAACTTCAAGATGCAATGACTAAATAGCACTTGTCTCAACTGTTCAGGAACAGTTTTTTTTGTTTTTTGGTTTTTTGGTTTTTTTTTGTGTGTGTGCAAATTGTTGAACTCTTTACTTAGTATAGAGTTATTTTATTTATTTGAAGGTTAGAATTACAGATCTTCCATCTGCTGATTCACTCCCTGGATAACCTCAACATCTGAGGCTGGGCCAGTCATTGTTGGCACAAGTAGTTAAGTGCCATCTGCAACACCAGCATCCTGTTGCCTTTCAAATAGATTTTTTAAAAAAAATTATTACATATTCTCATCAATGCAATAAAGTAGCATAATTATTGTCTAGAGAGAACTCACTAAACTTTCTGAGTAATGTTGATAGTAAGATGTGAGTGGCATGATCCTATAAATGACAGTGTTAAAAACATAACAGAGAAGAAATGGCATGTTTACTTTGATTGTTAAGGGAAAATGTTCTAAGCAGAAGACTACAATTACTTTTAAACAGTAATATTGACAGAAAGGAGGAATCCATACAGATGACCTTAAACAGCTTTTAGGCATCCTCCACCTCAGTAGGTTCCAACATAGGCAAAGTAAAAAATACAAATTCATATATAGCATTTGTAGACCCAAAAAAACCCAAACCATATAAAGCATATGCATAAAATACATGAAACAAATATGTACTCATATCATATGTACGATTTAATATGTAATGCAGTATTTCAAATATATGAGGCAGCTTAATGTGATTAGAAAAATACAAAGTGGTTCAAAAACCATTCCTCACCTCATTGTAGCTTTTTGTCATGATTTATATTTTCTTAATACATAGCTAGTAAATTATAGCTACTATCATTGGAAACCTCATAAATATTTTGTGTTTAATTTAAAGTTAAAAGCTATCACTCCACCCTAATGATGCCTTTTTTCTTTATATGTGTTAATGTGTATTTCCAGGGATTGGTGTGTGCTGGATTGGCTGACATGGCAAGACCTGCAGAAAAACTCAGCACAGCTCAGTCTGCTGTTTTGATGGCTACAGGTAAATTGAATATCTTCCATGTTCCAGATAGAATGTAAATTATTGTTCTTATGTTTCACATAAGTTCGTTTAGTAGTTTAGTATTTGAAAATTTATACATACACACAGAAGAATTTGATATTATCTCTAGAAAGTTCCCCGATTATGGAAACAATTAATATTCCACTTGTCCTATGAAGATTCCCTCATCAGCAGAACTGTATTTGTGTGATACTGAGTTTTAGGGACTTCATTGAAGACTCCAAGGATAGCATTTCTTTGTTCTTTCTACATTGTGTCATACTCTTACCTATAATTATTTTACATTAAGAGTAAGTATTCAGATACACTATGTCAGCAGTACCTACTTAAAGTATTTTGTTTCAACAGGGTTTATTTGGTCAAGATACTCCCTCGTAATTATTCCAAAAAATTGGAGTCTATTTGCTGTTAATTTCTTTGTGGGGGCAGCAGGAGCCTCTCAACTCTTTCGCATTTGGAGGTAAGCCTACTAAAGATATTTTTTTAAAAGGCTTCAGAAGCTACCCAGATGGCAATAATTTTTTTTGAAGATTGACTTATAATGCTAAGACAGGAATGTATCTGAAGTAGAAATGTAACATTTATGATTTCTGGAAAAGTCTTGGGTTTACAAATAACTTAAAAGCAATTTAACAGACTTGAATGTACATTATATAGTATGATAAGAATGAAGTCATTTGGTTTAATTGGAAAGTGTTCCACAATTCACTGGAAGATTTTTATTTTTTATGACTAATGATAATGATAATCTGGTCAAATATTTGAAATTGAGATATTTTGACAAGTATAGAAAGTGTGCCAGGTTTTGTGGAATAAAGTCCTTCTTGTGCTTATACTATTTCTGTTCTGTTGTAAACTGGGAGGAATAGTACATGAAAAAGCCCAGGATGTTGTAGAGGGAAATAGTCTGTGGCTCTGTAGGTAATTCTTTGAATTGGTAAGAACTGAAGAAATTACTTAGCTTCAGTAAACTTAAGTGTTTATAACCTGTTGATTCAGTAGCCTCCCTGCATCACACAAGTTGATCTTTCTGTCCGTGATTAGACAGGAACCCATTCCCAGTGGATTTTATTCTTAGTAAAAGATGCTTCATAAGTATAAACTTAAAAATTCTAAATGACCACATTTTGTCAAATTTGTTTTTTGACAGGCAGAGTTAGAGAGAGAGAGAGACAGAGAGAAAGGTCTTCCTTCCATTGGTTCACCCCCCAAATGGCTGCTATTGCCAGCGTGCTGTGCCGATCCAAAGCCAGGAGCCAGGTGCTTCTCCTGGTCTCCCATGCGGGTGCAGGGCCCAAGGACCTGGGCCATCCTCCACTGCCTTCCCAGGCCACAGCAGAGAGCTGGACTGAAAGAGGAGCGACCAGCACTGGGGTGCCGGTGCCGCAGGCGGAAGATTAGCCAAGTGAGCCATGGCGCTGGCCTTGGTCAAATATTTTTGAAGATTTATTTATTTATTTATTTGAGATGCAGAGTTACAGAGATAGAAAGGAAGAGACAGACATAGAAAGGTCTTCCATCCACTGATTCGTTCCCCAGATGTCCACAAAAGGCCAGAGATAGGCCTGTCTGAAGCTAGGAGCCAAGAGCTGCTTCCAGGTCTCCCATGCAGGTACAAGAGATCAAGCACTTGGACCATCTTCCACCGCTTTTCCAGGCCATTGGCAGGGAACTGAATCGGAAGTGGAGCAGCCAGGACTTGAACCAGCACCCACATAGGATACCAGCACCATAGGCTGAGGCTTAACTTACTATACCTCAGCACTGGGTCCTTGCCAACTTTTTTTTTTTTTTTTTTTTTTTAGGATTATTTATTTATTTATTTGAAAGTCAGAGAGGGAGAGATAGAGATTTTTCATCCACTGGTTCTCTCCCCAGATGGCTATAATGGTCAGGGCAGGGCCACACAAAAGCCAGGACCCAGAGCTGCTTCTGGGTCTCCCATGTGGGTACAGGGGTCCAAGCACTTGGACCATCCTTCACTGCTTTTCTAAGCACATTAGCAGGGAGCTGGTTGGAAAGTGGAGCAGCCAGGATTCAAACCAGCACCCATATAGGATGCTGGTGTCATAGGTGGCAGTGTTACCCGCTACACCACAACACCGGTCCCAACTTTTATACATATATTCATATTTGTCATGCTTTTATGTAGCTCAAAATTTGAAAATATTCATTGTGCAGGAAACTATCATTAATTACGATGCTAAAACTTTTCGACAGTTGGGATCTTATCAGAACCGCAAGCCAGATGCAAATGAACTCTTTAGTTCCCTTCTCCTCTATTTGTACCTGTGAGCACTTGGGAAGATTGTATTTATAACCTATAGTCACTTGGCAACTGGGAAAGAAGAAATGGAATATGCTTCCCTTTCTCAGCATAAATTTATCTATTATTGTTGGTGATTATTTTTCTTTCTGTTTTCTTTATAGATATAACCAAGAACTAAAAGCTAAAGCAAACCAATAAAAGAGTTCCTGACCACCTGAACAATCTAAATATGGACATAACCACTGGGACCTATTTGATTATTGATAAGGCAATGCTAACTGTGCTAAATTTTAGAGGGCACACAAAAAAATTTAACTAACTGGTAGCTAGTGCTTGATTCAACAGAAAAATAAAGGAAACTTTTAATAACAGTCTCTCTTTAAATATGACTAAAAGAATTTATCTCTGCATGTTAGTAGCATTTTTATTTTCTACCATTGGTCCATAATGAATCATAATTGGTCATACATACCCCCAGCCTTCTGTTCTGGTCAGCCAAAGTGTGTATATACACAAGCACACAGCTTCAAGTAAGCTGAAAGACAGTTGAAAAGTTAAACAATCTATTTAGCATGGTAGCTGTAAGTGAAAAGAAATATTGGTAGACAGTGAAAAACAGATAATGGAATGAGAACCCTTAAAATGGCCTTACACTATTTAAAGTTATTTATTTTAAAAGTATTTCAGACTATTTTAAAACTATTTAACTTGACATGAATCTTAATTTTTTTTTTTTTTGGCATATTGTATAAAATTCTTTTACAGCCTTAGATTTTCTAATAGGATTGTTATAAAGATTCATTAGGATAATTTTTAACAAAGTCTATGGCCCATACTGAGTGTTAAGTTGTTGAATTGCACCTAGTAACTGATAATAATGTAGCAGAGAAAGGACTAGAGTCAGACCTGAGTGTGCATCCCTACTCTAGGGATTATAAGCCATGACTTTGGGCACATTGAGAAAGTGCCTACCAGAGTACGTGGGCTATTAGTAGACTTTCTGTAAGTATTTGTAACCTTTATCCTCATTTTGTGAGGAAAGACAGACCATAGATTATGCCATCTTAGAGGTAATCAATAGTATGTTTGATTTGGGCCTCAGTAGAGGTCTTTTTCCTAAAACGTCTAGTGAAGCCAGGCCTCATTAGAACTATAGTCAGACTAACCAGAAAAGCAAGTTATTTCAACATCTGAACAAACAAAAGAGCATTTCAAGTAATGCTGTTACTATAGCTGATTTTAAAAATTGGCAGTGAGCAGTTGAAAATCTTACACTTCATCTTTGTCAGTTCACCATAGTCCATCTTTGGGGAGGAAGCATAGAGAATTTCACACAGGCAGAAGTGAAGAAGCTCTGAAGAGCTGACTTAGAATGCTTTCTTTTCATAAGTCTCACTGTTAAATTCATGTGTTTATTTTGCAATGGTATGCACACAAGTATGGGTTCCCTAGGTTAAGCATTTAGGAAAAACACATTATGAAATATGGCTAGACACAAAAAATTGTTAAAATATCTGTTAAATTGCCATTTCACTTTTTTTTTTTTTTTTTTCCCAATAAAACCTGTTCTATGTTGGATGGGGTTTTCTAAGTCCCACTTGGTGGTCAAATTAATTGTAGTATTTAGATGCGATCACAAGCCATGCTTCTTGTTTTGCAAGTCCTTGTTGATGGCTGAATTAGGTAAGTTCTTAATTCAGGTCTGACAGTCCTAAGTTTCAGTTCACCTGTTCCCCTTAACTAACCTCTATCCCTGAACTTTTTCAAGAGTAAATCAGAGATAATACTTTATAGGATTGTCATAAAGATTGAGATAATGTTTGAACAGTGCCAAGTCCATGATAAGTGCTAAGTAAATGTAGAAAGTCCAGGAAATGATAAGATTATTGATAGAAAGCATGCCCAGAAAGCACTCTCTTAGCCTAAGGAAGTTTCAGTTAAGCTGCAAAAAAGGTATACAGTTGACTGTCCATTTCCACGAGTTCACATTCACAGATTGAACCAACTGCAGGACAAAAATATTGGGGGGAAGTTGTATATATACTGAACAAGTACAAACCCTTTTTTGGTAATTAACACTAGTAATACTGCATGACAATTATTTATGTAACATTGACATTGTATTAAGAATTTGGGGCCAACGCTGTGGCATATTAGATTAAGCCGCCACCTGCAGTGCTGCCATCCCTTATGGGTGCCTCTTCCTGTTCCTGATGCTCCACTTCTGATCCAGCTCCTGACTAGGAGTGCTTAGGAAAAGCAGGGGAGGATGGCCCAAGTACTTGGGCACCCACATCCACATTGGAGACCCGTGGCTTTGGCCTAGCCCAGCTCCAGCCGTTGTGGCCATTTGGGGAGTGAACCAGCAGATGGAAGATTAATCTCTCTGTCTCTCTCTCCTCTATCTCTGCCTTTCAAATAAAATCAATCTTTTAAAAAAATAAAAGAATTCTAAGTGGGTCTGGCACTATGGCACATATGGCACTAAGCCACCACCTGCAGTGCCAGCATCTCATATGGGCACCCTTTTGAGTTCGGCTGTTCCATTTCCAATCCAGCTCCCTGCTAATGTGCCTGGGAAAGCAGCGGCAAGATGGCCCAGGTGCCTAGGCCTGTGCACCCACATAGGAGACCCAGATGAAGCTTCTGGCTCCTGTCTTCTGCATGGTCCAGCCCTTGCCATTGCAGCTATTTGAGGAGTGAACCAACAAATGGAAGATCTGTCTCCCTCTCTCTGTAATTCTGATGTAAATAAATAAATCTTTTTAAAAAATAGAGTCGTCTTCTTTTGGCCGGCGCCGTGGCTCAACAGGCTAATCCTCCACCTTGCGGCGCCGGCACACAAGGTTCTAGTCCCGGTCGGGGTGCCGGATTCTGTCCCGGTTGCCCTCTTCCAGGCCAGCTCTCTGCTGTGGCCAGGGAGTGCAGTGGAGGATGGCCCAAGAGCTTGGGCCCTGCACCCCATGGGAGACCAGGAGAAGCACCTGGCTCCTGCCATCGGATCAGTGCGGTGCGCCAGCTGCAGCGCGCCAGCGGCAGCCATTGGAGGGTGAACCAATGGCAAAAGGAAGGCCTTTCTCTCTGTCTCTCTCTCTCTCTCTCTCACTGTCCACTCTGTCAAAAATTAAAAAAAAAAAAATAGAGTTGTAAGTAACCTAGGGATGATTTAAAGTATGCAGAAAAAAGTACATAGGTTACCTGCAAATACTCTACCACTTTATAGAAGGGACTAGAGCATCCTCTGGTCTTAGAGTCAATCTCCTGTGGATACGGAGGGGTGACTGCTGGTAACCGAGTTGCACATCTGAGGTCATCTCTGGAACTCCTAAGGCTTTCACATTTTATAAGAAACAAGCTGCTTTGGATGAGGGGCCAAAGGCAGGATTTAGAATGCTCAGTAAGAGATCAGTTCTTTATGGGTTAGCATTCATTTCCAGGCAACACTGATGCAGAGTGTATCAGTGCTGCTGTTTCGCCATAGTACACATTTCCTTTAGACTTAAAATGATAGTGAAAAGTTGCGGGTTAACATAGATTGATCTCTACTGGAGCTTATTTATATGAGACACAAATAGAAAGCACTGGTATTTACTGAGATTGGCTCTTCCCCTAAGGGGTCCGTTTAATTATATGAAATAGGATTCTAATTATAAGACTGGTTTCTACACTAATATCAAAAAAATTCACACAACAATTAAATGAACCTCTTTGTTCCCTCCCCTAAGATAACTGTTTCACAACATTTTGAACCACAGGTTAAATTTAATTGTAGGGCTGGACTTCATGTGAGAACATTTGCTTGCTCTTCAAATTAGGCTTTTTAAAATTCAACTTTTAAATAATGTGTTCCTAAATGTTAATTGTGGTTGTAGTATAAATAAGAACAGCTAGAAAATCAAAACATGTTTTAAGCTGTTCGAAAACATATCACCCTCTTAAAACATTTTGCCAGTGCCACACTGGATTTCAGGTTATCGCTGCAATACATTGGGGTAGAAGTGGGGCCAACATTGTGGTATAGTGGGTTAAGCCTCTGCCTGAGATACCTGCATTCCCTATGGGCACTGGTTCCTGCCTCTGACTTTCAAATAAGTAAATATTTTTTAAAAACTTGGGGTACAGTATATACTTGATCAACCAGAAAGAGCAGGTATGTAATTCTTCAAACAAAAATCACCTCACAGAACTCTGTGAAGCTAATTACTCAATCTTATTGGTAAATTTGATAGCCCTGGAACAAGCCATAATAATTACAGTGTTTCCCTATGAATGGTATCAAACCCTACATTTATGATTTTTCCAATATATTCATACCTATGATAACATAATTTATAAGTTAGGCACAACAAGATATTGACAACAATAATTATGTAAAATAGAATTAGTATGACAATTTACTGTAATAAGTTATATAAATGTGGTTCTCTCAGCTGTCATGGAACAAGAAGCACACACACAGCATGGACATACACTTACACATACACATACTCATGGCCTGGACAGGGTGGCATAAGATTTCATCTCTAGGGGCCAGCACTGTAGTGTAGTGAGCCTGCAGCACCGGGATCCCACATGGGCACCAGTTCATGTCCCGGATGTTCCACTTCCAATCCAGCTCTCTGCTTATGGCCTGGGAAAGCAGTAGAAAATGGTCCAATGCTTAGGGCTCTGCACCCACATGGGAGACCCTGAAGAAGCTCCTGGCTTTGGTTTGATCCAGCTCCAGGCATTGTGGCCATTTGGGAAATGAACTAGTGGATGGAAAACCTTTCTCTCCGTCTCTCCCTGTGTGACTCTCTCAAATAAATAAGTGAAATTAAAAAAAAAAAAAGATTTCATCATACTACTGGAATTTAAGACCTATCGTTTCTGAGATTTTTCCCTTAGTGTTTTCAGGACCATTGTTGACTGTGGGTGGGGGGAGATGTTACTCTATGGACTAAAGTTGGGTGCTTGCTTCTCTTTGTAATAATCATCTATTAACTATTGCCTAATTTCATCCACCCTCCACGAGATCAGAGAAAGAGTTGTGTAAACCATTCAGGGGGGGTCATTTCATTCTCCTATGATCTTTACGCGTGTCCAGACAAAGAGGACCTGAAACTGAGCCAGCCAGTCCCTTACTTGAGCAGTAGATCACTTGGACTGGTGGGGGAGGGGAGGACAGCCAACCAATCAGATGCACAGTCACTGCACATGAAATAATGGGCTTCTGATGAGGGTGTGGCCTAGAAAAAAACGGCTTTTAGATAAAACTGTCGCTTTGTGGGCCAGCTATCGGCGGACATGACACTTCTGCTGTCTTCAGAATAATGTTTTCGTGTTTTCTGCACTCCTGAAAGATCTAGTCCCTAATCTAGGCTCTGGCTTTTCTGTAGCCTTGGAGGAGGAGGAGCAGGTATGTGTAAGTAGGAGTCTGAGTAGAAGGAATGGTTGTTGAACCAGAAGATGAAGGCAGCCCATCTGGGAAGAAGAAGACGGGCACTGGAGCTTGGAGAAAAGTGGGAGAGTCTCACGCTTGGCGGTTCAAGCTTGTGTGTATCTCTGTGTCAGGCTTTGAAGTGAAGTGAGAGCTTGAAGGCTTAATCCTTCCCCTACTTCTGGCTGCTGTATCTAACTAACCCTCTTACTCTCTTCTACAATATCTCTTTATCTGTCATCAAAACAAGTGCCACCTTTTGAAGGAGACACCAGGCAGATGCTGTATAAGAAACACACTTGTAGAACATGGTCTTTACACAGGGAGCTTCGTATTGAGAGGAATAATATAAACAAGTCAAAATATAAACAAGTCAAAAAATTATCAAGGATATTTGCACAGAAAATAAGGCACACATGTTTATGGACACCAAGTGCCATAATAACTCAGAGAAAAAATGACCATGTCTATGGTTGCCCTGCAAGCCTTCATGACAGATGACACTATCCCTTTGAATATCTTTTTTTGCACTCTTTCTTCTGAAACCTGACCCTAGGCATTGATAAATGTTAGCTGAAATCCATTAGAAAATTAGAAGATGTCTAGAAAAGACATGATCAATTCCTAGTTTCTCTTTTTGATTTTTATGTACTACTGAGTTTTCCTTAAAACAAAATGAAACAGTACTCATTGTCCTTCATTCAGAAAACTTTCTCCTGATACATTGTTGGGGACTCATTCACCTTCTTGCTGTCACTCAGGGATTCTTGGGTGCTTTCATGCTTCTCACTGCTCACTCATTTCACATTGTATTTTTTTTATTATTTTTTTTAAGATAATTTATTTGAAAGGCAGAGTTAGAGAGAGAGAGAGAGAGAGAGGAATAGACAGATCTTACATCCATTGGTTCACTCCCCAATGGCTGCAACAGCTTGGGCTGGGCCAGGCCTAAGCCAGAAGCCAAGAACCAGAAGCTTCATCCAGGTCTCGCACGTAGGTTACAGGGGCCCAAGTACTTGGGCCATCTTCCATTGCCTTTCCAGGTGCATTAGCAGGGGAGCTGAATGGGAAGCGGAGCAGCCACGACTTGAACCAGCATTCATATGGGATGCTGGCATCACAGGTGGGCACAACCCACTGCATTACGACACCGGCCTGCATTCTTGACTATAATAGGATGGGCCTAACAATTGATGAGGGCACTATGGCTATGCCTTGAAAATGTTCTAAAATTAAATACATCTTTTCTATAGGTCACAAGCATCCTCAAAGTGTCATAAAACATATGTGAATAGGAGGTAGTCTAGTATAGTAGAAAGAACATGGACTTTAAAGTCCCACAGACCTGATTTTCCAGCTCTGTAACCTAAGGCAAGTTGATATCTCAGCTTCAGTTTCTGTGTCCATAACAAGGAGATCAGGCCTACCTCTTGGTGCTGTTTGAAGGTTTAAATGAGGTGATCTATGTGGAATGCTTCACATAACAAGGCTTTAACAGATTACAATTACAGTGTGGTATATACCTATGGAAAATTAAGATCTCTATCACTAGTCATTTTCTGATATTGCACAATTTAAAGCAGATTATCTTTAAAAATGTTATTGTCCTATACATATTCATAAGAAAAATCTCCATGTTCAAGATGCCTTTGCCTTTTAGACCCATGAACAAAAGATTTTCTTCTAGTTCCACTTCTGCTTTTGTCATCTTAATCCCAAAATGTATCTACTCTCTAAGCTTAGAAATCAGCAACTTAGAAAAATCTGTTCAAGTCCTCAAATGACCTTATTTAAGGCAACAGTATCTTACTATTCATTTCATTAATCTTCCCACTAAGTACAAGGATCCTCTGTAACTTCACAGGCAGATAGTTATCCAACACTTCCTAAGACTATCCAGTTGGAGGCTTCTTCATCATATTGTTTATATTTGTCACTCAGGTCATTCTTATGGAGCAACAGGGAATAGACCTAACCCACTTTCTTTTCAGTGTTTAAACAAGCAAAACAGCCTATACTGTGCACGTGAGGAATGTGACAGATGGCCAAGAATTGAAGGGTCGTTGTAGGGTTATTAGATAAAAAGCCATGTTTGGAATATAATTATACTAAAAATTATCCATTAGTTATTTAAAATTCAAATTCGGCCAGCCCGTGTGTTCATTTGCACAACCTGGCACTCTTGCAGGTGCTAGCCAAAGAGAACAAAGTTGAGATGATGGCGCTGGTGGGGGAAGGCAACGGAGAGCAGGAGAGGGAAGAGCAGAGCCACTTTCCGCTTAGTCCTGCTCTGTGCTCAGCTCTGTGCCTGTTCAGCATCCAAGCCTACAAAAGGCATACTGTTTAAGACCACTTCTCTGAGAAAGTACCTCCCTCAAAAATAACTTTTCTTCCCTCCCTCCCATGAACTTCATTTGCTTAGCTGAACCAAATCCTAATAGGCAAAAAGGAAGAGCATTCTTTTGTTGACTGCAAAAGCCCAGGGACCTGTGTCTCCTACATACCCGCACTACCTCCACATTTCAGTCCAAATATCTGAAGACAGCTACCATTTTAACCCAACGTCACCACCATCTCCTGACTTAACGTTTCCAAACTCTTCTATCATTCCACAGATTCCATAGTCAGTGAACTTCAAGTTAAGCAGACAGACGAGTCCCAGGCCTCTGGATCAGATTTGGACAGTTTGTAAACCTTAAAATTGCATTGCATCCAAATGGCCAGTACACATGAAAAGGTACTCAATCTCAGTAGTACCATCAGGGAAACACAAGACCACAGATCCTACCACTTGCCTGCCGAGATGGCCGAAACCTAAAACGATTGACAATAGCAAGTCCCAGCTAGGTTCCACAGCATCTGAAATCTCATGCTTTTCCTGTGGGAGTATAAAGCACTGCCACCATTTGGGAAAGCTCTTTGGTAAGATCTACTAAAGTTCAGTATATGTCCGTTGGTCCAGCAATCCCACTACTAGATGAAGCACCCGAAAGAAATACATCCAGATGTTTATCAAAACACATGCACAAGAATGTTCTTAGCAACATTATTCCTAAAAGCTTAAAACAGGAAACAACCCACAGGTCAATATTAGCATAGATGAATACTTCAGTATAATCAGATCATTGACTACTATGTGGCATTGAAAATGAACAATTATTGATAAAACTACATGGTCAAGTGTCACATTTGGAAAATAAATACAAATGTAAAAACTGATCAAGGTGATCTATGGTATCAGACATAGGAGAGAAGTTATCTTAAGGAGGTAAGGGGAGAGGTAGCTGGGTGGTGACATGAGAAGGACTTCCGGATTGCTGGTAATGTCCTCTTTCTTTGTGTGAGTGAGTATTACATGGGTCTGTTTATAGTAATTCAGACTATATTCTTGTGATTTGTACATTTTCTGCATGTCTAATATGCTTCCATGAAAGTTTTCTGAAAGATAGCACTAATTTTCAGCATCTCTAGATTGCCACTTGATTTTGTTAAAAAAAAAAAACTCTATATACAACCCTCTGAATTTGTTCTGAAATTTTATTGTTGTTTTAGTTAATTGAATTATCCTAGAAGCCAGATTCTGTCATTCAATACATTAGTTCTCCTTCCAATATACAAGGGTACTTCAAAAAATTCACATAAAATAGAATTAAAATGTTTATTTTGGCAAGAAAAAAATTAATGAAAGCTTTTTCATAGTGTGCATTTGTCGTTCTGAAGAACCCTAAGATGTATATATTGTGCAATAATTAAATTAAACTAATTAACATAACCAGTTCCTCACATACTTATCTTTTTGTGTGTGTATAGTAAGAATATTTAAGGCTGGCGCAGCAGCTCAACAGGCTAATCCTCTGCCTGCGGCGCCGGCACCCCGGGTTCTAGTCCCAGTCGGGGCACCGGATTCTGTCCCGGTTGCCCCTCTTCCAGGCCAGCTCTCTGCTATGGCCCGGGAGTGCAGTGGAGGATGGCCCAAGTGCTTGGGCCCTGCACCCCATGGGAGACCAGGAGAAGCACCTGGCTTCTGGTTACAGATCAGCGCGGTGCGCCGGCCACAGCGCACCGGCCGCAGCGGCCATTGCGGGGTGAACCAACAGCAAATGGAAGACTTTTCTCTCTGTCTCTCTCTCTCTCTGTCTACTCTGCCTGTCAAAAAAAAAAAAAATTTACTATCTACTCCACTAGCAGTTTTCAAGTCCATAATATATTGTTAACTTTTTTCAATCATGTATGTCTTAGATCTCCAGAATTTATTCAGCCTCCCTTACTGAAGCTTTGTATCCTTTGACTACCAGGCCACCCTACCCCAGGCCTGGAAGCCACCGTTCCACTCTGCTTTCATGAGTTTGTCGTCTTTAGATTTCACTTATAAGAAAAGTCATGCTGTGTCTGCTTTCTTGTGCCTGGCTTATTTTACTTAGTGTAATATCCTCCAGATTCGTCCACGTTGTTGCAAATGATAGGATTTCTTTCTATTTTAAGGGTAAATAATATTCCATTTTCTTCATGCATTCATGTTTCAATGGACACTTAGGTTGGTTCCATATTTTGGTTATCAATAGTGCTGCAATGGAAATGTCAGTGTAGATACCTCTGACATTATGATTTCATTTCTTTTGGATATATGTGCAGAAATAGGATCACCAGACCATATGGTAGCCCTATTTTTAATTTTTTGAGGAACTTCCATACTGTTTTCCATGATGGCTGTACTTCCAATTATATATTCATCAAATTCCTCTAACATGCTTATGTAATCTCCCTCTGCACTGACACTGGAACACTAATAATTATATTTTCTTTATTCCTCTAACTATGTATTTTACCCACAAAGATGAGAAACTTGGTCAAATACCTTGTTAAAAGTCAATTTTACTAGAGTACATCAAGAAGATTGTGGAAAATATGTACTATGCGAAAGAAAGCTCTGCATGGATTTCAAACTTTTTTTTTTTTTTTTTTTTTTGGACAGGCAGAGTTAGACAGTGAGAGAGAGACAGAGAGAAAGGTCTTCCTTCAGTTGGTTCACCCCCACAAATGGTCGCTACGGCCTACGCGCTGCGCCGATCCAAAGCCAGGAGCCAGGTGCTTCCTCCTGGTCTCCCATGTGGGTGCAGGGCCCAAGCACTTGGGCCATCCTCCACTGCCTTCCTGGGTCACAGCAGAGAGCTGGACTGGAAGAGGAGCAACCAGGACAGAATCCAGTGCCCCGACCGGGACTAGAACCCGGGGTGCCGGCGCCACAGGTCCTCCGATTAGCCTAGTGAGCCGCAGCACCAGCCTCAAGCTTATCTTTTTTTAAAAAAGAACATTTATTTTAATTTATTTGAAAAAGTTACAGAGAGAGAAGGAGAGAGAGAGAGATCTTCTGTCGGCTGGTTCACTTCCAAAAATGGTCTCAACAGCTGGAACTGGGTCAGGCCGAAGCCAGGAGCATTATCTGGGTTTTCCACATGGTTGCAGGGGCCCAAGCACTTGGGCCATCCTCTGCTGCTCTCCTAGGAGCATTATCAGGGAGCTGGACAGGAAGTGGAGCAGCTGGGACTTGAACCAGTGCCCACATGGGACACTGGCTTCTCAAGTGGCAGTATAACCCGCCATGTGACAATGCCAGCCCCAGAAATTTATCTTTTTTTTTTTTTTTTTTTTTGACAGGCAGAGTGGACAGTGAGAGAGAGAGAGAGAGAGAGAGAGACAGAGAGAAAGGTCTTCCTTTGCCGTTGGTTCACCCTCCAATGGCTGCCGCGGCCAGCGCGATGTGGCCGGCACACCGCGCTGATCCGATGGCAGGAACCAGGAGCCAGGTGCTTTTCCTGATCTCCCATGGGGTGCAGGGCCCAAGCACCTGGGCCATCCTCCACTGCACTCCCTGGCCACAGCAGAGGGCTGGCCTGGAAGAGGGGCAACTGGGACAGAATCCGGCGCCCCAACCGGGACTAGAACCCGGTGTGCCGGCGCCGCTAGGCGGAGGATTAGCCTAGTGAGCCGCGGCGCCGGCCAGAAATTTATCTTTTAATTCCATTTCCTATGAACTTTCTGAAGTACCCTCATACTTCATAGCATTCTCTTGATTTAAAAGTTTAATAACCCTTCAAAAAAAAAAAAAAGGAAATAAGGTTACTTGCTCTCGGCTCTAAATCTATTTGACTCCTTTTAATCACTCACGCCTTGCTGCTTTAAACACTCTTAGTATTGAGTATATGTCCTCCTCTTCGCGGAGGAACGACACAGGGCCCTTCCCGGGTTTGCTGCTGGTTCTTCCCGGGTTGGCTACCGACCCTTCCACCTCCGTGGAAGGGCGGTGCCCCCTGCCACTTTCCCCACTTCCACGGGGGAGCGGCACACCGCTGGCCGGCTCTCTCGGGGGCTGCTCAGATGTTATCCGGATGTTCCCCTTACATGTTCCTGGTGCATGTTGTCTCTCTCCTCCTTTATAGTCCTCTTCCACCAATCCCAACTCTGCTACCCACACGCCGAGTACGCTGCTCTCCTCCAATCAGGAGCGGGATCAGCTCCTGCAGGTTACTGGTTGAACTGGAGGCAGCTGTGTAAAAGTTGTTTTTACTCCTCTCCCAGCGCCATATTGTGGGAGAGCAGATGCATAGAATAAGTCTTAATTCCAGTAACTTAGTCTAGTCCGAGTTGCTCCCCACAAGTATAGTAACTGTGAGGGTCCTCACAGATATTCCAGCTCCCCTCTGCACACATGGTAGCACTGTGCTTTCTCACCTATTTGAAATTAGGTGTGTGTGTTTATGTGCTTGCTTTGATCAAGCTCTGAATAGAAGTGAAATATGTCACTTCTGGGAGGAGAATGAATCTACCCTACTGCGCCCTGTGTCCCACCACCTTGGCAACCAGAATGTCCCAGTCCAGATCCTAAAGTGAGGGTAGCAACAGAGGAGACTCCAGTCAACCTACAATGGACATGTCCTGGGAGCAAGAAGTGAACAAGGAATAAGCTGTTGTTTCAAACCATTGAGGTTGTGGGGTCACTTGTTAATGCAGCATAATCTACATTATCTTGACAGACAAATCATACTGTGATGCATCGCATTTACCAGTTCCTCATCTTTTGAAATTCATGGAGCTGGCGCTGTGGCATAGCAGGTAAAACTGCCACTGGCAGTGCTGACATCCCATATGGGCGCCAGGTGGAGTTCCAGCTGCTCCAATTCTGATCCAGCTCTCTGCTGTGGCCTGGGAAAGCAGTACAAGATGGCCCAAGTGCTTGGGCCCTGCACCCGCGTGGGAGACCCATCAGCACAGCTGCAGCCATTACAGCCAACTGGGGAGTGAACCAGCAGATGGGAGACTCTCTCTCTCTCTCTCTCTCTCTCTCCCCCTCTCTTTGCATCTGTGTAACTTTGCCTTTCAAATAAATAAAATAAGTCTTAAAAAAAAAAGAAATTCAGGCAAGAATGTGCCCATTTAGAGTTTTCTATCTCATCTCTATTTTTTGAGATTTCTCACATTCAATCTATCAGCCCTCTCGGTCTCTGTGAATCTAAGTGGTCTGGGATGGGCTACTTAGAATTTATTTAAAATGACCGGGTGCTTCATCATTACTTTCTGATCTTAAATTTCAATTCTTTCTTAGCAATATATGTTACATTTTTCAGTTCTCCATGGTGGAGAAGGCAGAAACAAAAGAATTGAGTAGTATTCATATTTAACCTTTGTTCTTATTTTTCTTCTATTAATGTGCTTGATTTCAATAAAGCTTAAAAAAACTTTCTAGCTTTTCTTAACTTTAGCATTTTTTCCTAAGTCTTAGTTCATTCTAGGCATTCTCTCTCCCTTCTTAAAAGATCACATAGCACTTTGCAAATCCACTGCTTGAAAAACAATGTTTATTTCATTTGCTTATCTATGAATGGTTGCTGGTACATGCTATGGTTCTCATTGAGTTTTTAATGCTACTCTTATTTTTTAAGACCTTATTTATCTCATTCTCTGTCTTTTGTTCTCTTCCTAACAAACATTTGAATTTATCAGGGCTTTTCCTTTTAAAGCCTATCCAATATCTCACATTTGATACTCATTTTTAGAGGTTTCTATACATTTTAAAGTTTGTTTAATATATTAATGGTTCCCCTGGCTTCTGTAAAGAAATGCTTCCTTAAATCTAAACAATGCATGTGATTGTCTCACTTCTTCCTTGTAATATTTTTAAAGATTTATTTGTTTATTTCAGAGACAGAGTTACAGAGAGCGAGAGTGATCTTCCCTCCTCTGGTTCATTCCCTAAATGACCAGGGCTTGGCCAGGCTGAAGCCAGGAACCAGGAGCTTCTTCCAGGGCTCCCAGATGGGTGCAAGGGTCTAAGCATCTGAGCCATCCTCCGCTTCTTTTTCCAGACCACAGCAGGGAACTGGACCAGAAGTGGAGCAGCCAGGACCCGGACGGGTGCCCATACGGATGCTGGCACTGCAGGCTGTGGCTTTAACCCGCTATGCTACCGTGCCATCCCCTTGTAATATTTTATGTATCCCAATAAGACCCATGTCTGATTGAAATTACTAACCAGTTCCTCTGTAATGGTCAGAATTAAACCAAAACAAACAGCTCTTGTTTTTTTAAATCCTCTTGTCCTGTGTATCACTTGTTCCGAGAACAAGGATTTCTCTGAAAACCCTGGAACGCTATTTCTGTCCATGCCACTCAAGCAAGATTTCTATTTCCAGGCATGAGCATTTAATCTGCTAAAAAAAAAAAAAAAAAAGTGTTAGGAAATCCTTGTTTTCTTAGAACTAACTGGGCAGCAAATTTAAATGTAAACATTTTTTCCTTCTTCCATTATAAGACCTTCTGTCTTTCCAGCTCTCTCCCCCAACCCCCAGGCACCCTTCTGAACTCTTTCTATATATTTAACATTATACTCATATACTTAATCTCTTTCTGTATACAGGGCTCTTATACTCAAGTGCCTCCCTATAAATATTCATACACATAAGCTCATACCTACACTTATTTTTAATAAAAAAAAAAAAAACAGAAAAGAGATCAAAAGGGAGAGAGAGGAACAAGGACAAGGAAAGGCCTGTGGCAAGAGAGAGTAGTGCTACTGACCCACTTATGCCAGGACTTGCACTGTGAGGGCTAGCCCTTTCTGGAAATAGGTGTGCCAAGTTGTCTTCCCTCCTTCACTTCATCTTATTTATATGATATTTGTTTGGGTTTGGAGGTTCAGTCTGTAAGAGTTTTCATCTGCATGGCAAACTGCCCCCTCTTTTGTTTAAAAGATTTATTATTATTTATTTGAAAGGTTGATTTACAGAGAGGTAGAGCCAGAGAGAGGGAGGTCTTCCATCCGCTGGTTCATTCTCAAAATGGCCTCAACGACCAGGGCTGGGACAGTCTGAAGCCAGGAGCCAGGAGCCTCTGGGTCTTCCACATGGGTGCCGGGGCTCAAGGACTTGGGCATTCCTCCGCTGCTTTCTCAGGCACATTAGCAGGGAACTGGATCAGAAGTGGAGCAGCCGGGACTCAAACCACTGCTCATGTGGGATGCTGGCACTGCAGGCTGGGGCTTTAACCTGCTGTGCCACAGCACCAGCCCCACTTCAATGATTTCAACTCCTCCAGCATCCTCACCACTCTATCACTTTAATTAGCAGTCCAGCAGGTTAGAACCACGCCAATGGAGAAGAAACAGGGAAAGTGAGCAAATGAGTACATCTCAGATTTCCTCCCTCTCCAACTTTTCTTCTTAGAAGACCTATCTGGGGACTGCTTTCCATCAGCACAAAGTCCTCCTGCACGCTCGTTGAACATGAACACTCGAAAAGAAGAATTACAGGACCGGGCCATCGTCAGAATAGCAGCTCATTTACCGGACCTCATCGTCTATGGCGATTTCTCCCCCCAGCGACCGTCTGTGGATTATTTTGATGGAGTCCTAATGTTTGTTGATATTTCAGGCAAGTGCAAAAGGGCTGTTTGCCCCATACGAGTATGCAACAGGCTTGCAGAGCTTGGAGCTCACCGGCTGTCACAGGAGATGGCCCCCACTGAGAGCACAGGAGGGCGGGGATAAGCCGTGGACCTGGCTCCCTCTCATCTTTCCTTACCCAGAGCTTGCAGTCCATGGGCATAGGTTTAAGAAGCGCAAATCCCAGGCCTGGAACTTGAGGCTCAAGTGTCCTTGCCCCAACTTCACTGCTTGATGCCCCAAGCTCCACACACATCTCAGTCAAAACTAATCTCTTAGGAAATTGTATAACTTAAAGAAAATGTTTAAAAAATACAAAAAAAAAGTTATCTCAGGAAATGATCTCCCTAGATGATATTCACCTCTTCATAGGAAACTTGCCACCTCTCCAGAGTGTTTGAAATTCCACGTACGTGTTTTCATTACCATGGAATGAAAGTTCTCTTTCCAGTTTAAGGAATCACGGTCACCACTAAGACATTTAGAATCTGGAAGGAAGAGATGCTTTGGAGGCTTTGCCTGACCCCTATTAAAATAGTAAGCACAGACAGAGGAGGCTGTATGTCCAGCACCTGGCTAGCACGATGCTCGCTAAGAAACGCTTGCCAGTTCTTGCCAGCTGAGGCCCACCACTCTCCAGCGCCGCGCTCCTCTGGGTCTGTGTGGTGCCTCCGAGGGGCCAAGGAAAGCAGACACGCGTTTATTCCAGGTTTTACGGCAATGACGGAGAAGTTCAGCACAGCCATGTACATGGACCGAGGGGCCGAGCAGCTGGTGGAGATCCTCAACTACTACATCAGTGCGATCGTAGAGAGTGAGTGCTCCCCGGGGCTCCACCTGCAGAATTCTGGGCTGCATTGTTGCTTCTGTTTGCTGTTTGTCACAGAGTGCAGTGGCTTAGCACTCTTCCTTGTCTTCACGAAATATGCAGGAAAGCAGTCTTTGTTTGAAATATGATAGAGTAGAACGGAAGGAATATAGTCAAGTCTCACTAATCCAGACTAGCTGAAGGCAAGGCTACTGTGTGTTAGGTAAAAGGCTGAATTGCAGACTGCTTCTAAAAGAATTACAATATAATATCTTAAGTATAGTCAATATGTGCAAATTTTTTTTAAGATTTATGTATTTATTTAAAAGGCAGAGTTACAGAGAGTAAGAGAGACAGAGAGGGAAAGAAAGGTCTTCCACCCACTGGTTCACTCCCCAAATGGCAGCAATGGCCAGGGCTGAGCCAGACCAGGAGCCAAGAGCTTCCTTCGGGTTTCCTACATGGGTGCAGCAGCCCACATATACTTGGTCCTTCTTGTGCTGCTTTTTCTGGGCGACTTGCAGAGAGCTGGATTGAAAGTGCAGCCGGGTCTCAAACCTGCGCCCATATGGGATGCTGACGTCACAGGCGGTGACTTTTACCCACTACGCCACAACGCCAGCCCCTCAAACATTTTTTTAAAACTAGCATCCATATAACTCAAATGTAGTCATTAAGAGATTGTGGCATAAACAGGTAAGAGTGATTTACAATCACCTAACGGTAAGCTTCTACTGATGGATTCTGAAGCCCGCACGGCTGACGGAGACATGCGGTCTCCTTTTCTGCCTCTGCCTGCCATCTTGTGTGCATTTTTGATTTGAACTATTCCTGAGGAAACGATTCACTCTGTTCAGGTAAACTCTAAGCCTACTGTTTTATTAGACTCTAAGTTTCCTAGTAATATCTTAATGGTACTCACCAGACAAAATTAAATGCTCCTTAAAAGCGCAAACTCTGTATGATTCCTTTTTGCACCCCACTCAGCACAGTAGGTGCTCAACAAATTTGTCTTGATGCGTCAGTAACAGAAAAATGTCCATTTGTGCCATGAAACCTAAATAAACAAAATGGCAAGTGAGTGAAAAAACAGTCTCCAAATTATGATTGTGATTTCCATACTTCCTGACCTTCAATTCTCACCCACCCAACCCATGCTCACTCAAGGCCCAGTCTATAATGCATATTACTCCATAAAAAGGATTCCTGAACTGTGAGGAGGGACCTGGCGTTTAGCCAACTGGTTAAGATGCAGGTTTAGATGCCTGTATCCTGATATCAGGTATCTGGGTTCAAAGCCCAGCTCCAGCTCCTGACTCCAGCTTCCTGCTAATGTAGACGCAGCAGTGATGACTCAAGTAATTGGTCTCCTGCCTCCCATGTGGGTCGCTCTCTCTGTCTCAAATAAGTAAATAGTAGGGTCCAGCATTGTGGTGCAGTAGATTAAGCTGCAGCTGCAACACTTGCATCCCATATCAGAGGGCCAGTTGAGTCTTGGCTGCTCCACTTCTGATCCGGCTGCCTGCTAATGCACCTGGGAAGGCAGCAGAAGAGGACCCAAGTGCTCAGGCCCCTGCCATGCATGTATGAGACCAGGATGGAGTTCCTGGCTCTTGACTTCAGCCTAGCCCAGACTCTCTCCCCTCACTCTTTTGCTCTGCCTTTCAAATAAATAATTAAATCTTTAAATATACATATATATGTTTATATATATATATATTTTTTTTTTTTTTAAGGAGTTTCCTACCATAAGAGGAGGGTAGCTAGCCTTGGTCCTCACCAGAAACCCCGCCTTCTTCTTCCCTGTCTTTTCCCTTACCTGGTTCAGCATTCTCACACATGCTAAGGAAACAGACCCAAGTGGGTTAAGTGACACTGCAGCTTTAGTCTATGTCTCTTCTCTAAATTGCTTTTCTCCTGCCCAGTTTCTGTTCTAACGAGTAATCAGTTCTCACTGGCTTTAAAGAGTCAGAGTTTGATGTCATCTATTTTTGTTTTTGTCTTTGGTTTTCTCAGAAGTGTTGATTTTTGGAGGAGACATCCTGAAATTTGCAGGTATGGAGGCTTCCTGAGATGGGTGGACCGAGGCAGGAGTGTGGAGGTGCCTATGCTCTCCCAAAGGCATGTTTGAAAAGCCCATTTCTGCACAGACCTCCTACAATAGGGACCGAGTCCCAGGGCAGGCCAAGACGCCCCTGCTGTGTCTCTGTCACAGGCGATGCGCTGCTAGCCCTGTGGAAGGTGGAGCGAAAGCAACTGAAAAATATCATCACGGTGGTCATCAAATGTAGCCTGGAGATCCACGGGTTGTTTGGGACCCAGGAGTCTGAAGAAGGCCTAGATATCCGAGTCAAGATAGGTAAGCGTCTGAGAAGCCAGAGGTGCTGCACCTGACTCCCAGAGAACCAGTGGAGCTGGTACTAGCCACATGGCGTCAGCTTGAAGCAAGGTGGTAGACTGATGGGATGTCACTTTCCTCCATCCCAGTGCGAGTACTCAGGGTCAACATAAGTCAGTGAGGCTCGCAGTCCATAGTACTCACTCGACGACATCATGGTCTCATAGTCAGGATCGTCGGACAGGCAGAGTGGACAGTGAGAGAGACAGAGAGAAAGGTCTTCCTTTGCCGTTGGTTCACCCTCCAACGGCTGCCGCGGCCGGCGCGCTGATCCGATGGCAGGAGCTAGGTGCTTATCCTGGTCTCCCATGGGGCGCAGGGCCCAAGCACTTGGGCCATCCTCCACTGCACTCCGGGCCATAGCAGAGAGCTGGCCTGGAAGGGGGGCAACCGGGACAGAATCCGGCGCCCTGACTGGGACTAGTGCAAGCGCCGCTAGGTGGAGGATTAGCCTAGTGAGCCATGGCGCCAGCCCGCTGTTGTTATTTTTACAGCTTGCTGCTTGGCAGAGTTGGGCAGCATTGAGTGCAATAGAGAGTAGCTTGTCGTCATTTAGATTCAGCAATGACATGCGACTAACCATGCTCCACTTTCTAAGAATGATATGCAAACAAAGCTTAACTGCTTAGCCTGCATGGCTAAGCTGTAGAATCATACACAGAAAATGAGGATACTTCAAGAAGTTCATTTAAAAATGACACTAAAAGAGAAGTTTAGGGGTTCGGTATTCAGCTCTTTGGTTAAGATGCCTGTATCCCACATCAGTGGCCCTGGGTTGGATTCCTACCTCTCCCTCCTGACTGCAGCTTCCTGGGAGGCAGCCATGATGGCTGAAGTACTTGCGTTCCTGCCACCCACAGGGGAGACCTGGGTTGCATTTCCAGCTCCTAACTTTACTCAGCGCCTGCTGAGGCAGGCATTTAGGGAAGGGATCCATGGGATGGGAGCTTGTTTTCTTTCTCTCTGTCTCTCAAATAGATAATGAAAAGAGTATTTTTATAGGCCGGCACCACAGCTCAATAGGCTAATCCTCCGCCTACGGCGCCAGCACACCAGGTTCTAGTCCCGGTTGGGGCGCCGGATTCTGTCCCGGTTGCCCCTCTTCCAGGCCAGCTCTCTGCTGTGGCCAGGGAGTGCAGTGGAGGATGGCCCAGGTGCTTGGGCCCTGCACCCCATGGGAGACCAGGAGAAGCACCTAGCTCCTGCCTTCGGATCAGCGTGGTGCGCTGTCCGCAGCGGCCATTGGAGGGTGAACCAACGGCAAAAGGAAGACCTTTCTCTCTGTCTCTCTCTCTCTCACTGTCCACTCTGCCTGTCAAAAAAAAAAAAAAAAAAAGAGTATTTTTGTGTAAAAAAAATTAAATCTAAACATAGATTTTTTTCATAAGACACATTTTCTGTGAATTTTAAAAAATTATGTATTTATTTTATTTATTTGAAAATCAGAGCGAGAGCGAGCGAGCTAGAGCAAGAGAATCTTCCATCTGCTGGTTCACTCCCCAAATACCATAACAGCTGGGCTGGCCAAAGCTAGGAGCTGGGAATTCTGTCTAGGTCTCCCATGGAGGTGGCAGGGACCCAACTACTCGAGCCATCAGCTGCTGCCACCTGAGGTGCACACGAGCAGGAAGCCGGCCTAGAAGGCAGAGCTGGGGCTCAAACATAGGCCCTCCACAACGGGTTGCAGACTTCCCAAGTGGCAGTTTGACCACTGAGTCATACGCTTGCCTGCTTTCTGTTAACTTTATAAAGATCCATCATACACATGGATTTCCCCAAGTTTGTGCCAACATGAGCTGCTTTCCATGCCACTGTCCAGGAGCTTTGGGAAGTATAATCACACGCATTTCCACGCCGCATCACTGACTTTACGCCCATTATGTTGTCTTCATCTCACCCTAGTCCTAGGGTGGAGGCACCGTTGTGTTCTTTCCATAGGTGAGGGATGAGGTTCTGGGAGATGTGAATGGTGAGTAGCAGCTACAGTTATGGGCGGTGCAGGTGATGTTAGCGTCTGCCTTACTAATCTCTAAAACTTGAGATTCTCAAATGTGAGTGTTGATGAGATCCTCAGAGGTTATCCAATTAACTGTTTCTCAACCTTCTTTAGCTTATGCTGTCTCTTTTGATGTTATTCCAAATAAGTTAAATATTTTGTTAAGAAACAAGCTCATTCGAGTATCTTTCCAAATTAACACCTGAGGAGTCTGATGCATTACCTTTGTTGAGAAATGCTGGGACAACCTCCTTGCGTGCATGCCAACTGGCTGCCAGAGCTGGATTCCTGTACCTTTGTTGGCAGTTAATCTAAGCATCAGTGTGTTCTTCCACAGATGGAAAGAAATCCATATAGTTAGATAGATACAGACATATAGAGATACAGATATACCTATCTATATCTATATACAAAATCAGGGGAAATCACCATAGCAGAGCAATGATAAAAAGCAAACTTTGGGGCCTGTATTGTGGTACAGTGAATTAAGCTGCAGCTAGCAGTGTTGGCATCCCATATCAGAGTGCTGATTGAAAGACCAGCTGCTCTGTCTCTCAGTGAGCTTCCTGCTAATGCACCTGGAAAGGCAACGGGAGATGTCCCAAATGCTCAGACCCTGCCATCCATGTGGGAGAACAGATTGGGATTCCTGGCTTCTGGCTTCAGCCTGGCCAAGCCTTGGCTGTTGTGGCTGTTTGGAAAGTAAACCCCCCTCACCTCCTTTTCTTTCTCTCCCCTCCTCTTTGTGTCACTCTGCTTTTCAAATCAATCAATCTTAAAAAAAAAAAGTTTCATTATATTAATTAGTCATTTAAAAGAGCTGTGTATCATTTACAGTTGGGTTATACATATATTTTATATATGTCATATTTTGCAATATCTGTCTTCTTTTACTCTGGTACCAAAACCTTCCTCTCCCCACCCCAAAACAATCAGAACATTTTGGGAAGGGGACAGATGACAGTCTCCCTACCCTCTGGTTCTTCTCTGAAATTCAACCCTAAGGGCTCCTTTTGAGTTAAAGGCCCAATCTCAGATAAAATGCAGTTCTTCTAGGACCTCTGTGGTTCGAAGAGTTAAACTGAGGCCTGCAGTGCTGGCATCCCATATGGGCGGTGGTTCAAGTCCTGGCTGCTCCACCTCCAATCCAGCTCTCTGCTAATGTGCCTGGGAAAGCAGCAGAGGATGGACCAAGTCTCTGGGCCCTTGCACTTATATGGGAGACCCAGAATAAGCTCCTGGCATCACCCTGGCTATTGTGGCCATTTGGGGAGTGAACCAGTGGATGGAAACTATCTCTCTCTCTCTCTCTCTGTTTCTCCTTCTCTCTCTATCTGTAACTCTGCCTTTTTTTTAAATTTATTTATTTATTTGAAAGACAGAGTTACAGAGAGGCAGAGACAGAGAGAGGTCTTCCATCTGCTGGTTCACTCCCCAAATGGCCACAAGGACCAGAGCTGGGCCTATCCGAAGCCAGGAGCCAGGAGCTTCCTCCAGGTCTCCCACATGGGTGCGGGGGCCCAAGGACTTAGGCCATCTTGTAATGTTCTCCCAGGCCATAGCAGAGAGCTGGATTGAAAATGGAGCAGCCAGGACTCGAACAGGCGCCCATCCGGCCTGCAGGGGCTGCAGGTGGCGGCTTTACCCACTACACCACAGCAAGGGCTCCAATCTGCCTTTCAAATAAATAAATAAATCTTTTAAAAAAAAATCTCCCCCAAATAGGAATTATTAAAGTTGTTCTCTATTACCTTGAAGGATAAGTACATGGAAGAAAAGATGAGATAATTTCGGGGACTCACAGGGAGGTAAATGTTCCAGAAAGGCAAAAAACCAGTGGAGGAACTTTCTAGCTTTAAGGGAAGGTGAGTTTGGAAAAGCCTGGGCCTGGAAGAAGCATTCTCTGCCTTCTTATGTTTTAGGAATGTAATTTCACTGTGAGGCAAGATAGTCACGCCAAGATTCTGGTTTTTTCCAAGAACCAGAGCTGCTGGAAAATGACCCAGAACTTCTTGTGCAAGTCCGTCACTTATCTCTTTGCCAGGACTGGCTGCCGGCCACATCTCCATGCTGGTCTTTGGAGACGAAACACGTAACCACTTTCTGGTGATCGGCCAGGCGGTGGATGATGTGCGCCTGGCACAGAACATGGCCCGGATGAACGATGTCATTCTGTCACCGAACTGCTGGCAGCTGTGCGACCGCAGTATGATTGAAATTGAGAGGATTCCAGATCAGAGAGCAGTGAAGGTAGGCGCGACGCTGCTGCTTGCTCACGTCCTGCCCCATCCTGCCAGAGGCCCCTGTCTGGGAAGCTCCAGCGAGGGAGGCTGGCACGGGGCAGTCTGGGGAGGTTGGGCAGACGTGAGCCCTCTGTGGGGGGAGCTGAGCCCAGTGAGCTGGACGAGGAAAGGAGGAGGCTTCCCTGTGGGTAACTGAGGAAGTGGAGGTGGGCCAGTGACCTTGCTCCAGGAACAAGAAGGGTCTCATGGCCATTCCCTAGGAGAGTCATTGGAGGGTTTTCATTTTGACTACCTGCCACCCTGCTTCCCCGGGGGCCAGAGATCACCGAGGGTGGAGGGATTGGAGGAACAAGGGCAGCAAAGTTGAGGCAGGGAAGAGAGACCTTTCCCAGGGCCCTGCATCACAGGAAACACTGGGGTTAAGCTGAAGGTTGGGGCTGGCGCTGTGGTGTAGCAGGTAGAGCTGCCTCCTGCAGTGCTGGCATCCCATATGCATGCCGGTTCAAGTCCTGGCTGCTCCACTCCTACCCAGCTTGGGCCCCTGCACCTGAATGGGAGACTCAGAAGAAGCTCCTGGCTTCAGATCGGCGCAGCTCTGGCCATTGTGGCAGTTAGGGAGTGAACCAGAGGATGGAAGATCTCTCTCTCTCTGCCTCTCCTCTCTCTATGTAACACTGACTTTCAAATAAATAAATAAATCTTTGAAAAAAAAAAAAAAAAGCTGAAGGTTGACTATAAGCAGAACTGCCCTTAGAGCTTGGCCAATTAGAGAAGCTGAGCTTTGAGGGGGAGAAAGGGGAGGAAAGCTGTGTTGCTGGATGAGCCAAAGGAATGGGACTGCATAGCAGAAAGAAAGCAAGCAGAGAATCCATGTGGATGCTGCCTCTCTCCACAGCCCTCACCATCACCAGCCCCCACTCCCTCTTCAGCACCCACGCTGAGCCATCCCGCCCTTTCTCATCTTACTCATTCTTTTAACTTTCAGGATTGAATTAGTTTTTTTTAAAGTATTTATTTATTTATTTGAAAGGCAGAGTTACAGAGAGAGAGAGAGAGAGAGAGAGAGGAGAGGAGAGGCAGAGAGAGAAAGAGAGAAAGAGAAAGTCTTCCATTGGCTGTTTCACTCCCCAAATGGCTGCTGCAGCCAAAGCTGGGCTGATCTGAAGCCAGGAGCCAGGAGCTTCTTCCTGGTCTCCCACGTGGGTGCAGAGGCCCAAGGACTTGGGCCATCTTCCACTGCTTTCCCAGGCCATAGTAGAGAGCTGGATTGGAAGTGGAGCAGCCAGTTCTCGAACCAGCGCCCTATGGGATGCCGGTACTGCAGGCGGCCGCTTTACTTACTATGCCACAGCATTAACCCCTGAATTAGTTTTTTTTTTAATTTTTTTAATTTTTATTTTTAATTTTATTTTTTTGAAAGGCAGAGTTAGACAGTGAGTGAGAGAGCAAGAGAGACAGAGAGAAAGGTCTTCCTTCTGTTGGTTCACCCCCCAAATGGCTGCTATGGCCGGCGCGCTGCGCTGATCTGAAGCCAGGAGCCAGGTGCTTCCTCCTGGTCTCCCATGCGGGTGCAGGGCCCAAGGATTTGGTCGATCCTCCACTGCCTTCCCGGGCCACAGCAGAGAGCTGGACTGGAAGAGGAGCAACCAGGACAGAATCCAGCGTCCCAACTGGGACTAGAACCCGGGGTGCCGGCGCCGCAGGCAGAGGATTGGCCAAGTGAGCCGCGGAGCCGGCCTATTTTTTTATTTTTTTAAATGTGTTTTTTCTCTTTGAATGATAGTTTAGATGTGAATAGTTTACACAGCCTTTTTTTTTTTTTTTTTGAGATTTATTTATTTGAAAGTCAAAGTTACACACAGAGAGAAGGAGAGGCAGAGAGAGAGAGAGGTCTTCCATCCACTGGTTCACTCTCCTGTTGGCTGCAACAGCGGGAGCTGTGCCGATCCGAAGCCAGGAACCAGGAGTTTCTTCTGGGTCTCCAAGGACTTGGGCCATCTTGTACTGCTTTCCCAGGCTATAGCAGAGAGCAGAGAGCAACCGGGACTCAAACTGGTACCCATGTGATATGCCAGCACTGCAGGCAGTAGCTTTACCTGCTACACCACAGAGCCGACCCCTGAATTAGCTTTAAGCTTCCAGAAGAGTTGTAAAAATAACACAGGGAATTTCCACAGAGCCCTCACCCAGCTTCCGCTCATGCTAACATCTGAACATAACCAAAGAGCAATAATCAAAACCGGGAGATTAACACTGGCGCAACAGGAATGCAAATCCATGAACAGTTTCCTTATAATACATACTTTCTGTGAACTTTTTGAAGACATGGCTTTCAAAAATGTTTTGCTCTAAAACAAATGTTGCCTTTTTTGTTGTTTTTTGTTTGTTTGTTTGGACAGGCAGAGTGGACAGAGAGAGAGAGACAGAGAGAAAGGTCTTCCTTTGCCATTGGTGCACCCTCCAATGGCCGCCGTGGCGGGCGTACAAATGTAGCCTTAATTCTATGTCCACTAAATTTTTAAAGTACCCTCATAGTATTTTCTTATTAAAGACTTTATTTAAATTTCACAAGTTTTCCCACAAATGTCCTCAGTGGAATGGTCTAAGGTTCTTTTTTTTTTTTTTTTTTTAAGATTTATTTATGTATTTGAAGGGCAGAGTTAGAGGCAGAGGCAGAGACATAGATCCTCCACCTGCTGGTTCACTCCCCACGTGGCCACAACATCCAGAGCTGGGCCACTCTGAAGCCAGGAGCTTCCTCCAGGTCTTCCATGCAGGTACAGGGGCCCAAGGACTTGAGCCATCCTCCGCTGCTTTCCCAGGTCTCAACAGAGAGCTGGATTGGAAGTGGAGCAGCCGGGCTTGGGCTGGCACCCATATGGGGCACCGGCAGGGTAGGCAGCGGCCTTACCCGCTATGCCACAGTGCCGGCCCCAGGTCTAAGCTTCCATACGTGATATCCCGTTGCAGCTTGTGATTTTTTTTCATTACTGTCTTGCAGTCTGTAACAGTTTTCAGTCTTGCCCTGTCTTTTATGACCTTTACACTTCAGAAGAGCATCGATCCATTGTTTTGTATAATGTCCCTCCTTTCGATTTGCTTGATGTTTTCTCATGATTGGGTTGAGTTTATGCATTTTGGGTGTTTTTGACAAGAACACCACAGAGAAGAAGTGGCATTCTCAATGTGTCATTTCACAGAGCCCATGATCTAGATATCTTAGTGTTGATGTTCCTAGTACTTTTGGGGGGCATTATTGTCCCCTTTTCCTTCGAGACTTTTGAGATGGAAATGATGTACAGTTTAACCAGATTTTATTTGAATCAGCATGTTATGAAGAGCGGAAAAGAGCAGGAAAAAGTTCTGAGACTGCAGAACTGTCAAGCTAGTCCTCTGGAATGACCCTCTGTGTACCTACCGAATGTTGAGGTCTGCACCAACACCAGGAAAGACTGTGAATTTTCAATCTAAGATTACAGCTTTACAGATTGAAGATCTTCATTGTTTAATATGCCAAGCACTGTATCGTGTCCCAGATATTCAAAAGCATATTCCTCGACTTTGTGCTATGAAATTACACTCCAGGGACCGGCGCTGTGGCACAGTGGGTTAAAGCCTCAGCCTGCAGTGCTGGCATCTGTTATGGGTGTCGGTTCGAAACCTGGCTGCTCCACTTCCAATCCAGCTCCCTGCTAATAACCTGGGAAAGCAGTGGAAGATGGCCCAAGTGCTTGGGCCCCTGCACTCACGTGGGAGACCAGGAAGAAGCTCCTGGCTCCTGGCTTCAGATCAGCTCAGCTCCAGCCAGTGTGGCCATTTGGGGAGTGAAACAATGGATGGAAGAATTCTCTCTGTCTCTGCCTCTCCCTGTAACTCTTTCAATACATAAAATAAATCTTTTTTTTTTTAATTATACTCCAAGGATGAGACAACCCTCAGAATAACCAAAAACTTCTCTTCTTATCTTATTTAGGTTAACTTCTTAAAGCCACCCCCTTCTTTTAATTTTGATGAATTTTTCAACAAGTGTATGACCTTCATGGACTATTATCCTTCTGGTGATCACAAAAGTAAGTACCGGCCGGCGCCGCGGCTCACTTGGCTAATCTTCAGCCTGCGGTGTTGGCACCCTGGGTTCTAGTCCCGGCTGGGGTGCCAGATTCTTTCCTGGTTGCTCCTCTTCCAGTCCAGCTCTCTGCTGTGGCCTGAGAAGGCAGTGGAGGATGGCCCAAGTGCTCCTGCACCCCATGGGAGACCAGGAGGAAGCACCTGGCTCCTGGCCATAGACAAGGGCCTCTGCCTCCACCAGCAGTCAGCAGGGTCTCATTAGCTCCACCACTGGCTCAGAACTCCTTCACACTGCTCCCTCTGGTCCATGCCATACACAAAGGAGACCTGCCTGCCATTTCCTGAGTAGGGATTCTAAGCTGGCCTCCCATCCCATCCTCCTGTCTCTCCCTAGCACTGCCTCCTTTCCCTTGCTTTCCAGACATTTCTAAGTCTCTCTCATGATGAAAGACGGAAAAGGAAGAAGCATCTGCGCAGTCTGCTTTCCTCTTGTAACCTTCACCGACAACTTCCCAGAGGAGTGATCTCTGTATTTTTGGTACCTGCTCTTCCATCTCTGTTTGCCCAGCGAACGCGGAGGGCACGTGCTTCGGGGCAGATGCTCATCTGCTCTTCAGTCTTGCTCCCCTGATGTCTAAATGCTGCCCTCTTGCTCTTCTGTCTAGGAGACAGTTTATATCAAGGCCACAGAGGGCAGTTCCCTTGCCAAACCTGGTGGCCTCTTGCCAGGCTTCGTCCTTGGTGGTTCACCTTAGACTCCTGCCCTTTTCTAGGGACTGCCTTCTCCTTGAGTCCAAACCACCTGTTTTCAGTACCTTTGCTTGGTGTCTTTCCCATTCCTTGAATGCTGTCGGGTGAAGGAATCTATCCTTGACATTCTAGTCTTCTCCATTCACTTCTTGGAGAATCATTCATTCAAGCTCAACCTCCAACGGACTGCGATTGTTACCGGAAAGGACTGGAACACAGGACTTTGTCTTCCTTCAAGAAAAGCATTTCAGACAAATGAAGACAATATACCTGGCAGGCCAGGCAGGCATCCCAGCAAAGAACTAGCAGTCCAGGGGCTGGTGTTGGTAGGTTATGAATGGTAGGTTATGAGCGCTTGTTCAAGTGCCAGCTGCTCCAATTCTGATCCAGCTCCCTGCCAATGCACCTGGGAAGGCAGCAGCAAAAGATGGCCCAAGTACCTGGGCCCCTGCCGCCCAGGTGGCAGACCAGGGTGGAGTTCTAGGCTCCTGGCTTCCACCTGGCCCAGACCTGTCTGTTGTAGCCATTTGGGGAGTGAACCTCTCTCTGTGTGTCACTCTACCATTCAAATAGATCTTTTTTAAAAAGGAAGTAGGGGAAGAACTGAGAGTCTAGACTGCATTCTCTGGCATATTTCTGGCTGGAGGGCTGCCTGTGCGTGGAATTTATGAAGTTCCTCCCAGGGCTGGATCAGCACAGTGTTATTGGACCAAATAGTCCCCTGGCGCAGGGCTGGGAAGATGTTTCCAGGGGAGGGCTGGGACCCACCAAGCAGGGTTGTCTGACAGGGACAAGACTTTTGATGTGCAAATACTGGGCTGCTTCCAATTTCCTCCCTCATTCAACTGCATGTGTTTCCCTTTTTTGTTCTTTGGTGGAAGACCATGGCATGATATTTTAAAAGGCACCGTGGTACAGCAGGTAAGGCCACTACCTGCAGTGCCAGCATCCCATATGGGCACCTGTTCAAGTCATGGTTGCACCACTTCCAATCCAGCTACTTGCTAATGCACCTAGGAAAGCAGCGGAAGATGGCCCAAGTGCTTGGGCCCCTGCACCAAGGTGAGAGACCTGGAAGAAGCTCCTGGCTCCTGGCTTCAGATTGGCTCAGCTCCGGCCATTTTGGCCATCTGGGTCGTGAACCAGCAAGTGGAAGATATCAGTCTCCCTCTGCCTCTCTAGCTCTCTCTCTCCATAACTCTCTACCTTTAAAGTAAATAAATAAATCTTTAAAAAGTAAAAGGCACTCACTCTCAAGGTCCTTTAAGTTGTTTGCCTTACCTAAGTCCTGGCCCTAATGGCCAGAATTCAACCAGACTTTTTTTTTTTTATTTTTAAATTTTGGATTAACATGTAATGCATGCATATTCTAAATGGACACAACAGAACATTTCAATACTTACGTGTAGTGTAAACCAACCGTGCCAGGCAACTGGCTTCTCCATTTCCTTCTCTTTTCCTTTTGCTTGAAGTCTACCATTTCCTCTGTTCTAGTCTTTTTTTTTTTTTTTAAGATTTATTTATTTGAATGCAGAATGTGAGAGAGAGAAAAGAGGAAAGAGAGGGAGAGAGGGAGAGAGAGAGAAAGAGAGAGAGAGAGATCGATCTTCTATTCACTAGTTCACTCTGCCAAAAGCTTGCAACAGCCAGGGCTGGGCCAGGCTGAAGCCAGGAGCCAGGAGCTCCATCCTGGTCTCCCACGTTGTGGCAGGGACCCAAGTACTTGAGTTATCATCTGCTGCTATCCCAGGCACATTAACAGAAAGCTGGATCAGAAACAGAACAGGCCGGCGCCGTGGCTCACTAGGCTAATCCTGCGCCTTGCAGTGCTGGCACACCGGGTTCTAGTCCCGGTCGGGGCAACGGATTCTGTCCCAGTTGCGCCTCTTCCAGGCCAGCTCTCTGCTGTGGCCAGGGAGTGCAGTGGAGGATGGCCCAAGTGCTTGGGCCCTGTACCCCACGGGAGACCAGGATAAGTACCTGGCTCCTGCCATCGACAAAAAAAAAAAAAAAGAAGAAGCAGCAGAACAGCTAGTCTGGGACTCAAACCAGCACTCAGAGGATGCCGGCATTCCAAGAGGCCCGTTTTAATCCAGCTTGTGGTCACCGACCACCCCCTTCCTGTTGGCAATTTCTTTGTAATAATATAAAACGTGGTTGGAACCCAGAGCCCCGTACCACTCGGTTTGTGTGTTTTGGGCCCCAATAAGCCAATCCCCCCCCCCCCCCCCCGTCTTCCTGGCCTCTTGTGATGACTTTTTTTTTTTAAGATTTATTTATTTATTAGAAAGTCAGAGTTACACAGAGAGAGAGAGAAGAAGAGGCAGAGAGAGAGAGAGGTCTTCCATCCACTGGTTCAGCCCATATGGGATGCCGGAACTGCAGGTGGCGCCTTTACCCATTATGCCACTGCGCTGCCCCCCCCCCCCGCCCCAGTTTCAACCCATTTCCCCTCTTCTCATAGCTTCCCCAGCGGTTTCCTCTCCTCCATAGAGCCTGTACCTCCTACTTATTCTCTCTGCCTTTTTTTTTTTATTAAGATTTATTTATTTGAAAGGCAGAGTTACTGGGTGGGGGGGAAGGAGAGAGAGAGAAAGAGAGAGAGAGAGAGAGAGAGAGAGAGAGAGATCTATCTGCTAGTTCAATTCCCAGATGCCCACAACAGCCAGGACTAGGCGTGCCAAATCAGGAGCATGGAATTCCACCTGGATCACCTATGAGGGTGACAGGGGCCCAAGGACTTGAGCCTCATATCAGGCCTCCCAGGATGCATTAGCAGGAAGCTGGAGTGGAAGCAGAGTGGCCAGGACTAGAACCAGGCACTCTGATGTGGCGTGCGAGTATCCCAAGTGGTGGCTTCTCCCCCTCTGCCACAATGCCTGGCCCCAGGATATCATTCTTACTTATGGCAGAATAATATTTCACCATGTACATACAGCACATTTGCTTTATCCATGTATCAGTTGATGGACATCTAGGTTGAGTCCATATCTTAGTTGTTCTGAATAGTGCTACAACAAACATGGGAGTGCAGGAACTCCATCCAGGTCTCCCATGTGGGTGGCAGGGACCCAAACACTTGGGCCATCTTCTGCTGCTTTCTCAGATACATTAGCAGGATGCTGGACCAGAAGTAGAGCAGCCAGGATACGAACTGGCACCCATATGGGATGCTAGTGGGCTTTACCCGCTACACCACAACACTGGTCCCCATTTTTAGCTTTCTGAGGAAACTCCACACTGTTCTCTATAATTGCTGTCCTAATTTGCATTCCCGCTAACTGTGTTAGGATTCTTTTCTCACCACATCCTTATCAGTATTTGCTTTTTTTGTCTTTTTGTTCATAGCCATTTCTAACTGGAATGAGATGATACCTCATTGTGGTTTCATTTGCATGTTCCTGGTGTATTGCTAGTGATATTGAGCATTTTGTCATGTATTTGTGGGACAATTGTATTTCTTCTTCTGAGAAACATCTCTTGAGATCGTTTGCTTATCTCTTAGAATTGGTTGTTACTTGGTTGTTCAGTTGTTTGCATTTCTTATATATTCTGAACCTTAGTCCATTTTCAGCTGAATAGTTTGCAAATGCTTTCTCCCATTCATTCTTTTGGTGATCTCTTCACTCTTGCTTCCTTTGCTGTGCAAAGTTTTGTTAGGTTGATGTAACACCTTTTGTCTATTTTTGTTTTTCATAGCTTCCAGCCTTATATTTATATCTTCGATGCATTTTGAGTTGATTTTTGCATGGAGTTGTGGAGCATGTATAGCTTGATTCAGTCTTTTGCCAGTGGATATCCAGTTTTCTTGGCACCACTTATTGAAGAGACTGGCCTTTTTTAAAGTGTATGTTTTTGGCAACTTTGGTGAGAATCAATTGGATTCGTGGATTAACTTTTAAGATTTCTATTCTGTTCCATTTGTCTATCTATTTGTTTTTATGACAGGACCATGCTGTTTTGGTTCCAGTAGGTCTGTTGTGTGTCTTGAAATCCGGGATTGTGATGTCTCCTGCTTGGGCCTTTTTGTTCACAGCCCAGATTGTTGTCTTGCATTCTAGCACATATGTTTCTTCTGAACATACTCACACACACACAAGTAAGTAAACACCAAACAAATACACACAAACACACACATAAAAAAAAAAAAAAAAAAAGCAAAGGCCGGCGCCGTGGCTCAATAGGCTAATCCCCCACCTTGCGGCACCGGCACACCGGGTTCTAGTCCCGGTTGGGGTGCCGGATTCTGTCCTGGTTGCCCCTCTTCCAGGCCAGCTCTCTGCTATGGCCCGGGAGTGCAGTGGAGGATGGCCCAAGTCCTTGGGCCCTGCACCCACATGGGAGACCAGGAGAGGCACCTGGCTCCTGGCTTTGGATCAGCACAATGTGCCGGCTGCAGCTCGCCGGCTGCGGCAACCATTGGAGGGTGAACCAACGGCAAAAGGAAAACCTTTCTCTCTGTGTCTCTCTCAAAAAAAAAAAAAAAGGCAAAACAAAAATCCTGCCTTTGGACTGTTATCACTGGATATTAAGTAGAAACCCAATATTAACATGTATAAACTTAAAAAAAAATAGAGAAGGACAGGTCTGTCCTGTGGCAGTTAAAATGCCATTTGGGATCCCCACATCCTATATCAGAGTGTCTGGGTTTGAGTACCCACTCTGCTACCTATTCCAACTTCCTAATAATACATACCCTGGGAAGCAGTGCTGAGGGTTCAAGTACTTGAGTCCCTGCCACACATGTGGGAAACCTAGATTGAATTCTTGGCTCCTGGCTTCAGCCTGGCCCAGCCCCTGTTATTGCAGGCATTTGGGGAGTGAACCGGCAGATCAGAGATCTGTGTGTACATATCTATGTGTATATGTGTGTATTTGTATTTCAAATAAATAGATAATCTTTAAAAATGCTAAATTTTATTTGTATATTTGAGAGAGAGAGAGAGAGCCCATCTGCTGGTTTACTCCCCAGATGTCCACAACAGCTAGGGCTAGGCTAGAAGCCAGGAGCTGGGAACCAGTAACCAATACAGGTTTCTCAGGTAGTAGTAGGCGTTCAATTACCTGAGCCACCACCGTCTCCTCCAAAAGTGCGCATTAGCAGGAAGATGGAGGCAGGAGTCAGGAATGGAACCTGGGCACTTCAGTATGGCACATGGTCTCTGAACTGTGCCAAGCACCTGCCACACATATCTAAGCTTTAGCCTACTTATCCTTCCATACACACTGTTCCTTCATCTAAACCAGAAAAGCTGATATCACATGGCTCAAAACCCAGCCCTCTTGTCTCACAGTTGGTCTTTCTGGCCAGCTACCGTCCTGAATTATATCATTAGCTATAAACTCAGGTGGGATCCAAAAGGCCCACTATGTAAAACAGAGACTTTCCATTTCTTAGGAAATTCCAAGGATTTAGATGTTAGCATCCAGGCGCATGGGACAAAGACCTGTCAAATTGGTTTTTTTGTTTTTGTTTTTGTTTTTCTTTGACAGGCAGAGTGGACAGTGAGAAAGAGAGACAGAGAGAAAGGTCTTCCTTTTGCCGTTGGTTCACCCTCCAATGGCCGCCGCGGCCGGCGCATCGCGGTGATCCGGAGCCAGGTGCTTTTCCTGGTCTCCCATGGGGTGCAGGGCCCAAGGACTTGGGCCATCCTCCACTGCACTCCCTGGCCACAGCAGAGAGCTGGCCTGGAAGAGGGGCAACTGGGACAGAATCCGGCACCCCGACCGGGACTAGAACCCGGTGTGCCGGCGCCGCAAGGCGGAGGATTAGCCTAGTGAGCCACGGCGCCAGCCCAAATTGTTTGTTATATCACAAGCGCATGCAGTCATGTAGCTCTCTCTAACCACCATGGTGGTCCAGGCCTTCACAGCTCCTGCCTTCCTCCTGAGACCCTTGTCTCTCTCCATGTCGGTTCTGTGTCACTTCTTAATCTCATCCTCACATGGGACTCCAGCCTGGCTAGTCCTCACAGTCCTCCAGCACGCCACGTGCATTCTCGACATTAACCTGCTTGCTTTGCTCTGCTAGGCAAGTCCTCAATCCTTCCAGAAAACTGCCGCACCTCTGTCAAGATTCCTGAAATTCTTACCTATCCCACGGGAAGACTTTTGTAAAGAAATCAGCTCATAGAGATCACTACTTCTGAGTTTCTCTGGTCCTTGTGGTCTGTTAGGTAGCATTGTTTGTCTACTTAGCTTTTCCATATACACCATGTTTGAATACGCAACAAGACAGGAAGTATCTCAAGGGAAAAGCCCAAGTTTCCTAATTACTGTTTTAGTCCCAAAGAGTGCCTCGCATGGTGTTTTGTGCTTCACATGGTGTTTTGAACATACTAGATAACCAGTAAACACTTTCCAAGTTGAATCTGAGTTTTAATTTATATCCCTTTCAGACTGCATTTTGACTTTTCATTCCCCCCCCCCCCCATTATCATTCTGTTCCCTGCTGAAAACCACTTAGCATTTCTCCCTTATTTTTTTGGCTTCTTCAAGTTCATTCCTGTCATCTCTTACCACCCTATTCTAAAGTGTAGTGTTAGGTATTAGGATTTTAGGGTTCGAAGAAGGTGAGGAGGTGGCCAGTTAAAGTAGAGAAGACTTTATTGTAGGGGGGATGGCATGGGTGTTATGGAGGGTGGGGTTGAGCCTGCCTGGATAGAGAACAGGGTTTGAAGCCCGGCCTCATTCTGTTCGGGCAGCAGGCAGCTTGGTGGGGGAGGTGCAGAGCCCCGTGTAGACCTTGACAGTGTGGGTAGGGAAAGCACAGAAAGGCTCCTTGGTGAGGTTTACAGTGCATGTCTTAGCACTCTGGAATGTTCCAGGTGCGGGGCTTTTCAGAGCACTAAGCATTCCACTCACCTTTAGATGATCTGTGCCCAGTTTCATGGGGCCTGGGGATTCAGGCCCAGTGACCCAATGGGTTCTATCAGGCCTCGGTGGCCTAATAGGCCTGCTACATAAAACTATCAACAATTGTAGTGAATGGAGCCTTAGAAATAATGAAGCCCACCTGCTTTGTTCCCAGGTGAGGTGAGAAATAGACAACCAAGGCAGTGAAGTGATTTGTTCAGGGTCACATAGCGACTTGATAGCGTCGAAGGACAAACATCACTACAATTAGGGCCAGTTTTGTGGTGCAGAAGGTTTAGCCACTGCCTCTAACACTGGCATTCTATATCAGAGCACTAGTTCAAGTGCCAACTTCCTGCTAACGCACCTGGGAAGGCAGCGGATGATGGCCCAAGTACTCAGGCCCCTGCCGCCAACCTGAGGGGCCCAGATGGAGCTCCTGGTTCCTGGTTTCAGCCCGGCCCAGCCCCAGCTGTTGCAGCTATTTAGGGAGTGAACCAGCAGATGGAAGAGACTTCTCTCACCTCTCTCTCTCTCTCTCTTTCTCTCCCCCTCTCCCTCTCCCTCTCTCTCCCTTTCTCTGTTGCTCTGCTTTTCAAATAAATAAATAAATCTTTTTAGAAAATTACTGTAATTGAAAGATGTTAATTGACTCTTTTCTATTCTAGAAGTGGGAAGCTTCTAGAAACTTCATGAAACAGAATGTGTTCCAATAAGCCAAATAAAGGAGATTGGTTTTATAGATAGAAAACGGGTGCAGAAAGAAAAGACAGATTGGTCATTTCAAAGTTATTTTCTTTGGAAGGCAGGGACAAGGAGACAGATAATGGAAAAAGAGAACTGGTTGATATCAGATTATTTCAGTTACCTTTATTGTGTAAGGATTAAGGCAGAGGAAATTTATTACGGTGCCAGTTAATGCTGGGAGATTTGCCTCTCTCTAGTTCTGGTATTTCTGAATGGTCAGAGGAACAGCTTAGGTTCAGCCTGGTGAAGTGGAACTTCAGCTCCAGTGATTTCAAGCCTGGTCTGTTGGGGCCCAGTGCAACAAGACCACAACAGTGGCCTTTGCTAATCTTAGCAGTGTCAAGTCTGAGTTGAGAAGTGAGCTTCCTGTATCTTAATCCTGCTGCTCTGTCACCCCCTTCATTCTGTCGCCACCCCCCACCCATGGTCCTCCCCTCATTTTCCGTCCCCACCTACTGTTGTAAGAGTTTTAGATCAAGTCCAGGGGTGAAAATCTCCCCAAGTCCCAAAGCACAATGACAATTAGAATAGGGTTTTGTGCCACAGGCAGCAGAATTTTGGGAAGCCCACCTCTGAGAACTCCTCTTTGGTTTCTTTTGCTCTTCTTGGCCACTAGGTGTCCAAGAATCTCCTCCTGACTGCGCTGTGGGAACCACTGCCCAGGGGAATGGGGCCTGGGAGACCCTTTCCTCCAGCACAGACGGGCCAAGCCGTCCTGAGCCTGCTCTCTCCCTCTGCTCTCTTAGACCTCCTGAGGCTTGCGTGCATGCTGGAGTCTGATCCAGACCTGGAGTTGTCCCTACAGAAGTATGTGATGGAAAGCATTTTGAAGCAGGTATTTTCATAACTAAATGTATTGGGGTGTCAGTGATCTCTGACAGCTGGAAGAATAGATAGATAGATAGATAGGCAGACAGGCAGACTAGCAGGTAGTCAAATGTCTCACTGAAGTAAAAAGAAATTCTCTGTGTAGTTACTATAACTGTGTTGTTCAAATCAGCATACATTAAGAGCCCAAGAGGCCATAATTCATAAACCACACTGTGACATTAGGCATATGCTAGGACTGCATTGCCTTGTAGAACTGGCCAGCTGGAGCTGCTGCAAGCATATAAGAACACATGGTTACCCTTTCTAAAGGCCATATGGCAGAAAAATATCAAGTGGGTAAGTATTGGTAGAGTTTCTCTTAGTCACATGCGTTGACTCTTACAGTTTGAGATTCAACAATACAGGTGATTAGAACACATCAAACTATCTTCAAGCCCCAGAGCTTTTTTCTTTATTTTGTTGGAAAGAATAATTAATTTATTTACTTGAAAGAGAGCAAGACAAAGACAGAGAAATAACTAGCTCCCATCTGCTGGTTCACTGCCCAAATGCACACAATAGCCAGGAGCCAGGAACTCCATCCAGATCTCCCACATAGGTGGCAGAGATCTGAGGACTTAGGCTATCACCTGCAGTCTCCCAGGGTATACATTAGCAGGAAGCTGTTGGAAGTGGAGCCAGAACTGGAACCCAGCCACTCTGATATGGGATGCAGTCACCAAGCAGAATGCCCACCCTAGTTTTTTCTTTTTATTCTCTTAGATATTAACTTTCAAATATATTAATTCATGTGACTTATAACTATAATTTGATTATAATTACCGTACCCACTATATGCCAGTCATTCTGCTCATTCATGTATTAATCCTTGACGGTTCTCAGTAGATATTTTTATCCCCGCTTTCTGTGTGGGAAAACTGAGAACCAGAGTGCTACCAGGCACTTTCCTGAGGTCGTAAAGAGGTGTGGCTGTGACTTGAATCCTGGCCTGTCTGAATCCTACAATTTTTGCACAGGCTCTCTACTCTTCTAATACATGTCTTTTTTTTTTTTTTAAGATTTATTTATTTGAAAATCAGAGTTACACAAAGAGAGAAAGAGAGAGAGAGAGAGAGAGAGGTCTTCCATCCACTGATCCACTCCCCAAATAGCTGCAACGGCCGGAGCTGTGCCGATCTAAAGCCAGGAGCTTCAATTTTTTTTTTGGACAGGCAGAGTGGACAGTGAGAGAGAGAGAGACAGAGAGAAAGGTCTTCCTTTTGCCGTTGGGATATGAGAAGGATTCAGTGAGTCACTGGGAGTATTGTGGGGAGGAATCATGAACACGTGGTGAAGAGATACAGCAAAGGGGGCTTAAAAGAAGCCAAAGACAAACCTTTCATGACTTCCATAAGGCTGCCCCGTATCTAAAGAAAAGAGGTCCTAGGACTGGCATGGGAATGGGAGAGGGAGGGGGAAGAAGGGTTGGAGCATGGGCAAGAGGGAGGGAGGATAGGAAGTATCACTATGCTTATAAACATGTATATATGAAATACATGAAATGTGTGTAACTTAAGTAAAATTAAAACAACAACAACAAAAGACACAGAAATTTGCCACTTGGGATGCCTGCACTGCATGTCAGATTGCTTGGGTTTGAGTCCTGGCTCTGCTCCTGATTCTAGCTTCCTGGGAAGCAGCAGGTTGATGGCTCAAGTGGGTGTATGTTCACCACCCAAATGGGAGACCCAGATGGAGTTCCTGGCTCCCACACATTTGGGAAGTGAACCAGCAGATACAAGTTCTCCTTCTAACTCCTCTCTCTCTCTCTCTCTCTCTCTCTGCACCCTTCATCTTGCTGCCTCTCAAATAAAATAAATAAAATTTTCTGAAAAATGGAGGCCCTGGGGTGGGCATTGTGGCAAAATGGATTAAGCCACTGCCTGTGACGCTGCCATCCCATATGGGTGCCAGTTGAGTCCTAGCTGCTCCACTTCCTATGCAGCTCCCTGCTAATATGCCTGGGAAAGCAGCAGAAGATGGCCCGAGTACTTGTGCCTCTGCACCCATGTGGGAGTTCCAGATTTCCAGATGAAACTCCTGGCTCCTGGCTTCAGGGTGACCCAGCCCTGGCCATACTGGCCACTGGGGGAGTGAACCAGCAGATGGAAGATCTCTCCCTCTCTCTTCTCTCTCCCTCTCCTTCCCCCTCTTCTCTCTGTGTAATTCATAAATCCTTAAAATATATCAATAGAGGTCTTTAGAGATACAGGTGGTCCTGTTTTCCAAGCTAAAACTCTGTGTTCATGGTCTGACAGAACCGTTTTTAAGTTATTTGTGAATGAATTCACTTGAAAAATCCAAGAAAGTCATTGTGTTGGTTAGACATTATTAAATGCCCTTTTGTGAAAGGAATTAAATAACACAGAATCAAGCCCATCCTATATAGGAAGGGAGCATGGCTCTATTATCCCCTGTGCCGGTTCTTGCTTTCATCTGGCAAAGGTGCTTCACTTTGTCTATGGAGAATCGGAGACTTTTGGTTTGCTGTGCACTTGATTCAACAAAATTCAAGGCTGATGATGATTGGCAGGGATTATTTATTTATTTATTTATTTTTGACAGGCAGAGTGGACAGTGAGAAAGAGAGACAGAGAGAAAAGGTCTTCCTTTGCCGTTGGTTCACCCTCCAATGGCCGCCACGGCTGGCACGCTGCAGCAGGTGCACCGCGCTGATCCGATGGCAGGAGCCAGGTGCTTCTCCTGGTCTCCCATGGGGTGCAGGGCCCAAGCACTTGGGCCATCCTCCACTGCAGAGAGCTGGCCTGGAAGAGGGGCAACCGGGACAGAATCCAGCGCCCTGACCGGGACTGGAACCCAGTGTGCCAGCGCCGCAAGGCGGAGGATTAGCCTAGTGAGCCGTGGCGCCGGCCAGAGATGATTTAGAAACGCTCTTCTCTCTCGTCCCTGTGCCTATTGTGGGTAGGCTTGGTGAGAAGAGGAGGGCTAAATAAAATATGCCACTGTGGAGAGGCAAGAGCAGGGGGATATGGAATGTTGGACGAGGCATCTGAAGATTTGGGTTCTAGTTGGTTACTGTCTCTTCCTACCTCCAACTGGCAATATGACTTGTTTCCTTGATTCTCCATGCCTTGGAAAACTAAGCAGTAAAACAGTGATAAATAATTTTATTTCATTTAAGGGTATAGTGGGATAGAATATGAAAATATTCCAGAAGATACTGGGTTATGATATGATCTGGTTGAATTGCGTGGCACACTATTTTTATTGGAAAAGTATTTCTTTGTCTTATTGAAGTTGCTCATATTGGCACAAGGGAGCTAGTAGTTGGAGTAACAGACTGGCTGCTGGCCTAAACGTAGTGAGCATGATAAGACCCCATGTATGGCCGGCGCCGTGGCTCACTAGGCTAATCCTCCGCCTTGCGGCGCCGGCACACCGGGTTCTAGTCCCAGTCGGGGCGCCGGATTCTGTCCCGGTTGCCCCTCTTCCAGGCCAGCTCTCTGATATGGCCCGGGAGTGCAGTGGAGGATGGCCCAAGTCTTTGGGCCCTGCACCCGCATGGGAGACCAGGAAAAGCACCTGGCTCCTGGCTTCGGATCAGCGTTATGCGCCGGCCGCAGCGGCCATTGGAGGGTAAACCAATGGCAAAAGGAAGACCTTTCTCTCTGTCTCTCTCTCACTGTCCACTCTGCCTGTCAAAAATAAAAAATTAAAAAAATAAAAATTAAAAAAAAAAGACCCCATGGAAGGGATTTGGATAGTGCATTCCATTTCCATCTGCTTGACTTCAGGCGGACTGGCTTGCCTCGTTGTGCCTCACACGTTCTCATAACTTCAACTTCCCCAGAGCCTCAAAAGGCTACTTTCCATCCAGCGATGATTGTGAGTATGAGTGTAGAGAGGAAGGAGCCACTGCCAAGGACATATGCTACAGAAAGCTGCTGTGTACCTTCCAGATTGACGACAAACAGCTTCGGGGTTATCTGTCTGAGCTTCGCCCAGTGACGATTGTGTTTGTGAACCTGATGTTTCAAGACCAGAACAAAGCAGAGGTCATAGGCTCGGCCATCCAGGATGCCTGTGTGCACATCAGTTCTGTCCTGAAGGTCTTCAGAGGCCAGATCAATAAAGTCTTCATGTTTGACAAGGTAAATGTGAGCTAAGGGCGGGGGGGGGGGGGGGGGGGGCGGGAGCCAGCCAATAGTTTGCAGTTAGCATTCACAGCCAAGCACATGAGTGATTTGGAGGGAAACTAGAAATTTAACCTGGAAGTATCAGTTTATATCTATAAATAGAGTATTTGTATGGCGGGCGTAGTACTGCATCCAGGTATTGTTCCCACTTTCTCTACAGTAATTTGCTTCATCCTCATGAATACGCTAAGTAGTCGGTGCTTTTGTTGTTATCTTCATTTTCTAGGTGAGGATGCTGAGGGGGGGATGAGGGTTCCAAGACAAGGCCAGATGGAGTTTTACTCGCGATCATCCTGCTAGTGTGCATGTGTGTGTGTGTGTGTGTGTGTGTGGGACAGAGGGGGCAGGACTGAACTCAAACCCAGCTGGTCTCAGGCTGGCCTTTGCAGTCTGCACTTATTGTACTTAGCCACTTCCCACTACACATACGGTGTCTTCGGCCGGTGTGTAATTATTCCCCAGGGATTTTAGGTCAGGAAACCTTCCTACCCGGAAGCTTATTCGCTTATTCCCGATAATACCCACCTGCCATGTCATCCCCACCATCCTCGGTGGGGAAGCGAGCATGCTTCCCGCGCTCGGATGTTTCTCGCCTACTTTCAGTCAGTTCCGGGAGAGACGCTGTGGTCAACAAATGGCCACAGAAGTGTTGGTGAGAATCAGTTCCCCACGTCAGGCATTTTTGTATCTTAAGAGAAGAGTGCTGAATTGCTGCCTACATCTGCCCACTGACTTATTCAAGAAGCATTTCCTAGCAGGCTGTAATCGGGGCTGATAACTCACACACACGTGTCACTCATCCAGGCCGGAAGCACAGATCCAGGATGGGAAAGATTACCTACAGCCTGATGCTCTCTGGTACTCATTCGTGAGTATCACAAGGACAGGGCACAAACCCTAGAACCGTCTTTAGTGTCTTGCAGACATGCCTCCAAAAATTCCTGGTAGTGTGGCCTTAGCAGAAACTGGACTTACCCCAAGCCTTGGTTGTTTTCCTCTTTGAATAGGGGATTGTGTTTTCCTCAAATGAGTGCTGGAAGTTTTAAGTGATGTGTGAAGAACTGGCTGCAATGCCTGTCTCACAGTCAACAATCAGGAAATGACAACTGCTATTCTCGTTGCCAGAGTTGGTCAAGCGCCCCTTGCCAAGCCGCTCGGCACAGCTCCAGATGGAGCAGACTGGCTGGTGCCCCTGAAGAGGTTGCCCTCTGGTCTTTAAACAGACCTAGAACTGGGGCTGCACTCTTTCAAGTCCAGGCATAGCCTCAGCCCCTTTTTTTTTTTTTTTTTTTGACAGGCAGAGTGGACAGTGAGAGAGAGAGAGAGAGAGAAAGGTCTTCCTTTGCCGTTGGTTCACCCTCCAATGGCCGCCGCTGCAGCCGGCGCACCGCGCTGATCCGATGGCAGGAGCCAGGATCCAGGTGCTTTTTCCTGGTCTCCCATGGGGTGCAGGGCCCAAGCACCTGGGCCATCCTCCACTGCACTCCCTGGCCATAGCAGAGAGCTGGCCTGGAAGAGGGGCAACCGGGACAGAATCCGGCGCCCCGACCGGGACTAGAACCCGGTGTGCCGGCGCCGCAAGGTGGAGGATTAGCCTATTGAGCCACGGCGCCGGCTAGCCCCTTTTAGCTTCTGACCCTCGATCAAATTCTTTTCAGAGAGAGTTGAAGAAATTGAGGTCTTTTAGTGTTTATTTGAATTTCATCAGGCTATAACAAGTATAGACTCAAAATTGTATTCGTTTTCAGATCATTGAACTCAGGTTCAAGGATGAGCATGTAGCCTACAGATTAGGATATCAGTTGAGACGTCCGTGTCCCATGTAAAAGTACTTGGCTTTGATACTTGACTCTGGCTCCTGACTCCAGCGTTCTGCTCATGCAGACCCTGGGATGCAGCTGTGATGGCTCAAGTAATTAGGTTCCTGACACCCATATGAGAGACCTGGATTGAGTTACCAGACCCTAGCTTCAGCCCATGATTTGGGGAGAGAACCATCAAATGCAAGCTCTCTCTCTCCCTCTCTCTCTCTCTCTGCCTTTCAAATAAACAACAATTTGATAAAATAAACCCAAGTTCCATGTAATTGGCAACCAAGTTTCTGCAATTGGGAAGTGGCCTGAGAACACAGATTTTCTGATTTCAAAACGGGTGCCTGTTCCACTGCTCTGTGCTGCTTCTTCAACTTAAGCTTAGCAACATAAAACCTTGCAACATAAGATCTTGGTGGCGAGGGAGAGTAAACAGGTGAATGCACACAAATAGCTCAGCACAACCCAGACTCTCTGGAGCAGAAGCAAGGCCTCCCGAGGTGTTGATGGTGCACAAGAAGTTCTGTGAAGTTTACGAAACAACAACAACAACAACAAAACGGTGTGGGAGAAGTGCGATGAGATTGACCTAATTCAGAATGTGAAAAATGCTGCCAACGTGCAGGGCCCTCTGGCTGGCCCAGTTTGAAGCTCGCCATCCACGAGCTGCACCTGCTGACTCTCCCTACAGGGCTGCTCTTTCCTCTGTGTCTTCGGCTTCCCTGGGGAGAAGGCACCTGATGAGGTCACTCACGCTTTGGAAAGTGCTGTGGATATCTTTGACTTCTGCTCTCAGGTCCACAAAATCCAGTGAGTGTTGACCCTGATCCCAACCCGTGGGCCCTGGTCCTTTTTAAGGATGTGGAGGTGGGTGCATAGGGAATAGGGAAGGAGAAGGACTAACTTAGTTCTGTGTCTCAGCGTGGTCCTTCTTTGCATCTCCAAGCCATGCACATGCCTTGAATTGATTACAAGGGGGTAGGAGAATTCTTTGTTGAAAATCCGTTCCCACTCCTCTCTGCTCCCATTCATTACTCCCCCACCTGCCTACTTTCTCCATACTCAGTATCTGTTCATCTCTTTCCCACAACCCTCTGCATGGCACAGTACTGTCTCCATCGGTGTTGCCAGCGGGATTGTCTTCTGTGGAATTGTCGGACACACTGTGAGACACGAGTACACAGGTGCGCTGAGCCAGCTTCTCCCCATTTTCCCTTCTGCTGGGCTTGAAGGAAGGAAGCATAAAAATGAGTAAGACGTGGGCTCTGCCCTCAGGAAGTCCGTGGTCTTCCAAGTAGAACTGGGCTATGCAGCTTTGCCCATTGATAGTGTCTCCATGTTTGCCAACTGTGTCCTTCTGGGGCTATCATGAGGGTAATAATTATGTAAGTGGGGCAGATGTTAAGTCTAGTGGTTAAGACAGCTGTATCCCATATCGAAGTACCCATCTCTGGTTCCTGACTGCAGCTTCCTAATAATGTGGACCCTAGGAGGCAGTGGGGATGGTTCAACTAATTGGGTTCCTGCTGTCCAGGTTGAAGACCTACATTGAGTTCCAAGCTTTGGCTGTGGGCATTTGCCAGGTGAACCAGCTGATGGGAGTGCTCACTCATTCTCTCTCTGTCTATAAGTAATAAAATTATGAAAAAAGGGCTGGCGCCGCAGCTCAATAGGCTAATCCTCCGCCTTGCGGCGCCAGCACACCGGGTTCTAGTCCTGGTTGGGGCGCCGGATCCTGTCCCGGTTGCCCCTCTTCCAGTCCAGCTGTCTGCTGTGGCCCGGGAGTTGCAGTGGAGGATGGCCCAAGTGCTTGGGCCCTGCACCCCATGGGAGACCAGGAGAAGCACCTGGCTCCTGCCATCGGATCAGCGCGGTGCGCTGGCCGCAATGCACTGGCAGGAGTGGCCACTTGGGGAGTGAACCAACGGTAAAGGAAGACCTTTCTCTCTGTCTCTCTCTCTCTCACTGTCTAACTCTGCCTGTCAAAAAAAAATAAGAATAAAATAAAATAAATAAAAAATAAAGAAAGTAATTTGCCTGTTAACATGAGAGAGGCAATAGGTTAGGACTACTTTTTACCAACCATAAATACTGGCACTACTGAAAAGTAATATGCCTCTGAAGAGGGAGTAGTGATAAGGGGTGTTATCACCACAACTCTTGACTCGTCCTATTACTCCCCTCTTCAATCCTTTTAGGGCTTATGATGATTAGCAGTGATGCAAATAGAACAGTGAATGCACATGAAGTACTGAAATGGTCATGTTTGTCCTAGTGTCGAGCAGTACTTCATTCTACACAATAGATGTAGTGTTGCCATAGACTGAGCCAGGGAAGCTGGTTTTGTAGACAGAAAGGTGACAGAAACAGAAGCAAATTATAAAAAGCATATTGGTCATTTCCAAGTGTCTTTTTTCATAAGACAGAGCCAGCAGGACAAAACCACAGAAAGACAGATGGTTGGTTAACATCAGCTTGCTGTGCTGTGTGTAAGGATTAAAGCAGAGGGACCTTTGCTAATATGCCACTTAAAACTGGCCTACTGGGGCCAGCATCACAGTGCAGCAGGGTAAGTTGCTGCCTGCAACAGTGGCATCTCAGATTAGATTGCCATTCAAGTCCCGATCCAGCTCCCTGCGAAAGCACCTGAATAGGCAGTGGAACATAGCCCAAGTGTTTGGGATGCTGCCGGCCATGTGGAAGACCTGGAGGAAGCTCCAGGCTCCTGGCTCTGTCCTGGCCCAGCCCCGGCCATTGTGGCCATTTGGGAAGTGAACCAGTGGATGGAAGGCCCCTCCTCTGTCCCTTTCTCTCTGTCACTCTGCCTTACAAATAAATAAATAAAATCTTTTTTAGAAAATGGAAAAAAAAAGGTTTATTTTTATTTGAAAGGCAGAGTGACAGAGAAAGACACACACATACACACACACACACAGAGACAGAGAGACACACACACACACACAGAGAGACCTTGTATCCACTGGCTATTCCCCAAATGGCTACAATGGCCAGAACAGGGCCAGCCCAAAGCCAGCAGCATCTTCCAGGCCTCTCATGTGGGTAAGGAACCCAAGAACTTGGGCCATCCTCCACTGCTTTCCCAGCCACATTATCGGGGAGCTGGATTAGAAGTGGAGCATCCGGAAGGAACCAGCACCTAACTTAACCAGCTGTGCCACAGAGCCAGCCCCATAACGAGAAAGAAACTGGCTTGTTTGGAAATTTGACTGTTATCTCTCCTGATTTCTCTGAAGGTTAGATAACAACTTTGTTTTGCTTTGGTAGTTTGGAACTTTAGTATGAGAGACTCCGTTTTCATTTTTATTCTGATCTTTTTGGGGTCCGGTTCAGGAGCTTATTCCAAAGCAATGGCCTCCTTAGTTTTTAACAAATTTGAAAAAGAGTATCTTAATCAAAAGTAGTCAAGTTTATATTAAAGTGGAACATTTACTGCCTAGTTAGTGGTAACACTGAGGGCTTACTTTCATCCTGACACTGTTCAAAGTTATAAATGTGTCTTAACTCATTAATCTTCATAAGCTACTAAAATAGGTATTATTGTTGTGGGAATGAGGATTCCCAAACTACATTGTGGGGACTGAGAACCTTGGTTGGGTGCAGAGAGATCCCCAGCTAAACGTAGTCCTGGTTCTTGTCTTCCCATGTGTAAGAATACACCTGACAGAGGAGAGAGGGGGGTTTGGCAGTGCCTTGGCATAGTGGGTAAAGCTCTGGCATCCCATATGGGTGCCAGTTCCAGTCCTGGCTGCTTCACTTCCGACCCAGCTCTCTGCTATGGCCTGGGAGAGCAGTAAAAGATGGCCCAAGTCCTTGGGCCCCAGCACCTGCGTGGGAGACCTAGGTGAAGAAGCTCCTCACTCCTTACTTTGGATCAGCGCAGCTCTGGCCATTGCAGCTAACTGGAGAGTGAAGCAGCGGAAGGAAGACCCCTCTCTCTGCCTCTCCTTCCCTCTCTGTGTAATTTTGCCTTTCAAATAAATAAATACATCTTTTAACAAAATAAAAAGAAAAAAGAAAAAAAAAGAGTACAACTGGGAGACGTAGACAGAGCATAAAAGCAGGATTTATTGAAAGAAAAAGATAGCACATACTCAGACATGAGAGTGGAAATCTTAAAAGAGCAAATTTCCCCCAGGCTGGGGTCATTCTTTCATAGGGTAGAGGGGGTGCCCAGGGAGAGCCTGATTGAAGTTCCAAAGGAGGAAGGGTGGGGGTGGGGCTGCATCCCACGTGGCAGTCTCCAGGAAATGGATGGAAAGTGAGGTTTAGCTGCATGATGAAGAGTGAGTATGCCGAGCGTTCAACCATGTTGACTTGGCGTGGAAGATGATGGGGTTTGGGTGGTGCAGGTGGCTTGGATGTCGGCAGTCCTTAGCTCCTAATCCCTGCCTCATCCACATCACGTTTGTCATCCCCATTTTATAGATTAGGAAACTAAGGCATGAAGAGCTAAAGTAGTTTGCCCACACACTTTGCCCATCATGGTTAGCAATAAAGTTGAGGCCCACAGTCTCTGCACTACCGTGCGTCAGTGTCTCCTACATCATCCCCTTCCAGCTCCATTTACTCATAAGAAATTACCAAATGGGGGCTGGCACTGTGGCTCACTTGGTTGATCCTCCACTGGCATCCCATATGGGCACTGGGTTCTAGTCCTGGTTGCTCCTCTTCCAGTCCAGCTCTCTGCTGTGGCCCAGGAGGCAGTAGAAGATGGCCCAAGTGCTTGGGCCCCTGCACCCACATGGGAGACCAGGAGGAAGCACCTGGCTCCTGGCTTCGTAGCAGCCATTTGGGGGGTGAACCAATGGAAGGAAGACCTTTCTCTCTGTCTCTCTCACTGTCTAACTCTGCCTGTCAAATAAATAAATTAAAAAAAAAAAGAAATTACCAAATGAAGGTTCATTTGCAGGAGCATACAGACACATTTTTGTGCTTTGTCCAGGGAGTGATATACAACAGGCCCCAACCCTGGCTGGAGGAGTTGCTATAGAACCCCCCAAACTGGGTCCACTGGCCAGACATGCTCAGAATGGTAGAAGAAAGGAGGCATTTATTACAGAGTGCAGAGCAAGGAGCCAGGCAGTTATCAATTCTCAGGCTCCCTGAAGGGTTAGGAGCACAGAGGGTCTTGGATTGAAGTTTGGGCTGAGAGATGTGTGTTCAGCTTGTGTCCAAGCCCTGGTTGGTCTGGCTTTCTTTTACTTATTTTTTAAAGATTTATTAATATATTTGAAAGGCAGAGTATGAGAGAGAGGGAGGGAGGGAGAAATGGAGGGAGGGAGGGAGGGAGAGATCTTCCATCTTCTGGTTCACACCCCAAGTGGCTGCAACAGCTGGGGCTAGGCCAGGCTAAAGCCAGGAGCCTTGAACTCCATTTGGGTTTCCTACATGGTGGCAGGTGCCCAAACACTTGGGCCATCTTCTGCTACTATCTTGGGTGCATTAACAGGGAGCTGGATCAGAAGTGGAGCAGCAGGATTCAAATGGCACTTATATAGGATGTTAGCACCATGGGCGGTGGTTTAATCCATCTGCCATACCACTGGCCCCTCTCGGCTCTTCTTGATTGGTCAGTGACATCTTGTTCTTTATGATGGACAAGGGGGCTTCAGTGAATCTGGGGGCCACATACAGGTGGTAGTTACATCCTGCCCTGGGTGTGGAATCTCCTCTGCACACATACACACACACACATACACACACACACACACATACAGACACACACACACACATCCCTCAAGCCAATACCTTACTTTTGGGAGAAATGTAACCTCATGATAGATGCACCAGTTCCTCAACTCAGTGATTTTAGTAAGATGTTGATTTGCAATCAAACAACAGGGCAGGGACACCTTAAGCTAAGGGAGGGAGACTGGGCAGATGGGACCTGGTGATATCTAGCATCTGCATTCCAAATGCTGCAAGGGGTCAGTTTCGGGGTCAGTACTCCTTGGGTGTGCTTGTGTTTGTCCACCTTGTAGAAGATCAATTACCCCTTATCTGAGAGCCCGCCCAGCCTGTGATTTTCCCACTTAGAAAATCCAGTCTGTATTTAAGATCTTTGCATCCCTGAGCAGATCATTCTCTTTGCCTCCAGGGTGTAGTACTAACTTTGTCAATGGCTAATTGCATTAAATTCTTGCATATTTTAAAGGTAGCCATGGGTGGAACTCAGATAGCTGAAGGCTGGACTTGAGTACAGTTCACAAGAGGCAAAGGGGGTAAAGGGTAAAGTGACACTTGGGGACAATATCCCCAGATTACTTGCAGTGCAGTGACTGTTCTTTGACTTTCTCCTTCCTGTTGTAGTCATTGGTCAAAAAGTCAACATAGCTGCCAGGATGATGATGTACTACCCGGGAATCGTGACCTGTGACTCCGTCACCTACAATGGCAGCAACCTACCACCCTACTTTTTTAAAGAGCTCCCAAAGAAACTTATGAAAGGTGTTGGCGATTCTGGACCAGTCTATCAGTGTTTGGGACTTAATGAGAAAGTGTGAGTATGGGGCGTGTGTGTGTGTGTGTGTGTGTGTGTTTGGAAAGAAATGGGAGAATGATGATAGTGAAGCAAGCAGTCATCCATTTGTGATTTTGCAGCCATTTTATGAATTGAAATCTAATTTTTCTCCAGACCAAGGTCCTGACTTCAAAATCTGTCATCTCCCCTCCACCCTATGCTATTACCCCCTCAGATCTGAGAATCTGAGAGTGATTCGTCAAAGGTTATGGACACAGAGCATAGAATGCCCTCTGTTTGAATACCTACGTGCACCCATGTACCCGGATGGACCAAAATCACCCACCATTAAATATTTACATATTAGCCAACTGTATGCCCAGGCATTAATTGAGTTTGAAGAGTATAAGGTACTGTTTTTATTCTAGATCTTTAGTGAAAAACATTAGCCATAAGCCTGGCTTCGTTGTGTAAATACCACCTTGGACTTAAAATTCTTCAAAGGCTTTCAACCATTTTCATGATGATGTTCAAATTCCTGGTGGTGACATGCAAGGTCAACAGCTGCCTTCCCAACCTCATCTCTCCCTCTGCCCCCTCCCCTCGGGTGTCTAAATGGATTTCCTTATCGGCACCCACCCCACCCCAGGTCTACTGGGAATTTCACAATTTTTGCAATCTTTCTCAAGGGCTAATTCTATGAGCGTGCATCTGGAACTCCTCCCTCGCAGCTCAGACAGTGTAGCTCTTTCCTCCTACAGCGCATGTCTCCGTCAGCACAGTCATCACGCTCTGTCACAGTTCCTGACTTTTCACTTATGACACACACTCTCTTTGAGGGTGCTGATTATTTCCTGTTCTTTCTCAGGTCCCCAGGGGTTGGCACACAGTAGGCCCTTACTAATGATGACTAAAGGAATGGGTGAATAAGCTAGTGAATGAATGGCATGGGAAGCAGGAAGCTGTTACTCTATATTGGCAAGCTAGAGTCTTACACAGGTCTTTCAGAGGGCCCAGTACCAGAACCAGGACGGTAGTTGGCTCAAGGAGTTGCTATTATTTCCTTTGTATTCCTGGGACTTAGCACATGTAGGATATCAATAAAATGCTATTTGAACAAATGAGCGGATATTGATACTTTTTAGTGAGCACTAGTCAAATGTGAAGCAATTTACCTCAAAATATATAATTTATTCTTACTGCTGGCCCTCTGAAGTAGAAACTATTATCTTCTGCATTATTACCTTATTATCTTATGCATTTAAAATCTGAGAGTCAGAGATGTTAAAGAACTTGTCCACAGTCATATCTCTAGTAAGCAATGGAGCTGAGATTCAAACTGCCACAATGATGTGGCATGAGAGGCAGCCACAAAACCTCAGTGGTATCCAACCACAAACACTTATTATCTCACAAATATGTGAGGCTCAAGGCTAGATTTGGTGGATCCTGCCCTGGCTTATTCTCATGCCTGGGCAGCAGGTTGTTGGCTGACCCAGCATGGCCTCGGCTGAGAAAACTAGGACAGTCTAGCTGGTGTGTGTCATCTTCCACCAGGGGTGCCGTCAGGGCAGTATCAGAAGAACAAGAGCAAGGTGGTCCCGTGCACAGGCATCTGTCGAGCCGCTTCCTGTGTCTTGTGTTTGCTAAGGTTCCCGCTGGCCCGGCATTCACAAGGCTGAGGCCAGAGCAGGAGGGCACCACCAAGTTCTATAGCAAAGGGCACAAATACAAGTTGGGGTGACCAGGCAGGACTGTTGATGCTGCTCAGACCTACAACACAAACCCAAGACTATCTGATCCCAAAACCTGCACTCTTTTCATGATTTTTCTCTACCATCATCCCCGCGGATAAAAGAGTGTGGAAATGAAAATGTAGTTTGAGAATTTACAATCTCCCTGAGAAGACCAACATATACAAAAATGGTTTGTACGTTACATGGGAGACTTTTGATGATATGCCATAAAAGAAGGATAACAAGTCTCCTTCAAGAGATGTGTTAGGTAGAGCCCAAGCATGTGCACCCTCGCCTAGGTTCACATTCCATCAGTATCTTGTGTCAGCACTAGCCATGGCATCTTGGGCAAGCTATACTCATTTTCCTCATTTGTAAGATGACCATACTAGTGCTACTTTTCAATAATTTTTTTTGGTCAGGATTAAAGGGAATGATACAAGTAAAGCACTTGGAATTGTGCCAGACACATAGCACATACTCAAAAATCGATCAATCAATCAATCAATCAAAGAAAAGGTGAGCTATGGGATTGGCACTATGGTGCAGCAAGTTAACCCTCTGTCTGCAACACCAGCATCCCAAATGGGCACCGGTTCGAGTCCTAGCTGCTCCACTTCTGATCCAGTTCCCTGCTAACGCATCTGGAAAGGCAGCAGAAGATGGCCCAAGATGGCCCCTGCACCCACGTGGGAGACCCGGAAGAAGGCCCTGGCCATTGTGGCCATTTGAGGAGTGAACCTGTGGATGGAAGATCTCTTTCTCTATCTCTCCCTCTCTCTCTCTGTAACTCTGACTTTCAAATAAATACTGTGATATTCCACCAATTTGAGCAACTGGTGGAATCTTTCCAGAATGTGAGGGAAGCTGTACCACATCCAAGTCTATAGGGTCCTATGCTAGGCATCTGGTCCCCTAAGAAGGGGGTTGATTCTGCCATTGCAGACTCAACAAACATTTGTTGAACAATGTCAAGGTGTTATGGTGACAAGCAAGTGTTATCGAGTAATGCCTCCTCCTCTCCCCTTCTCTAGACTTTTGCAGCTCTTGAGTCAGGGGATAGATGCTTATTAGAGATTGAAAAGGAAGCTTTCTGGGAACTAAGCCCTAGTCACTCTTGCTCTCAATATTTCCCTGTTTTAATCCTAACATCTTTTTTTTCTTCTCTTCAGCATGTTTGGGATGGCATACCTTACCTGCAACAGAAATGAGGGCTACCCTTTGCTGGGTAGGTAGTGCCTTGATTTTAAACTTCCTGTTGAACTATAGCAAAGCATACAGAAAAATACACTGGTGATTAAGTGCAAAGCTGAATGAGTTATCACAAAATGGAAACATAATGATCACCCAGGTCAAGAAATAGAAAAGTAACAATACTCCATGGACACCTACACCCTCTTTCCTGCTTCCTTCCCCCCCAAAACTTCTAACACCTTAGATTACTTACATTTGTTTGAAGTTCCTATGTAAGTAGAATCACCCTTTATATATGCCTTATTTTACTCAACAGTGTTGTCAACTCATTTTGTTGGTGTTACTGCCATACTATGCAGTATTCCATACTGTAAATATACCAAAAATGTCTTTCATTCTGCTATTGTACAGCATTTGGGTTATTTACTATTTGGGATTTTTATGAATACTATCACAAACATTTTTTGCACAAGTCTTTTGGTGAACACTATTTGCATTTCCATTGAGTGTATATGTAGGAGTGAAATTGTCGGCACAAAAGGTGCAATTCTGGTAGATGATGCAAAGAAGTTTTTCAAAATTTATATTCTGTAATTTATATTCTGACCAACAGTGTTATGAGAGATCCAGTTCTTCATTCTTGCCAGCAACTTGGTTTTGTCTGTCTTTACAATTTTAATAATTCTGTGGGGTATATTATGAGAACTTATTGTGGTTTCTACTTGCATTGACCTGATTGGGTGAGCTGCTTTTCCACATGTTTGTTAGCCATTTGGACAGCTTCCTTTATAAAGTGTCTGTACAAATCATTGTGCTATTCTTCAGTTGGATTGTATTTGTATCATAGATATTTTGACATTATTTTATATGTTCTAGAAATGGATCCATTGCCATTTATTTGTATTGCACATCACTTTTCCCACCCTGTGCCACTTTTATTCTTTTAATGACTTATATTTAATGAGTGGGGTTCTTAATTTTAATGTAATCTAATTCATCTTATAGCTGGTTCTTCTCTATTTACTGTTTAAGAAAGCTTTCCTCATATACAAGTCATGAAGATATTTTTCTAGATTTTCTGCCAGACATTTTGCTTTATCTTTTGCATTTAAGTCTGCAATCCACCTGAAAGTGATATTTTTGTGATTCTTGGTGCTAAGGACCCAAACTTAAGGAAGCTAACTTGAGATTAGACAGGGAAGATGATCTAAAAGGAGGCGGGGGTACACCTCTTACAGAGTAGATCCCATGAAGACTGGCCTGTGGATTCTGAAAGCAGTCATTTGTAGGAACACTTGTCATTTCCTTCTGTTAGACTTGGACGTCCTTGCGAGTCTCAACATAAGTGAAGTCCCAGTTATAACTGTGTCTTGGTGTCAGGAGAACCTGAAAGAAGGCAACAGTTACAGAACTACTAAAGACACTTGGGCCAGCAGAAATGTCCTCCTTAGATTACAGACAGGTGGTTTTCAGTCTTCCAGCACATTCCTTCTTATAGGTCCAGATTCCCAAACTCCTGAAGCCAGAGGCGAGAAGGAGTATCCACTTTCCCTCCTCTGAGGCTAACTTTCCATCCCAAGTCATACTTATGATAACATGGAATCCTGTCCTCCTTTCTACACGATTGCAGACTCAACTGGGACGCAGACATCCCAGGTAATGTCTTAACCACTGGGCCAAATACCAACCCTTCATGAACTTTTTGAAGAACCCTCCTAGCTCCTAGATGTCCTATATGAATGGAATAAGAGAACCAGAAGGTTCTGCCATATTGCCTTTTTTTTTTTTTTTTTACAGGCAGAGTAGACAGGGAGAGAGAGACACAGAGAGAAAGGCCTTCCTTTGCCGTTGGTTCACCCTCCAATGGCCGCTGCGGCCTGCGCGCTGCAGCTGGCACACCGCGCTGATCTGATGGCAGGAGCCAGGTACTTCTCCTGGTCTCCCATGGGGTGCAGGGCCCAAACACTTGGGCCATCCTCCACTGCACTCCCAGGCCACAGCAGAGAGCTGGCCTGGAAGAGGGGCAACTGGGACAGAATCTGGCACCCCGACCGGTACTAGAACCCGGTGTGCCAGCGCCGCAAGGTAGAGAATTAGCCTAGTGAGCCGCGGCGCCGGCCACCATATTGCCTTTTGAGCCTCGTCTTCTGAGTTCCTCTGTTAGCCTGAAGCTAAAGAAGAACACAGTACGTACAAGTTGAAGTTCAAATGCATTTTCAGAAAGGGAATGTTTCATTCAAAGGAAGCAAGATAGTCTGCAATTCTCAGTACACCATACCCAGAAATTTACATTCCTAAGCAAAGCACTTAGCTTCTTTGAATACATCTACACTTGGATTAGGGATCTTATTTTTCAGCAAAGACTTTAGATCATAGCCCAGTATGTATTTGCTTTATCAGTGGATTACAGAGTAGGCTCTCCACAGCCCTCTGTCTGCCAAATCAGAAATGCTTGGCCCTACAGGAGTCTCTAACTCTTTTGACAAGCATTGCTCCCCGTCTGGACATTGCAGTCAGTTCTTCCAGCTCCTTCCTGTCCACCCAGGTTTCAAACACTGAACTCAGCTTCCAGTTTCAGCCAGGGCATCCTGTTACATGTATTTAAAAACACAGAAGAAAAAGAACAGCAACGGGGTGATTTTTGTTTTTGCTCTTTCTTTTCTAAGTTTTCTGTATTTTCTACCATAAGCATGTGTTTGCTATATCATCAGAAAAAATACATAATGTATTCTTACTATGAATTTGGTTACTCTTTGGGTAAACATCATTACACATGATTTTTGAAAGCAAATTTAATCTTATCACTGATAATGCTTCCAGTAACACTGAATTAAGTATAATTTTCAGGTACAGAGGGCAAATTTCCTTCATCACAGAATAAGAAATCATATTTTATCTATGATTGTTCAATATGGGAAAACTAACTGTAAATTTATTTCCTAATGAAGTAATCTACAGGTTACTTCTAGTGGGTAAGGGGGAAAAAAAGGAAAAAGAAGCTTTAGGGTTTTTTGCACTGCAAGGGTACTTTAATATGGTCTTGGAAAAATTGAATTTGAAAATAATGCAAAATTTCTATGAACTTTTTGCAGCTATTATGTATAATTAAGTGGACATTGTAGTAAGCATTATAAGAATATTTTCTCTCACAGCTTGTAGTAATCAAATAAAACAGTGAAACCATGTTAACTGGAAAGCTGTAGAGAAAGATTTTAAAAATTTGAGAAGTACACAGGGTCGTGAAAGTCCGTGAGCAACTCCATGAAATGATCAAGGCTATTCTTAGAAGGAGTGTCACTAAGTGCTTTTTTTATATCTCTAGGCTAGTCTGTGTTGATTGTGTTTGCTCCCTTTTTAAACAATAAAAACATCAGGTCGTGATAAGGAGATCAAATACTTCATGTGTACTATGAAGGAATTTTTAATGTCCAACTGCAGCCGAGTCCTAATGTATGAAGGATTATCCGGATTTGGAAAAAGCCGGATACTTATGGAAATTGAGTACCTGGCCCAAGGTGAGAACCACAGGTGAGTGTCTGGGAATGATTGTTCCTTGTGAGATACAACCTTGAAAGAGTTGTATTTCTTTGATGCTCCTTCTCCTCTTTCTATACTCCCCCTTACATGAGTTATCCACAACCCACAGTTGTTGGGGCAATGACCTTTGTGTTAAGTAGACAACTAACGATGAATATATTGAACTAAGAAAGAGAGAAACTGGACTAACCCTTGGAAATCCTGGTTTAATGCCAAGTGGAGCTTAGGTATTTTAAAGCTCCCTAAAAAAAATCCCAATATACAGACAGGCTGAGAACAGCTGGCACAGATGTTGACATCAAGGCGAGATTTAGTCTGTAGAACAAATACAAACATTTATTCAGCTAGCTGACAGGCAACCACTGGTTCACAGCATTTAGATCTGAGAATAGGGGTAGAGAAGGATGGGTCTCTAGAAGACAGGGCTAAGGTACCTACCTCGTGTTATTCATGTAACTTTGTATCTTCATATGAGGAGTGGCATGAGGTTTCTCCTTGGGACAACTCTTCCAGCACCCTCGCGGAAGTGCATAGAATGGTATTCGCAACAGTGATGATGACCGAGACAATGACGATGGTTTCCTATCCTTCCACCATCTGACCTAAAGGCTACAAGGGAAAGATGCTTGCTAACCCTATATTCTTATTAGCTTATAGTATTTCTATCCCTCTGTATGAGAAAGGCCAGTTTCTAAATACCTTTACCATTGCCATGTTGGTAATTCACAGAAGCCAGAAGACATTCATCTATTCAATCACTTGCTGAATTCCTGTGATGGCTCCAAGAAGTGTTAAGTGCAGTATCCATGTGCCAGGCCTGCCATAACAAAGTACTGGGTAGTGTAGACAACAGAACTTTACTGTTTCGTGGTCTGGGGCCTAGGCATTCAAGACTGTGTCAGCAGGGTTGGCCCCTCTCAGGAGGGTGAGAAGAATCAGAGTCATCTGGATTCTGGGGGTTTGCTAGTGAGCTTTGCTATTCCTCTGGCTTCCTCGTCACATGGCCTTCTCCTTGTGTGTTCTTTGTGACCATGTTTCTCCTCACCCCTTTTAAAAAAGATTTTTTTATTTGGTTGAAAAGCAGAGTTACAGGGAGAGAGACAGAGACAGAGAGAGACGGGGGGCGGGGGAAAAGAGGGAGAGAAAGAAATCTTCTATCTGCTGGTTCACTCCCCAGGTGGCTGCAATGGCCAGGGCCAGGCCAGGCTGAAGCCAGGAGCCTGGAGTTTCATCTGGGTCTCCCATGTGGGTGGTCTAAGCACTTGGGCCATTTTCTGTTGCCTTCCCAAACACATTAGCAGGAAGCTGGACTGGAAGAGGTACAGCTCTTCTAGGCACATGGACTAGAGCCCACATGGGACCCCCTACGTCACAAGGCCAGCCCCACATTTATTTCTCTTTTTTTTAAAGATTTACTGGGAGGCCGGTGCTGTGGCATAACAGGTAAAGCCACTGCCTGTAGCACCAGCGTCCCATGTGGGCGCCAGTTCAAGTCCCAGATACTCCACTTCTAATCCAGCTCCCTGCTAATGTGCCTGGGAAGGCAGCAGAAGATGTCCCAAATGCTTGGGCCCCTGCACCCATGTGGGAACACGGAAGAAGCTCCTGGCTCCTGGCTTCGGATTGGCCCAGTTCTGGCCATTGCAGCCATCTGGGAAGTGAACCAGCAGTTGGAGGATCTCTCTGTCTGTCTCTCCCTCTCTTTCTCTGTAACTCTACCTTTCACATAAATAAATATATCTTTAAAAAAATTTTTTTTCCAAGACTTGAACTGTTGGTTAGAATTGGGATGCTGATACCATAAGCCGCAACTTAACCCACTGTGCCACAATGGCTGCCCCAAATTGCCCTTTTTATAAGACACCAGTCATACTGGATTAAGGGTCCAACCCTATGCCAATATGATCTTAACTAATTACATTTGTAACAAACCTATCCCCAAATAAGGTCACATTCTGAGGTAATAGGGGCTAAGTCTCCAACGTATGAGTGGGGGAAGGGGGTAAGTCAGCCCTTCGCAGTGCTGAGGCTCTGGATATGAATCCTGTCTGATCCCTATACTCTGAGAAGAGAAGGCGAAGGTGATGGCAATGAATAGAATATAGTGAGAGGCCGGCACTGCGGCTCACTAGGCTAATCCTCCGCCTTGAGGCGCCAGCACACCAGGTTCTAGTCCCGGTCGGGGCGCCGGATCCTGTCCCGGTTGCCCCTCTTCCAGGCCAGCTCTCTGCTGTGGCCTGGGAGTGCAGTGGAGGATGGCCTGAGTACTTGGGCCCTGCACCCCATGGGAGACCAGGAGAAGCACCTGACTCCTGCCATCGGATCAGCGCGGTGCGCCAGCCGCAGCGCACTAGCCGCGGTGGCCATTGGAGGGTGAACCAACGGCAAAGGAAGACCTTTCGCTTTGTCTCTCTTTCTCACTGTCCACTCTGCCTGTCAAACAAACAAACAAACAAAAACCAAAACCATAGTGAGGACAACCACGGAGACACGGAGCACTATGAGAACTCAGAGAGGGGGCTGCTGGGTAACATCAGCCCTTCGACATCAGCGGGGCTGCCCAGGAGGTTCCACCTGAGCTGGGGTTACAGACGGACAGTGACCGAGGGACTGTGAGAACTGACGGCATTCCTGGCTGAGGAGAGAACGTGGGCAAAGACCCGGGGAAGAGAAACGGCTGTGGGGCTGCTGCTTTAGTGGAGGGTGGATAGCTGGGCAGGGAGTGGCAGAGAGAGAACAGGAGGTGGTGGGACGTCTTGAATGTCACATGAAAGGACACTTGGAGCCTCTGAAAATCTGACCTGGGAAAGTGACCCAAGAAGATGAGCCTCTAATGGGCTCTGGGTTTCTGTGAAGGTGACGCATTCTGAAGGCTGTGACACGAGGCACCGGGAGTGGCACACTGTTGTGTAGGGGAGGAGAGAATATGAGGGCCTGAAGCAGGGTGCGGGGCAGCAGTGGTGAGATTCAGGATAGCTAGGTTAGAGGATCGGGGCTTATGGGCATAGCGGAAGGAGGAGGCTATATCAGAAACGGAAGTAGAGAACAGCTTCCGGGTAGCTGAGTATGAGGAGAGAGAGCTTCCCTCAATCTTCACCATTTCCAAAATAAATTTTTAAACTCTCTTCCGATTCTTGATTTTTCTTGTTAAACAGGACTATTGCTATTGCACTGACTAAGGTCAGCTTCCATCAGAATTTTTATACTATCCAGATACTCATGGCCAATGTCCTAGGGCTGGATACTTGTAAGCATTATAAAGAACGACAGACCAACCTTCAAAATAAAGTCAAGAGCCTGTTGGATGAAAAGTTCCACTGTCTTCTTAATGACATTTTCCATGTCCAGGTAATTAGCTAGCATTAGACTTCTGCAAGAATTAGCCCTGGGGCGGGGTGAAGTGGCTGCTCCCTGGTGGTTTATGCCAGGCATCTCTCTGGCCTGTATTTTCTTTTTCTTTTCCCATCTGGAGCATCCAGGTGGTGAGGCAATGGCTCCCAATCCTCCTTGAATGTGCATCCGTTTTCTTGAGATGGATTGGCAGTATCAAGATATGCCACACTCACAAAACTCCAAATGGCCACCTGCTGATTCATTTTTTTCTACCCTCACCTGTCCGTCATAGCTGGTCTAGGCACTAGGTGCTCCCACAAGTGACTGCCAATGCAGTGCCAGAGTGTGCCCTGTCCTTTCCCAAGTCTGTTAGGCTCCCTGACGTAGAGCATTGGAGCTGGAAGGGTTTTAATGCACGAAGCGCTTAAGTGTTTTTCCTTAAAGTCGCAGAGCTGGTAGTTCCCATTGCTGTTTTCCTATGCTCAACATTCTTCTATTTCTTTGTGTAGTTCCCTATTTCACGGGAGATTTCCAAGATGAGCACCTTTAGAAAGCAAAAGCAACTGGAAGCTTTGTTTATGAAGATCTTGGAGCAAGTAAGAGCCGCTGAAGGTCAAGTTGTGGGGGAAGGAAAACAGGGCCAATCACCACGAAGCCAGGTGGCCTGCGTTGGTTCAGACTCTGTGGGCAAGAAGCTTTTGAAGTCTGTGCAGGGTTTGCCCTGAAGGATTTGGCTGTCCTAAGACCTCCAGACCTTCAGCTAAGAACCTTTGCTGTATTCCACTTGGCTGCAGTAACTCCCATTGAGTTCAGTGTCCAATACCAAATGCATTCTTTCCTGTTACAATGCCCTTCCTTCCTCTTCTTAATCCTTTATATAGTAAGGGCAAATTCACTTACCCATCATTTCAACTTACCCTTGCCTCATCCTCGCTCACATCTACATGATTTCCAGTCCTACTGCTTCTATCCTGGACTGTCTCTGGAATCTCCCGGCCCTCTTGTTTCCACTGCTGTTGTTAGGATTCCTGTCTTGGGGCTGATGCTGTAGTGTAGCTGGTAAAGCTGTTGCCTGTAGTGCTGCCATCCCACATAGACTCTGATTCAAGTCACGGGTACTCAGCTTCTGCTCCTGCTCTCTGCTATGGCCTGGGAAAGTAGTAGAAGATGGCCCAAGTGCTTGGGCCCCTGTGCCCACGTGGGAGACCCGGAAGAAGCTCCTGGCTCCTGGCTCCCAGCTTCAGATTGGCCCAGCTCCAACCATTGCAGCCATCTGGGGAGTGAACCAGTGGATGGAAGACCTCTCTCTCTCTCTCTCTCTCTCTCTCTCTCTCTCTCTGCCTCTCTGTAACTCTGCCTTTCGAATAAATAAATACATCTTTAAAAAAAAAAAAAAAAAAGACACAGCCAGCGCCACGGCTCACTAGGCTAATCCTCCGCCTTGCCGTGCCGGCACACCAGGTTCTAGTCCCAGTCGGAGCACCGGATTCTGTCCCAGTTGCCCCTCTTCCAGGCCAGCTCTCTGCTATGGCCCGGGAGTGCAGTGGAAGATGGCCCAAGTGCTTGGGCCCTGCACCCGCATGGGAGACCAGGAGAGGCACCTGGCTCCCAGCTTCGGATCAGCGCAGCGCGCTGGCTGCGGCGGCCATTGGAGGGTGAACCAACGATAAAGGAAGACCTTTCTCTCTGTCTCTCTCTCTCTCACTGTCCACTCTGCCTATCAAAAAAAAAAAAAAAAAAAAGACATCTATCTCTTCTTGACCTATTTCCATAGCTTTCTGTAGTTTCTGGGCTTCTTACCATTCCAATTCATCTTCCATGCAACTACCAGGGTGTATACGAAGCACACCAACCCAGTTTACACTCTCCAAATAAGCCCTGATGCTAATGAGATAAAAGCAAAAAGAATTTTGCTTTTTCTTTTTTAAAGGATTTATTTATTATTTGAAAAGCAGAGTGACAGAGTGAGACAGCGAGAGCGAGAGATCTTCCATCCTCTGGTTCACTCCCCAAGTGGCTGCAACAGCCAGGGCTGGGCCAGGCTGAAACCAGAAGCCTAGAACTCCATCCAGGTCTCCCACGTGGGTGGCAGGGACCCAAGTACTTGAGCTATCCTCTGCTGCCTTTACAGGCGCATTGTCAGAGAGCTGGATCAGAAACAACTTGTACCAGTGCTCTGATATCGGATGCTGGCATTGCGAGCAGTGTCTTAACCTGCTACACCACAACACCTACCCCAAAAGACTTTTTATTAACCTGGAGAAATGATACTTATCCTTCAGCGTTGCCTCTTTGGTGAGAACATCCCCAGATGCTTTGAACACCTACTGCAGTGTATTGCAAATTGTATTTCATATCTATCTCCCCACCAGGAGAATTGTGAGCTTTTTAAGAACAGAGAGTCTCTCATTTTTGTATTGCTACTGACAGGAAGAGAACCTGGGTTAAAAAAAAAAAAATGATGAGTATAAGTTGTGGCATTGAGTTAAGTTTATAATACAACCTTCTTCTACACTTCAGGTATATAAGCAAGGCTGTTTCTAAATGTCAGGCTTTGGATTGTTTGCATAATAAGTATATCCAAGAAGCATCTTTATCAGTATGGATTTATGGGTTTAACTTCTAAAGAATAAAAAAGCAAGGCTTGAGTTGGACATAGGAATCCATTTAATTGTTGGCTTTTGTTTCAAAGCTTCTCAGTTGGGGGAGGCAGGGCTTTGGTGCAGCTGTTAATACGTCACTTAGGATATCCACAACCCATAGTGGAGTGCCTGGGATTGCGTCCCAACTCTGCTCCCAATTCCAACTCCCTGCTAAGGCAAACTCTGGGAGGTAGCAGTTGATGGGTCAAGAAGAAAAGGTCCCTGCCCCCACCTGGGATTGGGTTCCAGGCTCATGGCTGCAGCCTGACCCCGTCCCAGTGGTTACAGGCATTTGGGGGATGAACCAGCAAATGAAAGATGGCTCTCAATCTCTGTCTCTCTGTCTCTTTATCTCTGTCTCTCCCTCTGTTTGTCTCGGTATCTCTACCTTTCAAATAAAATGCAAACAAATCGATAAAAAAAAAAAAAAAACTTTTTCAAAATGTTAGTTCTGATGCATAGTCTAGTTTGGAAACCCTAGGGAAGCTAGGCTTTGATCACGTGTCATGACAATAGTCCTTGGATCATTCATTGTCTGTGTGACCTAAGGCCGCTTACTTACACCCTCTGGACCTAAATGTTTTCAGTGAGTAGATCCAATAGTACCACTTCCTGTGGAAAGAATTAAATGAGGTATTTTTGTAAAGATGGTGCCTGGAACATAGTCAGTGCAACATAAATGTTGGTTTTTATTCACAACAGAATCCAATTCAGCCTCTTCATTTGAAATTTGGAATAAACCAAAGCCAATGATATACTATGGATTTCATGTGTTTTGTGGTTTTTAGTTTTTTTGGTTCCTGTTTTATTTACCCTTCAGTTCATAAATAATCCACTGAAATCCATCCACTGATTCACTTCCCAGATGGCCACAACGGCTGGGGCTGCTCCATTCTGAAGCAAGGAGCTTCTCCCAGGTCTCCCACATGGGCACAGGGGCCCAAGGACTTGGGCCATCTTCTGCTGCTTTCCCAGGCCATAGCAGAGAGCTAGATTGGAAGTGGAGCAGCAGGGTCTTGAATCAGCACCTACATGGGATACTAACACTGTAGGCAGCGGCTTTACCCACCACGCCATAGCGCCAGCCTGCTCTACTTCTAGTCTAGCTCCCTGCTAATGCACCTGGGAAGGTAGCAGAAGATGGCCCAGGTGCTTGCATCCACGTGGGAGACCTGGAAGAAGCTTTGGCTCCTGGCTTCGGTCTGGCCCAGATTCAGCTATTTGGGGAGTGAACCAGCAGATAGAAGACCTTTCATTTTCCCTTTCTTTAACTTTGCCTTTCCGATAAATAAAATTAATCTTTGAAAAATGGAATAATAACTTTCTGTTAATAAAAATTTTCTCATAGCTAGTGAGGAGCAAAGTATTTGGTGGCATAATGAGGCTGTAGGAGTAGACCCACTATGTGCAATGTATGATAAGTCAGGTTGAGCATTTTATAATGATTTATAATTTTGAAATAGGTTTTATTGATTTTGTTTATAAAAATATAGAGGGTAAGAATAGGTCAATCCAGTCTCTTCTCAGTGCAGGGGGAATGGGAGCTGGGAAAGTTTTCTCTGTTGGAAACCTCACATGAGAAGCCAGGGCTGCTATGCAAGTGGCTGACACTGCAATGGATGCTCCATATTTTACTTTTGGTTTGTTTGAGGGAGAGAGAGAGAGAGAGAGACATGCAGATAGAGAGAGCCTTCATCCACTGGTTCATTCTCCAAACGCCTACAATAGCCAGGGCTGGACCCTGCAAGGGCTAAAAGCCAGAAACTCAATCCAGGTCTGCTATACGGATGGCAGGGCCAATATATATTACATTATATATATATATATATAATGTAATACAAAGATATTGGTGCCCCAGTATGGGATAGGGGCATCATAACTGCTAGGCCAAACACCCACCTCTAAGCTCCACATTTTGTTTAAGACTGCATCCCAGCACTAAGTATGGGCCTGACCCTACTAGCTGCACAAGAAATGCTTAACGAGTGAATAATTCAGACTGGTTAGGAAAGGATAGTCTACAGGAAAAAAGAGATACATGATCTATTTTTAAATGTAGAAGATACCCCAACTCAAACTACAACAGCATCAGCTGCCAGGAGGCAAAGAGTAGATCAATCTCCTTCAGCACTGTGCATCCAGCACCTTGCCCGCAGGCACTCAGTAGTATGTGGAAGCTGAGTATGTATTGGCTGAGTAGTGTCAGTTAGAGACTCCTAGGAGAACTTAATTTGTGAATAGACATTAAAATGATTTACAGGAACCGGCGTTGTGGTGTAGCTGGTGAAGCTACTCCCTGTGATGCTGGCACCCCATATTGGAGTGCTGCTTTGAGTTTCAGTTGCTCTGCTTCCTGGGAAGGCAGTGGAAGATGACCCAAATGCTTGGGCCCCTGCTACCCATGTGGGAGACCTGTATAGAGTCCTGTCTCCTGGCCTTGGCCTGGCCTAGTCCTGGCCGTTGCAGCCATCTGGGGGGTGAACCAGCAGATGAAAGATGCCTCTCTCTCTCTCTCTCTCTCTCTCTCTCTCTTGCTCTTCTTTTCAAATAAATAAGTGAATCTTTTAAAAAATGAATTGAAGTTAATATATATCATTATTTTTATCTAATGGACACTTTTACTCAGCTTTAGTGGATACCCCTACAACCTTATCTATCCTACAGATTTCCATTATGTTTACGCACAGTTTTGTCCAAGTAAAAGTCTTTCCAGCAAGCTCTGTCCAAATTGCCACAAATGCCAAGTTAGTGGACTATAATGCAATCCAAAGAAAAGATTTAGCACAACCGGTTCTTTCTCTCCATCATAAACAAGCCACACACCTCAGTGTGTAGGCGTGCATAGCCACACACAAGCATACGGATCTGAAGTCTTACAGCCTCGTTTTTTGTTTCTCTACCTTGCCCAGACAGTGAAAGAGGAAAGGATCATTTTCATCATTGATGAGGCCCAGTTTGTGGATTACGCCTCCTGGATCTTTATGGAGAAGCTTATCCGAACCGTTCCCATCTTCATCATCATGTCGCTGTCTCCCTTCACTGAAATTCCTTGTGCAGCGGCCAGTGCCATAATGAAGAACAGGAACACCACCTACGTCACCCTGGGAGCAGTACAGCCCAACGACATCCGCAACAAGGTCTGTCTTGACCTCAATGTGAGCAGCATCCCCAAAGAACTGGACTTGTAAGTAACCTGGTGCTGTACCGAGCTCTTTCCGTCTGCACTCACTGCCCAGGCCCAGGTGTGATCAGATTGAGTAGCACCTGTCTTGAAGTATCCAGTTCAGTATCCTTGGTGGTGACACCTGAACCGGTGGTCACTGGGTTGGATGGTGTGTACCTTTTCCATCTTATGTCCCTGTTCTACACCTTCTCAGACTTGCTCAGTGGGTTTGTTTTCTTTCCATTGTGCAAGTTATGGATATACTCACTCTACTTACTTATTTTTAATTAATTTATTGTGTTTATCTGAAAGACAGACAAGGACAGAGATCCTCATCCTCTGGTTCGCTCCACAGATGCCTGCAATATCTAAAGTTGGGCCAGGCTAAAGCCAGAAGCCCAAAACTCCATCTAGGTCTCCCACACGGGTGGCAGGGACTCGAGTACTTGAGCCATCTTCTGCTTTCAGGGTACACACTAGCAGGAAGCTGGATTAGAAGGGGAGCAGTTAGAACTCAAACCAGGTGCTCCAGTATGGAATGCAGGCATCTCAGGCAGCACCTTTTTTAAAAAAAAAAAAAAAAAAAAAAGATGAATTTATTTGGGAGAGAGAGAGAGAGACTGATCTTCCATCCACTAGTTCACTCTCCAAATGGACACAACCACCAGGGCTGGGCCTGGCCAAAGCCAGGAATCAGGAGTTTCATTTGGGTCTCACACATGGGTGCAGGGGCCCAAGCACTTGGGTCATCTTCTGCCGCTTTCCCAGGCCATTAGCAAGGAGCTGGATCAGAAGTGGAGCAGCCAGGACTTGAACCAGTGTCCATATGGGATGCTGTTGTCGCAGGCAGCGGCTTTGCCTGCTACACCACCCACAATGCCGGTTCCTCCCAACCCACAAGCAGCATCTTAACCACTACACCAGTTGCTACCCTGTATTCACTTTATTTCTTTATTCTTATTTTGAAGATTAAACCTTTTTCACCATAAGTTTATTTTGTTTATTTGAAAGGGGGAGAGAGAGAGAGAGAGAGAGGGTGAGATTTCTTCATCCACTAGTACACTCCCCTCCAAATGCCTGAGACAGCGAGGACCCAGCCAGGCCGTAGCCAGGAGCTGGAACTGAGTCCCAGCCTCCTGTGTGGGTGGCAGTGACCCAAGGTCTTGAGCCGTCATCTGCTGCTTCCCAGAGTGCACATTCGCAGGGCTCTGACTGGTAGCACAGCTAGACTGAACCAAGTGCACACTTTGATATGGGATGTGGGCTCCCCAAGGGGTGCTGAGCCAAATGCCACCCCTCTTCTGGGGAGTCTCTTTTTTTAACCTAGAAACCTATACAAACTTTATGCATTTTATAAATACAAATTTAGCAACATAGGGATTCTTCCCAACCTACCCTCCCTCCCACCCTTCCTCCTCCCTCTCCTATTCCCATTCTTATTTTTTACCAAGATCTATTTTCAACTAACTTTATACACATAAGATTAACCCTATACTAAGTAAAGAGTTCAACAAATAGTATGAGAAAAAAAAAAAAAAAAAAAAACTGCCCTGAGACAAGGGCTGTTCAAAGTCATCACATCTCAAAGTGTCAATTTCACTTATCTAGATTACCTTTTAGTGTCAATTTCACTTAGATCAGGGAGAACAGAGGTATTTGCCTTTTTGAGACTGGGGGAGTCTTGACAGCAGCCCCCTTCACAAAGCAGACAATATCTCTTCTTTAGCTGGCTTTTTACAGCCAGTCTTATATATGGCTGGGAAAACACCCTATCTGTTCTTCCTAATAAGTCTGCCTTGGGGCTTGTGTTATGATGCAGAGGGGAAAGCCACTGCCTGGTTTGTGTCCTGGCTGCTCCACTTCTGATCCAGCTCCCTGCTCATGTCCCAGGGAAAGCCGCAGAAGATGACTGTGATGAAGCTCCTGGCTCCTGGCATCAGCCTGGCTCAGCCCTGGCCATTGCAGCCACTTGGGGAGTGAACCAATGGACATTCCAGGTCTCCCACGTGGGTAGCAGGGGATCAAGCACTTGGGTAATCCTCTGCTGCTTTACGGGGCTCATTAGCAGGGAGTGGAAATGCCAGACTCAAACCAGTGTCCATATGAGATGCCAGTGTTGCAGGTGGTGACTTAATCCTCTACGCCACAGTGTCGGCCCTATAAATAAATCTTTTTTAAAAAATCTGCCTTTGGGGACCGGCACTGTAGTGTAGTAGGCTAAGCCTCTGCCTGTGGAGCCGGCATCCCTTATGGGCTCTGGTTCGTGTCCCAGCTGCCCCTCTTCCGATTCAGCCCTCTGCTACAGCCTGGGAAAGCAGTGGAAGATGGCCCAAATGCTTGGGCCCCTGCTCCCACTTGGAAGACCCAGAAGCAGCTCCTGACTCTTGGCTCCTGGCTCCTGGCTTCAGATCAGCCCTGCTCCGGCCATTGCAGCCTTTTGGGGAGCGAACCAGAGGATGGAAGACCTTTCTCTCTGTCTGTCCCTCTCTCTGTCTGTAACTCTGCCTCTCAAAGAAATAAGATCTTTAAAAAAAAAAATCTGCCTTGTTCCTGGAAGGAAGATGTCTTCGACATCATTTAAAATAACTCCTGGCCCAGCCCTAGGTTTTGCAGGCATTTGGGGAGCAAATCAGTAGATGAAAGATCTATCTTTGTCTGTCTCTCTTGGTTTCTCTGTCTGCCTTTCAAATAAAAATGAAAATAAATAAATGGAAATTTAGAAAATAGGTCCAGGTATGAATTTGTTTCACCTCCCCCTCTCTATACACACACACACACACACATGCATTTACCTTTTGATTTAGCAATTCTAATTCTAGAAATCTATGTCAAAGATACAGTAACAGAAATATGAAACAACATGGGCAAAGTTTTTACTGGGACATCATTTGGAATGATAAAATACTGGGAACAATCCCAATGTTCATTCCAAGAGGATAGGTTGAGTAACCGGTCAACACAATGGAGCAGCATACACCAACAAAAAGAAATGAGAGGGAACTACTTACATGAAAGAGAGCCCAGGATACATTGTTGAGTGAAAAAAAAAAAAAAAAAAAAACAAGATGCAGCTCAGTATGCAATGTGCATCCTGTGCTGTCTTTTAAATAAGGGTTGAGAGAGAGAGAGAGAGAGAGTGCATTTCTTTCTATTCTTTAAAAGAAACATCAGAAGGATAAACCAAAAGCCCGTAGGGTGGAGGAAGAAAGCAAGACTGAAGGTGTGCCTTATTATATATAGTTTGGCTTCGGAAACATAGAAATAATTTTGCATAATTAAGAAAGTGAGTTAGAAGGCAAAAAGCAATTGTTAAAATATGGAAACAAAGAGAACGTGAGAAGAAATTATTGTCAAGTGATTGAGCAGCTCAAATATTTTTTTCTTCCTGAAAGCAAGGTGGTTCACCAGTGTAAGCAGGTTGCCCTGTCTTAACAACAGGTACTTGGTGGAAGGGAGCTGCGGGATCCCATTTTACTGCGAAGAATTGGTAAAGAACCTCGACCACCACAGGGTGCTTGTTTTCCAACAGATGGAGACTGAGGAAAAGACCAAAGTGACCTGGAATAACCTGTTCAGTAAGTCCCACAGAGATGGTTCTTTCTCACTCTGTCCTGCGGTGAGGGTGCCAAGAAGGGATTTTTCCATAGGCGAATTCTGTAGGATCAGAAGGTTTTAGGGGTCAAGAAATACTGGATATGTGTGGTATTCCAGATTGCAAGAGAATATCACGTTGCCTGGGACTGACTGAACTGGGCTAAGGAATATATATACCTGCGACAATCATGAAACACATCGGAGAAATCTGAAGGTTCAGGATCAGAACTAGAGATAACTTAGATGTTACCTGGCGGGGGGAGGGGGGTGGGAGGCAGGAGTCCTTGTTTTCTGGCAGTTAAAATTACTAGCTCAGAATGAATTGTTAGGGTTGGCATTGTGGTGCAGCAGGTCAAGCCCATATCAGAGTCTTGGGTGTTCCACTTCCAATCCAGCTCCATGCAAGTGTGCCTGGGAAAGCAGTGGAAGATGGCCCAGATATTTAGGCCTCTGCCACCCACCTGGGAGACCAGGATGGAATGCCTGGCTCCTGGTTTCAGTGCGGCCTAGCCCTGGCTGTTGCGGCCATTTGGAGAGTGAACCAGCATACAGCAGATGGAGGATCTCTCTCTCTCTCTTGCTGTGTCTCAAATTAAATAAGATTATCTTTAATTAAAAAAAAAAAAAGAATTGTCCACAAATTCCCTTGCTACAGAGCTGTACAGGAGATTGAAATGTGAGATGATGACACGAAGGAGAATAGCTGGAATTTTTAGGACAATAGTTTTAGTGCAAGGAGAAGGGTAGGAGTCAGAGATGGGATAAGAAAGCAAGTCAGGTCATACATAAGAGTGTTAATTGTTAAACTAACAACAGGAGGCACTGTGCACTAACTTCCCATGCAGGACCTCTGTCCTCCAAGAGTTGTGTTATTAGAGTTAATAGTAAAACTTGTTCTCAAAGATTTACTTCGTTTTAGTGTATTAAGTGGAGGATATTCTTATGTCTCATAAGCTATAATTATGTCTAAGCACTCACAAAAGATGTATCATTCTTGGGTTCTTCTTTAAAGTTAGCTAAGTTTCTCAAAAAAGAATACTTAAAAAATGTGAAATTAACTTTGAGATGCAGTGACTGAACAGCCCTTGTCTCAACTGTTGAGGAACAGGTTTTTTTTTTTTTTTTTTCATACAATTTGTTGAGCTCTTTACTTAGTATAGAGTTAATCTTCTGTGCATAAATTCAAAATAGATCTTAGTAAAAAACAAGACTGGGTATAATAGGAGAGGGAGGAGGAAGAGGGATGGGAGTGTGGGTGGGGAGGCTGGTATGGTGGGAAGAATCACTGTGTTCCTAAAGTCGTATTTATGAAATGCATGAAGTTTGTATTCCTTAAATAAAATGTTTCTTTGTGGGGGGGAGAAAGAAAAATTAAGCCTCTGATATGTACCTTAATGATGTTTAAAAATTAACTCTAGCACAGTCTTTTTTTGTAAAACAGAACGTCAACAATAAAATTGCAAAGTATTGTAAAAAAAATTAGAAAAAAAGAAAGTCAGAATGTAGATAGGGACCGTTGCTGTGGTGTAGTGGGTTTAGCCTCCACCTGAAGCGCCGGCATCCCATATCATCGCTGGTTCAAGACCCAGCTGCTCCTCTTCTGATCTCGCTCTCTACTGTGGCCTGGGAAAGAAATAGAAAATGATCCAAGTGCTTGGGCCCCTGCACTCATGTGGGAGACCTGGAAGAAGCTCCTGGCTCCTGGCTTTGGATAGGCCCAGCTCTGGCTGTTGTAGCCATTTGGGGAGTAAACCAGCAGATGGCAGACCTTTCATTCTGTCTCTCCCTCTCTCTGTCTGTAACTCTGCTGTCAAAAATCTTAAAAAAAAAAAAAAAAAAGAGGAAGAAGAAGAAGAAAGAAAAAGAATGTAAATAAAGGATTGAGATTAGAGATAGCATTTTTACCAGGGCTTGTTTGCACTCTCTGGCTTTTCTGGGTTGCCTGATTCTTCAGCTCCAGTCTGGGATATCTAATGTTGTATTTTTTTTTTGTAGATTTATTTATTTTATTAGAAAGACAAAGAGAGAGAGAGAGAGAGAGAGAGAGAGAGTGAGAGGTCTTCCATCTGCTGGTTCACTCCCCAAATGGCTGCAACAGCTGGAGCTGGGCCAGGAGCTTTTTCTGGGTCTGCCATGTGAGTTCAGGGGCCCAAGCACTTGAGCCATCTTCTGCTGCTTTCCCAGGTGCATTAGCAGGGAACTGGATTGGAAGTGGGGCAGCTGGGTCTCAAACCAACACCCATAATGGATGCTGGCACTGCAGGCAGTGGCTTTACCTGCTATGCCACAGCGCCAGCCCCTCAGGCAAAAAAGAAACCCAGGGATTTCACTGCCAGATTCTTCCTTGGGTGGCACAGTCCCTAGCTGGCCTGACTTCTCTCCACCTTCAGTGTCTTACTGCATTTGTTTCTGTATATAAAGTCCAGGGGCTTTAGTTGTATTTAGCAGGAGGAATAGGGAAAAACAGTCGCCTCCATCTTCCTCCAAGTGGATCTTTATCGTTGGGTGGTTCATGTTAAGTGACCGTAACTTAACAGCCAGAAACACATGAAACCTGCAGGATGAAAACTTTTCCAGTTCTGGTTCCAGACCCTTGCTTCTAATTGCCTGTTGTGGGTGACCACCTCAAACTCAGCACGTTGAAAATGTAACTCTTTCTCCTTTCTCTTAAACTGTACCAGTTCGATTAATGGCCTCATTTGTGTTTCTGTCACCTCCGTGGCTGTCTCGCTGGGGCCCCATTTCCTGCATGTCTTCAGTATTTGAGTGCCCCTTGCTGTACCCCTTACCTGGTCTATCCATCATTTCTCCATATTCCATTATGATAACATCTTTCCTAGTCTTCCCTGTGCTGTGCTTTAGCCTCTCCTGTATGCTGCTTCCAGTGTTAACTTTCCCAGAGAAATGAGTTGGATCACTGCTGTCCCCTGTTCAGGAACCTGTGACACTCCCCCATTGTCTGTGGAACGAGGTCCAGTCTTCCTAGAATGTTAAGTGCGCCACCTTCAAACCAGCTCTCCCAACCCCTCTCCCCCAGTAGCCTGCAGCACTACACGCACTGTACTTGACCACACAAGTGGTCAAGAATGTAAATAAAGGATTGAGATGCATTCACCTGGCCTGCAGCCATCCCGAGGCTCCTGAGTCTTTGCATTGATCTCTCCGTTTGGAATATCCCTTCATCCCTCCAGGACCAATCAGAATACATCCTGAATCCACCACACCTGAATTAATTGTTCTCTGTTCTCTGACATGTTGCTCTTTGCTCCTTAGCTTCCTGGTATTGTGATTAGTTACCTGTACATCCCTCCCGGCAGCTTGTAAGCTTCTGGAGGGCCGGAAGTATGGGCTGTCCGCATTCATAGCCTCGGAGGGATGGGAATGCAGGAAGTCCCTAATCATCTGGTCCTGTGTTGATGCGAGCTGCCTGTCACTGATTGCGCCCACTCAGGCGGCACCTGTTCACTGCCTGGCCATCCAGCTCTTTGTGTACATGACTCAGCTCTCCAGGAGACCAGGAACGTGGTTATGGTCACCTTTATATTTCTGCCACCTCACCCATTGTGGGGTCTTGAAGATACCTAGCATTACATGAGTGACTAGAGGGATAAATCAATAACACACTTTGGAGTACCTGGAGATCAAAGTACTAACCAAGGTGATCTTCCAGCCTCGCCATTTTAAAATCTCTTCCTGACAGTGGCCATGTCCGACCTGGAGCACAGAGCCCCACAGAATGAGTTTGTATCCGAGTGTGGGCATGCGAACGCATGCACAAGTGTATGTTAGCACAAACTGTGAGATAAGATACGTCCCGACCATCTGACAGCAAATCACATTTCTGTAGAGCTCTGTGTACTATGAAAGTCATCAATAGTTCCACTCTTTGTTCTGAGATATGGTGGGGAAGAGACAACATTTCTGAGGAAACTTAGATTTTCATGAATAAGTTTTATTTGAAACAAGGTATTCCAGAATATGTTTTGAGCAAACGCACATCTGTGCCCACTCTTTCTCCCAGGAGACCCACTTCAAGTCTATGGGAAAATCATGCTTTTTTTTTTTTTTTTTTAATTGGGGACCAGTGTAGTAGGTTAAGCTTCTCTGCCTGCGGCACTGGCATCCCATATGGGCACCCGTACAAGACCCAGCTGCTCCACTTCTGGTCCAGCCCCTTGCTAATGCCCTGGGAAAGCAGTGGAAGATGGCTCAAGTGTTTGGACCCCTGCATTTTTGTGGGAGACCCGGAAGAAGCTCCTGGCTCCTGGTTTCAGATCAGCTTGGCTCTGGCTGTTTCAGCCATTTGTGGAGTAAACCGGATGGAAGACCTCTCTTCCTGTCTCTTCCTCTCTCTGTCTGTAACTCTGCCTGTCAGATAAATCTTAAAAATATTTCTATTTGAGGGGCCGGCACTGTGGTGCAGTGGGTTAACGCCCTGGCCTGAAGCGCCGGCATCCCATATGGGTGTCGGTTCGAGACCTGGCTGCCCCACTTCCGATCCAGGGCTCTGCTATGGCCTAGGAAAGCAGTAGAAGATGACCCAAGCCCTTGGGCACCTGCACCCATGTGAGAGACCTGGAGGAAGCTCCTGGCTCCTGGCTTCAGATCAGCATAGTTCCGGCTGTTGAGGCTGACTGGGGAGTGAACCATCAGATGGAAGACCTCCCTCATTCCCCCCCCCTTCTCCCTGCCTTTCCTCTCTCTGTGTAACTCTGACTTTCAAATAAATAAATCTTAAAAAAAAATGCCTATTTGAAAGGCAGAAGGAGAGACAGAGACAGACCTTTCATTCACTGGTTCACTCCCCCCAAATGTCTGCAGCAGCCACAAGGGCTGGGCAAGGTCGAACCCAGGAGCCTGAAACTCTGTCTGAGTCTCCTATGTTGGTGCTGGGGCCCAAGCATTTGAGCCATCTTCTACTGCTTTCCCAGGTGTATTAGCAGGGAGCTGCATTGGAAGTGGAGCAGCCAGGACATGAACCAGTGCCCATATGGGCTTGCCAGCTTCATAGATGGTGGCTTAACCTGCTGTGCCTCAATGGTGGCCCTCAAAATAAGACTTTCTAAGACAGAAAGATGTCCCTTAATCTTTTTTTCCCCTTTTATCTCTCTATAGAGAATTTCATTAAGCCAACAGAGGAATTTAAAATGTCTGGTCTCGGTAATGAAGAAGGGACTGAAGAAATCTGTAAACTTGCAAGTGGTGTCAGACTGAAAAATCTGTCACCCCCAGCATCCTTAAAAGGTAAAGAAAATTTGACCTGGTATTCATGTTCTCGGACCTAGGTTCCACTTTGCTTTCTCTAGGATTTCCGTTGGACAAAGGGGAAATAGAGGAACACCAGTTGTCTGTTCTGTGTGGCCCTCGATGGGGGCAGGCCCTGTGTTTGGCTTGGCTCCTCTGGGTCTGGTGTGAATACAGGTTTATTCAACTGCACAAAAGAATGAAGTATGGTACATTTTCCATCGTACAGAAGCCAGATAAGGAAGGAGAGTACTACTGAGACATTTTCTGTCTGCTTTGACAAGAAACGGCAAATAAGGGAGTTTATGTCAGGGATGTATATTGTTCTTTTAAACCTATTCATTCATTCACTCGTGAGAGAGAGACGGAGCTGCCATCTGCTGGTTCACTCTTCAAATGCTCACTGCATCCCCCAATCACCGCTGGAACTGAGGCTGAGAGCCGGGACTCAGTCTAGATTTCCCATGTGGGTGGCAGGAACTGATCACTGGAGTTGTTAACCTGCCCCCCAAGATCTGCAAAAGAGGGGAGCTGGAATCAGGAGCAGAGCCAGGTGTCAAACCAGGGCACTCCAATGAAAGATATGGGCATTCCAATCAGCATCTTAACCAGCAGGCCAAACATCTGGCCCTGTTCCACTTTTTCAGAAAATTGACTTTCAAGCCATTTTTAGAATGCATTCAACTCCAGCTCATGCCACCCGTAAGTAATTTTAAATGTTTAGAAAGATGACATAGGGACATGGCCAGGTTCTCAGTCTTCAAAAGAGCATCATTTATGTTCCATTCACTGTGTCTGCGGAAGTCAAAAGGTGAACTAACTTAACTTCTACTGTGTTCTGTAGACAAGTCCAGAAGTTCACATTCTGTCCCTCATGGGAAGACATCCTTGACCAGAAAGGTTCAGGGAGCCGTCCGTGTGAGCCACTGCACTCAAGCTGAGATGAGAAGTTCGGATTGGAGCTATGAGCTCTCCGACACTTGATGATGACATAGGTGTGATCATGTGTGTCACGAGAACAGCTGAAACTCTGGGCCAGATGAAGAGAAGCCTTATTGCTAGGAGGTCCCAGGAGGGAGAGGAGCCAGGGAAGAGGATAGCAAGGACCAGCTGGGCACGTCAGCAAAGGACAGAAATGACAGGCCCTCTTCCTTCCAACCACTGAGCCTGTCCTCTCCTTGCACCTCCTTGTCACACTTTAGCACAACATCAGAGCACCAGGAAATCAGTCTTATTCCTGTCTGGTCATTGTGTGCCATGCATACGATTAGACCATAGCATCTGTATCTTTTGTTCTCCCAGCACAGTGCTATCTGTGAATGAGGTACTAAACAAATACTTCTAGGCCGGCGCTGCGGCTCACTAGGCTAATCCTCTGCCTTGCGGTGCCGGCACACCGGGTTCTAGTCCCGGTCAGGGCGCCGGATTCTGTCCCGGTTGCCCCTCTCCAGGCCAGCTCTCTGCTGTGGCCAGGGAGTGCAGTGGAGGATGGCCCAAGAGCTTGGGCCCTGCACCCCATGGGAGACCAGGAGAAGTACCTGGCTTCTGCCATCAGATCAGCGCGGTGCGCCGGCCGCAGCGTGCCGGCCACGGTGGCCATTGGAGGGTGAACCAACGGCAAAAGGAAGACCTTTCTCTCTGTCTCTCTCTCTCACTGTCCACTCTGCCTGTCAAAAAATAAAAAATAAATAAACAAATACTTCTGTTGACTTTGCTTGGCTGGGTTTCTGTGTATAAGAACTGTAGAGCAGAATGGCTGTCCCTCTCTTGAATGTATTTGGTTAAAAGACACATAACCAGTTCCCTGTGATGTGGCTTTTCACCTGCAGAAATCTCTCTGGTCCAGCTGGATAGCATGAGCCTTTCCCACCAAATGTTGGTGAGATGTGCGGCCATCATTGGCCTGACCTTCACTACAGAGTTGTTGTTTGAGATTCTCCCTTGTTGGAACATGAAGATGATGATCAAGGCCCTGGCAACTCTAGTGGAATCCAACATTTTTGACTGCTTCCGGGATGGCAAGGATCTCCGACTGGCTCTGAAACAGAATGCAGCCTCCTTCGAGGTGCATAATCGCTCCTTGTCTCTGCAGCCCACTGAAGGCATAGGTGAGTAGCACCTGCAAGCGATCCACAGTTCCCCTCAGCAGAAGGCACACACCTAGGTCAAATAATTGGTCAGTGCTGATTCTGTTGCCTCCTGCCTGGTCAGAAACCCCTTTTCTGTTCTCTAGCTCACGGGGAAGAGGAGGAGCTTCGTGAACTGGAAAGCGAGGTGATTGAGTGCCACATCATTCGGTTCTGCAAGCCTATGATGCAGAAAACAGCCTATGAGCTGTGGCTCAAGGACCAGAAGAAAGCCATGCATTTGAAATGTGCCCGCTTCCTAGAGGAAAACGCCCACAGGTGCGACCACTGCCGAAGTGGGGACTTCATTCCCTATCACCACTTCACAGTAGACATTCGGCTCAACACCCTGGACATGGACACCATTAAGAAGATGGCTACATCCCATGGATTTGAAAGTAAACTTTTTTTGTTCCTAATGAATGCTGACTATTCCTGGGAAATCTGGAGATTAAGGTCTAGAAGGGAGTGGGTCTGAACCTGCAAGGTGTTGAATCTGCTGAGTTGAGGAAGGTATAAGTAGCTGAATCCAACAGAAACCAACTCCCTGTGAGACTGTCAGGACAGGTGTCAGGATAAGGGGTTCCTTATCTTTATCCCAGCCAAATGGGGTATGACCAGAGGTCCAATTAAATATCCTGCTTATGTCACACCAAAGGATAGAATCCAAGAGTGTGTGGTCTGACATGATGACGTAGGAGAGTAAAAGCAACACGTGCCAGGCAGTGGTACGAATGCTGTTGCTTTGTTGTTCTAGTTTGAAATGGGGGGGGGGGGAGGTCCAGTGGGAAAAGACTTATGAGTGGGAGACAATTAGCCAGAGCTAAGCGGGTCAAAAAAGAAGACCCGGCTTCAGGGCATGGATTTGGGACCATCTAGAAAGCAAAAGCTAAAAAGTTGTAAACGGGTCATGTGATCTGGAAAAATGTAGCAGAGGAATCAGGGGGTATAAACCACCCCAAAACTCGGTCACTGCAGACATACAGGTGTCAGGCTTAGCACAGTGACACCAATTCCAGCCCTTATTCATGGGTAACCAGAAAGCAGCTAGTGAGTTGGCTGCCTGGTCGGAGGACCTCAGTGATTATGACTAAATCTGGTTGGGAAAGCAGAAGTTACAAAAATAGGACACATAATTTAAGGATGTGTTAAATCATGAAGAAATGTATGAAAAGTGCTTAGCACATAGTTGGTGCAAAATATTTGTTCTCATGCATTCTCTATTTCACTGCATTCTCATTAGATTCTCATATCAATCCCTTAGGGGATAGAAAATTGAGGTCTGGACACTTAAATCAATTATCTAACACCACAGAATAAGTGACAGACATTATTCAATCCCCAGTCAATCTAATTCCCATGCCCATGCACTATCCATCACTGTCTGAGCTTCCCAAGGTGTGGGGTTGGACTTTCCAGTAATACTAGCCTAGGAAATTGGAAGAGGTTCGTAGACAGACACACTATTAGGTAAGAATCGGAGAGTAAGGAAAGTGACTGCCTTTCAAGTCCATCTCAATCCTTGATCAGATTTGATCCAGGATTAGCAACTTTGCACTGTGGTACAAGCATATTTGTTAACACTGCACTAATACTTGCCAGGCTCTCTCTTTAAAAGAAAGAGAAAGGGGCCGGGGCTGTGGCTCAGTGGGTTAACGCCCTGGCCTGAAGTGCCAGCATCCCATATGGGCACCAGGTTCTAGTCCCAGCTGCTCCTCTTCCAATCCAGCTCTCTGCTATGGCCTGGGAAAGCAGTAGAGGATGGCCCAGATCCTTGGGCCCCTGCACCCATGAGGGAGACCTGGAAGAAGCTCCTGGCTCCTGGCTTTGGATCCGCGCAGCTCCGGCCATTGCAGCCATCTGGGGAGTGAACCAGTGGTTGGAAGAGCTTGCTCTCGCTCGCTCGCTCTCTCTCTCTCTCTGCCTCTGTAACTCTGCCTTCAAATAAATGGACAAATCTTAAAAAAAAAAAAGTAGTGAAAACAAATTACCATCTTGTCCCTGATATTCCAGGAAAAGTGTTGAAGAAAAAGAAATACTAATATTATTATGAAAGTAGCATATATATAACATGATATTGAAATTGAAATTTGTACCAAGGCAGCAAGATACAATGACTGCTGCAGTGCAAGGGGAGGTGATAGGCAGATCTGAGGGACTTATCCTGGATCCCTTATCCAAATCTAAGACAAGGATGAGGGAGAGTGTGGACAATGTCGGATTTGTGAAGAGATGTGCTTGGCGAGCACTGATGAGGACCTGTGTGCTCTGCTTCCTTGACCACCAAAACATTGATAGGAGGGAGCTGACTGGAAGAGATGAAAGAGGAAGAGGACTATTCCAGACTGTGTGGGATAAGTGACTTTCTCTCAAGCCCAGTAAGGGATCCTCCTTGGGATCAGTAAGAGGACACAGACAGTCAGGGCCCTCCTCACTCCTAAGGGGGCTTCGGTGGCCTGACTGCACCGTGACCAAGCTTCCCCTCCCACAGGGTTTGGGAAAGGAAGTGTGAGGCTGTCCCCTGGGTCAGATGACATCCACGGGGGAGAAGAACCAAGCTAGAGGTGCCTTAAGTGCTTCCCGAGAGTAGTCATGGGAGTGGGAGAGGACCCCAACAAGTGGGTTGCTCGGACACAATGGGGCTAAGGGGACAGGCAGTGGAGAGTTGAAGTGCATGCGTTGCCCGAACCCAGGAAGCTTCATAAAGGAGCCCTGAGCAGGGCCATATTCACAGAAGCAATGAAAACGTTGATAGGAGGGAGCTGACTGGAGGAGATGAGGGGAAAGAGGAAGAGGAATATTCCAGACTGTGTGGGTAAGTCTCTCTCTCCCTCTCTCTCTCTCTCTCTCTTTCTCTCTCTCTCTCTCTTTCTCTCTCTCTCTCTCTCTCTCACACACACACACACACACGATTTGGTAGATTGACCTTTCACCTAAGTTGGCAGGTATTGGCTAGGTCAGTTTGGCTTTGCACAGGCTGGCGAGAGTCACCAAAGAAAGCAATCGCAGTTATTTTTGGCTTCTCCACTGAGCCTTGGCAGCCTGGCTCCGGCGTGCATGTGACCAGGTCTCTGGGGTGCACTTTCATCACTGCCTCCACCAGGCTGAGGCCAGGGTGCTCTCACTGCCCTAATCACAGTTGTCACCGGTTCAAAACGCTGTCAATGAGATGTTCTTCAGAGACATTTTCTAAGTTTCCTGAACATTTTATCACAAAAAAACACAATCCCGTGACCCACTGTCCTCCCCCACTGCGGTAATGCTTAAAAATGGTAAACTTAGCTGTTCTTTCTAGTCATTACTTCCACCTACTGAAGACTGTGCTCATGCTGCTTTTTAAAAATGAAGTTCTAACATTATCTGTTGTCTTCTTGCTATAGTAGATGAGGACTTAACTCTGTTACACCACTCCTCAGCACCTCTCCACCTAAATTCTTCTATTACTCATAGGGGATAAGTTATCAAAGTGGTGACGTGACAGACTGTGTAATACCGTCCATTATAGAACCAAGCACTAGATGCACCAAGAGCAGATTTCTTAACAAATGTGGACTTCTCCTGGAGTTTCTAGGAAACTTTTCCATTTGCAATGCCTCCCTTAGAATTTCCTGCTTTGGTCTTGGCTGGATACTCTGCTCATTGTCCACAAGTCTATTAAAATATGGGGAGTGATCCTTCGGTAATACTGGTCAAGGACATAATCAGAAGAGATTCGTGTTAATTTGAAACCAAGTAGCAGATGCCAGGAAGGCATTTGGATCTATATTTATGGGTCCAGAGTTAAAGTAGATGTCAGAGCTTAGAGACGTTCAACTAAAAATCATTGTCATCTGCATGGAATTTAAAGTCACAGGCAAGTGAAATTACCTAGGAGAAACTGTGACTGGAGAAAGAAGCCCAGGACCAAGAGGAGGCAAACTAATATTTAGTTTTATTAAATTATTATGTTTTATTTTTATTTTTAATTAATTTTAACAGATCAGTATAGATATAATTCTAAGAATATAATGATATTCCCTCCCTCCCTCCCTAGCCCTTTCTCCCTCCTACCCTCTTTCCCAATCCCTTTCTTTCTAAGTTTTTGAGATAAAATCTTTTAAATTTACATTGCAGTAAAAAGGTTTAATGCTTCACCAAATAAGAAGTTTAGTAAGTAAAAAGCAAAAAGATCCTAGTTTAGTGGGAATATAGACAACGGCTATAAACAATGATTGAATGGAAATATGACCACTTCACCCATATACAGTAATCACGTGTAAAGTAATCATAGATCATTAACACTATAGTAGTTTAACAATCTTAACCATTGGTTTGACAAAGGTATAAAGCAAGGTTTTACAAACTGTATTTGCAGAAATACTGATACACACAGGCATTTTTTTAATTTTTGTTTTTGACTTGCTTGTTTTCAAAAAAAATTTAGCTCCCAAATATAAGGGAGAACATGCAGTATTTGTATTTCTGAGTCTGGCTTATTTCACTCAACATGATGTCCCCAGTAGCATCCGTTTTGCTGCAAATAGTAGAATTTCATTCTGACTCTCTGCTATGGCTTGGGAAAGCAGTGGAAGATGGCCCAAATCTTTGGGCCCCTGCATCCATGTGGGAGACCCAGAGGAAGCTCCAGGCTCCTGGCTTTGGATCGGCGCAGCTCTGGCTGCCTGGGCCATCTCGGGAGTGAACTGGCAGATGGAAGACCTCTGTCTTTCTCTGCTTCTGCCTCTCTGTAACTCTGCCTTCCAAATAAATAAATAAATCTTTAAAAAAAAATGCCCAACCACTTGAGCCATCACCAGTGCCTCCCAAGGTACACAGTGGTGGGAAACTGGACTTGGTAACAGAGCTGGAACTCAAACCACGGGTGGCATCTTAAGCGCTAGACCAAATGGCCAACTCAGATTAAAGGTTTGTTTTTTTTTTAATTATTTATTTATTATTTGAGAGAGAAAGAGAGAGAGAAATCTTCCATCTACTTGCTGGCTCACTCTCCAAATGCTCACAGCAGCCAGAGCTGGGCCAGTTCAAAGCTAGAAGCCTAGGACTCAATCTGGGCCTCCCCATATGGTTGGCAGGAACCCAAGTACTTCAGCCATCACCTGCTGCTTCCAAGGATGCGTATTAGCAGGAAGCTGGAATCAGAAGCGGAGCCAGGACTCAAAGCAAGCACTCTAATATGAGATGTAGGCATCCCACTGCGCCAAATGCCTGCCCCTAGACTAAAAGTTTTATTTCTTTATATTTAAAGATTTATTTGTTTATTTGAAAGGTAGAATGAGAGAGACAAAGTGGGGATGGGGGCAGTGTGTGTGTGTGTGTGTGTGTGAGAGAGAGAGAGAGAGTGAGATAAAGAGAGAAAGAGAGAGAGAGATCGCCAAATGGCCGCAACAGCCAGGGATGGGTCAGATTGCAGCCAAGAGCCAGGAACTGCATTCTGGTGTCTCCCACATGGGTGGCAGGGGCTCCAGTACTTGGACCATTATCCACTGCCTCCCTAGGCACATTAGTAGGATCTGCACTGAAGTGGAGCAGCCGGGACTCAGTATGGGATGCCAGCATTGCAAATGTGGCTTAACCTGCTGCACCACAACTCTAGCCCTCAGACTAAATGTTTTAAATTCAAGTTTCATGGCCCTGTAGTCAGCCTTTGGCGGGGGGGGGGGGGGGGGGGTTCATTAAAATATCTCCATTTCTCCACTAGAAACTGATGTCGCTTTCTGCAGGATTGTTAATTTGTAGTTATAGTTACTGCAGGCTGAATGAGTTAAGAAAATGCCACCTGCTGTAACTAACACCAGCATTTCAGTGGCTGAACACAATACTTGTAGAATGATAGTTTATTCTCTGCCCATGTAATAATCCCATGAACGTTTTGACAAATTAGTGTGCAGTTACGTAGGGACCCAGCTTCTTCTAACACACAGTTTTGCTGTCCCTTAGTGGCTCAGAATTATTTGCTTGCCTGTGGAAGGACAGGGTAGAGAGGACACAGGAATATCTCAGGACAGAGGTGACACATATCTGATCTGGTTCTAATATGGGGACTAACCACATGGCTCCCGCTAAGAGGCAGTGGGTTGTGGGAAATGTAGTTCCTGGCTGGGCAGCAGCAACCTCATGTTCTGAAAAGGAAACTGGAGTCTTTGGTGGATACCACACACTTCCAGGAGCCATGCCACTCACTTTTGTTTATTTTCTAGCTGAGGAAGAGATCAAGATTTCCAGAGCCGGGATCCCTAAGAACTCTGAGTTATTTTCCGAAAACCTCAGGTACAGGCATACATCATTGTTTAGGAAGTAGATCACAAACTATTGCTGAATTTGACCCTCGAGCAGAAGCATCTGTCTGGTTGCTACTATTGGCCTCTTGGGTCCTAGTGGGCAAGTATGGGGGTGGGTGCATGGCCAGCAGTCTCTACACTGGGTTTTAGCATCTTGCTCTTTTGTTAGTTTTTAAAGCTTTTTTTCCTGTTAAAAGCTGCCAGTTGCTCTTTGGCTAGTTTTTAAAGACATTTTCATATTAAAGGCCATACTGTATCTACCAGTTACTACCACTCTATGTCTGCATTTGAACAGCCCTGAAGAAATAGGGGAAAGGATCTTAGGGTTTTTTGACGTCATCCTAACGAAAATGAAGACGTCGAAGGAAGACATCATCCCTCTGGAATCCTGCCAGTGTGAGGAGATCCTAGAGATTGTCATCTTGCCTCTGGCCCAGCATTTCCTGGCTTTGGGAGAAAACAACAAGGCCTTGTATTACTTCCTAGAAATCACATCTGCGTATCTCACCCTGGGCGACAATTACATGGTAAGCTGTGCCTACTGCACCCCAGAACGTGCACCCACAGAGCCCCAAGGGAAGTTCCAAGGTGTGGCTTCATCGCTGCACGTCCTCACTTCCTGCCAGGCCCCTTTCCTGTGAGGCTCACATTGCTCGGAGGGGGAAATGATCTCAGACTCAGAAAAGGCAGTCGGGAAGAGCCACATTTAAAATACTGCTGCCTCGGGAACCTTGCCATGAGCCAAGGGGTCATATCTCATTCCCCAAATGATACAGGGAGACTCTGAGTAGCAGTGCGTCAGGTCTAAAATACCCTCCCTCAGTGACATCCGGGGGCACTTAGCCTCTGTCGTCTCCACATACCCGTGAGCACGCAGTCCTCTTTCCAACAGTGCACAGCTGGTTTTAGTCTTGTGATGTCCCCAAGAGGCACACCCATTTTTCTCTTCACGAGATCTGTGCCCAGTTATCACACGTATCTGTACACCAGTGAAGCACGTGGCTGTTTCTCTGTGGTAATTGTGAGTCAGGTGCCAGGGCAACACGCCCCTAGCTATGAGAGGATTGGCTACCATGAGGGGTCTTCAACGAGTTCACAGAAAATTCGTGTTATGAAAAAGCCAAGTGCCAAACTTGTGGAGTGAACTGGGCTTGGGAAGGCACAGGTTTTAGAAAGTCGGCCCCCAGGGCTATCCACTTCTCTTCCTGGGACTCAACGTGTTTTTGCATTAAAATAAGCTTAGCTTTTACTTCCACTTTGCGGCAACTTTTTGAAGTAATCTTGTATAGTTAAGTACTAAAACAGTAAGGTGGGTAGCATTGAGCCTAATGTAGCTAAGTTGGGTTCTTTTAAAAAACAATTATATTTATTTACTTTCATTTTACTTGAAAGGCAGAGAGATTTTTGTCTGTTTGCTTAAAGACTTATTTATTTATTTATTTGAAAGGCAGAGTTACAGAGAAGCAGAAAGAGAGAGAGGTCTTCCATCTGCTGGTTCACTCTCTAAGTGGCTGCAATGGCCAGAGCTGAGCCGATCAGAAGCCAGGAGCCTGGAGATTCTTCCAGGTCTCCCACATGGGTGCTGGGACCCAAGTACTTGGGCCATCTTATGCTGCTTTCCCAGGTACCAGGGAGCTGGATCAGAAGTGGAGCAGCTGGGACTCGAACCAACACCCATGTGGGATGCCTGCATTATAGGCAGTGGCTTTATCCCATATACCACAGCACTGGCCCCTGGAGTGAGAGATTTTAAAAATCTACTGGTTCAGGGCCAGTGCTATGGCATAGCAGGTTAAGCCACAGTCTGCAACACTGGCATCCCATATGTGTCAGGAACCCAAGTACTTGAGCAGGGTAGCTAAGACTGGAACCAGGCACTGTGATGTGGGATGTGGGTGTCCCAAGTGGCAACTTAACCCCTGTGTCAGGTCTCTGAAGCTTCCAGGGGAGAGAGAAAGGTAAGGGTCAGGCTAGGGGGAAGGCATGTTTCTCATGGAGCAGCTGTCTGGACTACGCGTGGAGATGCCTGTCTGAGTCTTGCTATATGTGTCTGCAGCCAGCTTCAGGAAGTTTCACATACCCAAGGAGTGGTATCTACAGTACTTCGTGACCACACTGGTGGCCCAATAGCTACTGGTGATTGCAGCAGCCTCATCAACCTTCCTACCTTAGACTTACCTAAAATTTAAAAACAGTCAACCCTTCAAAATGCCAGGAAGCCCTTGTTTTCTCCAGTATTTATATGGAGAAAGTCGCCTACATATTCTCCTGCACAAATGGTGTGGGTGGTGGTGCAGATGTGGCCAGTGGATCTCAGGAAGAGGAGGCGTAGGTACCCCCGGGGGCACCTGTGCATACCCCATTTCACTCCACAAAAATGAGTGAATGATCGGGAAGACCACGACTGAAAGTAGGTCCCAGAGGCAACATCTCAGAATGTGCCGTATACAACCTCTCTCCCATCGGAGTAAAGCCGGTGGGACTGGGGCTGGTGCCAGTTTCATCACACCAGCCTCTTCTTGCCCCCACGCACTGTCTTAGGCTGCATGCGACCTGGAAGTATTGCCTCCCCTCATTTTGTTAGACTCAGATCTTGCCTTGGTGTTCCCATGTGACAAGATTCACCTAACAACGTCAGGTTAAAGATGAAGAGAGGAGAGTGGGTCAGGGCTTTGTCTTCTTGTTGGCTCTCCTAAAGATGGCCCTGGCAAAGGGAATGTGTGTGTGTGTGTGTGTGTGTGTGTGTGTGACAACTCATTCCAAAATCAGAAAGCAGCTTCTCCCAGATGTGGGGATGTTGGCAAGGGTGCAGGATTCGTTGTTGGAAACAGGAAGTTGGGGATGGAGTTTCCAGGAAATTACCTTGGGGAAAACTTTAGGTAAGGCAACCTATGTGATAGTGTAAGGAAAAGGAGATATTCTTAGATTCTTTTATTTTTTAAGATTTGTGTTTTGAAAAAAATTATTTGAAAGGTAGAGTTACAGTGAGAGGAGGAGAGACAGAAAGAGAGAAAGAGAGGGAGAGAGAGAGAGATCTTCCATCCTGGTTCACTCTCCAAATGGCTGCAATGGCCTGAGCTGGGCCAGGCTGAACCTAAGAGCCAGGAGCTTCTTCCAGGTCTCCCATGTGGGTGCAGGGGCCCAAGGATTCAGGCCATTTTCTACTGCTTTCCCAGGCACATTAGCAGGGATCTGGATCAGAAGTGGAGCAGCCAGAACTCAAAGCAGCGCCCATGTGGGTTGCTGGTAGCATTGCAGGCAATGGCTTAACCTATGCTGTGCCACGATGCCAGGCCCGAGATTCCTGGATTCATCCTCTAGATTGAATGATGCAGTGGACAAAAGTAGACATGAAGGAGGAGGCTTTGCCTAGGCTTTGAGGCTCATTCTAATCAGAGGTATTGGGGAGAGGGGTGGAAGTGTTACCTGGGGTGGCCCCTACTTCTCTTCTCTTCCAACCCTGAGGGCTGGGGCTGGGGCTCCTCTGCAGCCTGGGTCCCTGGCCACTCAGCACTTTTCCCTCTGTGTGCTGGTTGCAGGCATACATGTATTTGAATGAGGGAGAGAGGCTGCTGAAAACCCTCAAGAAGGAAAAATCCTGGAGTCAGACTTTTGAGTCTGCCACCTTTTATAGCCTCAAAGGCCAGGTAAGACACCACACATGAATTAAGCTGTTACTTGCCTTGGGCCTTTCCATGGAGGTAGAAGTTTCCACTACTATACCTTGTACTTCCCTCTCCCATTCCCCACCACCGATGCCTGTCCAAGACGCTAGCACCCCAGCCCCTGGACTCCAACTCACTGTCGTCCCCATAGTAAGATCTTCCCTGTTCTCCAGGCTGCATCCTTATGAACTATTTCCATAGCAACCTCTACATATAGATGTGAATGGGTCAGGTGATACACAGCAAAGACACCAAATCCTACTCATTCAGCCTTCTTTCACGCACGCATCCAGTAAATGCTACTATGCCAGTCACAAGAATTCCTTTCTGGGCCATAAATCACCTCTTTGGAAAGAGTCCCCAGAGGATGAATTGAGGGACCCTAGCGACCAAGTCCAGGATGACTGCTTTGCCTCCTTCCCGCTCTCCCTCTCTCATCATCCTCGTAGGTCTGTTTCAACATGGGCCAGATGGTGCTTGCCAAGAAGATGCTGAGGAAGGCGCTGAAGCTTCTCAACCGAATCTTCCCTTACAACCTGATCTCCCTGTTTCTCCACACCCACATGGAGAAAAACAGACACTTTCACTATGTGACTCAGCAGGCCCAAGAGAGCTCACCTCCAGGGTAAGGGAGGGAGCCGGGGAGAGCTCATCTCACTCCCCGGAGGAGCGAGACCTACCTGTAAGGTAACAGTCAGCCCCAGAGCCTGGGCCTCCGGGGGGTGCAAAGACTGCTGTGTGGCTCTGACCACTCGCTGGTGGGGGAGAGGGGAGCGTGGGGGCTGCTCCCAGGCCAGAGCTGGGTTGCCCCCGAGCACTTCCCAGGCAGCTCTTGCCAGTGGGAGCTCAGATGACAAAGGGTTAAAGAGACCACCTTTGCAAGGTAAGCTCTGGTGCCTCTCCCATGATGTAGCCCACTGAAGCCCTGGCCATCCATGTTGCCATTGGAACCTGCAACATTGCTCCTGGAACCTCAGTCACAGCCCTCTTCCATTCACAGTCAAGACAGTGGGTATGGGCCCTGCCCTGAAGGAAAATAGCAGGCGTCTGTCGGGGGATTAACCACCTAGCTATCTCCATAGGGACGCAGCTTCCGTGAGGACATCCACTGGCTAAAATTGTACAGCGTTTTGTGCTTTTCAGCACATGTGAATTTTACCTACAAAAGAACCTCAGAAAACAGTCATGGACTGTGAGAGAAACAGTGAGAGGAGAGGGAGATGAAATAAGAAAGTTGACAGCTGGCTGGCGCCGCTGCTCAGTAGGCTAATCCTCCGCCTAGCGGCACCAGCACACCGGGTTCTAGTGCCGATCGGGGCGCCGGATTCTGTCCCGGTTGCCCCTCTTCCAGGCCAGCTCTCTGCTGTGGCCAGGGAGTGCAGTGGAGGATGGCCCAGGTGCTTGGGCCCTGCACCCCATGGGAGACCAGGATAAGTACCTGGCTCCTGGCTTTGGATCAGCGTGGTGCGCCGGCCGCATAGCGCCTGCCGTGGCGGCCATTGGAGGGTGAACCAACGGCAAAGGAAGACCTTTCTCTCTGTCTCTCTCTCTCTCACTGTCCACTCTGCCTGTCAAAAAAAAAAAAAAAAAAAAAGTTGACAGCAGAAACTGGTGCTGGGTACCTAGGGCTCATTACACCCTTTTGTTTGCTGTGTGTATGTTTGAAACCTTTTAGAATAAAGGTTTATTTAAAAATTCCACCTATCTAGCAGCTCATACAGAGGGAAGGACCACCTTGTTAGGAAATCTAGAGGGCTGACAGAGAACTTCCCATCCGTCTCGGGAGAGACCAGTAGTCTAAGACACAGACCTTGAGCAAGTTACTACAGCTCTTTTTGCGACCCCACAAGAAACTACCCTTGTCTGCTTCCCAGAGTATTCCTTTCCATGTGGGAGAATCCTGAAATGGGAATGGGATGGAGCTGAGCTCCTTTGCAGGTTGGAGGCAGCTCCTGGGAATCCCTGGCCTCTCCTGAGACACCAGGAAGGGAGGGGTGAGGAAGCGCTCAGAGATGGCTCTGAGAGGTTGAGAAGGAAGTAGCCCTTGGCTTACCTATAGGGCTGCCAATCAAACACAAGATGCCTAGTGAGATTTGAATTTTGGTGAAGTTAAGCAATCATTTCTTTAGTGCACATTTGCTATATGTCACATATATTTAGGACACACACATTTGTTTCTTTTTTAAAAAAAAATGTTATCTATTTTTAAATTCATATTTAACTGGGCATCCGGTATTTTCATTTGGTAAATTGGATAACCTTAGTTTGGGTCCACATTGTATAAAAGGGACAAGAAGTACCTGCACAAGGGGAAAAGGCAGAAAAGTATTGTGCGGGGAAAAACCTGCAGAGTTGTTGGCTTCAGGTACCCTCCAGTCAAAGGAGTCTCACTCTAAGATGAGGGCGGTAAGAACAAACTCAATGCCAGGGTGTCAGCAGCGCTCTGGGCTTCTTACACAGTAAGATTTTACCCTGTCCCTGCCTCCTCAGAACCTTGAAAAATGACATTTACAACAGAGTCAGTGTCATCTCTGTCTAAGCTGAGTGTACCTGGGATTCTTCTTTAGCCTCTCAACAATGCCTTTTTCCTCCTTCCTTCTCCTTTTTATTGAAAATCTGCCTTTTGAGAAGCATTTCCGTTGCTATTTTGTTCTCGTGGTTTTGTTGAGTTCCTAACAAGGCAGCCCTCTTGTTGAGGCCCCCGTTTCTGTCTCACACACACGCAGGATGTGGGGCTGCATGATCAGTGGCCCATCGAGGCTGGCACTGAGAGCCCAGACGTTCCTCGTGGAAGGTCATCCGTCTGTTCTCCCCTTGAACGCCAGGGCGGGAGGGGGGGTCACCATTGCCTGTGACACTGCAGTCCACTGTCTGAACCTAACTGTTGAAGATGCTCATTTCCTGTGTTGAGCTGAGACCCAGCTCCTAAGCGCAACGTGCAGTGGAGGAGGCAGTGCATTGACCAGACTGAGCTGAGGGTGGACAAGGCTTCGGTCCTGGCACCCTCACTTCTAGCTGTGGGACTTCGAGTTAACTGCTTAATTTGAGTCTCACCTTCTTCACACCGAGGCTAGTTATTCCTTCTTCCTGATAGGGTTGTCATTAGAATCAACTGTCATGAATTATATTATCGTACATTTTTAAATAACTGCATTTAACTAGCAATTTGGGGACAGGTGACCTGAGGCAGATGCCGATATAAATCATCTTAATGGTCACAAAGAAGGTAGTAGGTGAACAAAGTAGGTATTACGGCCCTCACTTTACAATGAAAAAAGCGTGATTCATAAAAATGAACATGCCTGCCAGTCACAGAGGCGAGCTTCAGATGCAAGGCGGTTCTGCCTCCCGAGCCCGCAGCAAGGCCCCGGTGTACCTGCACCCCGCTAGCACATGGTGGCCATTCTACCCTCTATGTGTGGTCCATGTGTGTTTACTTCATGTCCTAGGAAGAAGAGGCTGGCCCACCTCTACCAGCAGACCGCCTGCTTCTCCTTGCTGTGGCAGATCTACAGCTTGAATTATTTTTTCCACCACAAGTACTATGGCCACCTGGCAGCTATGATGGAGCTGAACACCGCACTGGAAACTCAAAATGATTTCCAGGTAAGGCGTGCGTGTAGCTGCTCCTCGCATTTCTGGATCTCACTTGGAAAGAGGAGCCCCGCGAAAGCCCAGCTGGGACTGACATCGCCAGACTGCCGCAGAGCCTTCCTCACGGCAGGGTTTCGCTGAGGTCAGCAGTGGCCAACAGGATCCCGTCACACGTTTACAAAACCAGTGAGGACCCCAAAAAGCTTTTATTAATAGGAGCTATACCTACTGGCATATAGGAAATGAAAACTGAGGAAATTTATTTTTAAAATTTATTTTAAAATACAAATCATGAACGCATTGCACAGAGACAGCAAGATCTTCCATTAGCTGGTTCACTCCCCAAGTGCCTGCAACAGGCAGCCCAATTGGGCTGGGCCTTCCAGGAGCCAGGAATTAAATGTGGGTCTCCCACTTGAGCCATCATCTACTGCCCACCAGGATGAGCATTAGCAGGGAGCTGGATGGGGGGCAGAGCCAGAGCTGGAACCCAGGCACTCCAGTATGGGATGCGAGATGTTCTAAGCAGTGTCCTTGCTGCTTTGCCGGTTGCCTGCCTCATCCTAATCATTCCTTTTTTATTAAGATTCATTTTATTTGTTTGAAAGGCAGAGTGATAGTAAGGGAGGGAGAGACAGAGTGAGAAAGAGATTTTTCCATTCACTGGTTAACTCCCCAAGTGGCTACAACCCAGCCCAGGCTGAAGCCAGGAGCCTGGAACCCCATCTGGGTCTCTGACATGGTTGTCCGGGATTCTTCCACTGTTTTCCCACGCGCATTAACAAGGATCAGAAATGGAGCAGCTAGGACTCAAACCAGCACTTCGATAGGGTATGCCAGCATCACAGGCAGCCTGCATGACCATTTCTTTTCTTTTTTTTTTTAACATATTTATTTATTTATGCATTTATTTATTTATTTTGAGAGGCGGAGTTACAGAGAGAGGGAGAAACAGAAAGAAAGGTCCTCTATCCACTGATTCACTCCCGAAATGGCACAACCCCCAGAGCTGGGCTGATCTGAAGCCAGGAGCCAGGAACTTCTGGGTTTCCCACATGGGTGCAAGGACCCAAGGACTTGGGACATCTTTCACTGCCTTCCCAGGCCATAGCAGAGAGCTGGATTGGAAGGGGAGCAGCCAGGACTCAAACTGGCACCCATATGGGATGCTGGCACTTCACATGGAGGCTTAGCCTGCACTGCTACAGTGTCGGTCCCCATAACCAATTCTTAAAAACAAACAAATAAGCAACAACAACAAACCACCATATTTCCCCAAGCAAAAAACAGTGAGAAGTGTGGCTTTGTATTAAATTTTTTGCAAATATCTTAATGAGTGGCTTCATAGATGACAAGATTCTCACACCTGCTTCTATCATGTATGTTGCCTCTGGGAAATGTCAGTATTTAATCCAGAAGGAATAGGAGTGAAGAAGGAAAATGTTAAAAGTGATTTTGGGGAGCCGATGCTGTGTCATAGAAGGTTAAGCCTCTACCTGCTGTGCCAGCATCCCATGTGGGTACCCGTTCGAGTCCCAGATGCTCCACTTCCAATCTAGCTCCCTGCTAATGCACCTGGGAAATCAGCATAGGATGGCCCAAGTACCTGGGCCTTATCACCCATGGGGGAGACCCAGAAAAAGCTCCTAGCTCCTGGCTTCGACCTGGCCCAACCCCAGCCATTGAGGCCATTTGGGGAGTGAACCAGCAGAAGGAAGATATCTTTCTTTGTCTCCCTCTCTCTTGCCTTTTCTCTCTGTATCTCTGCCTTTCAAATAAATAAATAAATCTTTTTTTAAAAAAGTGATTTAAAAAAATGAATAGCATATAAATGTAAAGGCAATGCATTTTAAAGATTATATTTAACTCATTGAGTTAATCCAGTGAGAGAACTAGTAAGATGTTACAGCTGACCCCAAGGAGTATTCATTTAAAACTAGTGTAGTCCCAGGCCAATAATCACATGGATTCCATTGGACATTTCCGTTTCCATGAAAAAACAATCGTATAGTTTACATTCTGGAGAGTTATAACACGGTTCAGACAGTGAAAGGTAGAGATATCTCAACTGGTGAGCTAGACAGGACACTCATAGAATTGTTTTTCTTTTGGCTCATTTCAAACTCTCTTTTTAAATTAATTTATTTATTTGGAAGGCAAAGTTACAGAGAGGCAGAGAGAGAGATCTTCCATCCACTGGCTCACTCCCCAAATGCCTGCAATGGCGGGAGCTGGGCCGATCCAAAGCCAGGTGCCAGCAGCCTCTTCCAGGTCTCCCACACGAGTGCAGGGACCCAAGGTCTTGGGCTTCCTGGTACTGCTTTCCCAGGCCACAGGAGAGAGAGCTGGATCAGGGGTGGAGCAGCCAGGTCTCAAACTAGTGCCCACATGGGATGCCAGCACTGCAGACAGCAACTTCACCCCCTACGCCACAGCACCTGCCCCTCATTTCAACCTCTTTCACTATTTTTTTCCGACATAACTAATACTTTGATATGATGAAGCTAGCTTTGACCTGTGTGCTTTCTGTAAGGGTCTTGGACCAATGGGGGTCCTGGGACCAACTGGGAGAGCCACTAGGCAAAGACTTTGGGTGAGATGAGAAAGATTCCAGGAGACAAGATCATGAAATTCTGAAGCTAAATCCAGCTCGTCAACCTGGCTCCTTTATAAAAAGTACATCAAGTCTGTATTTCTTTTGGGGCAATCACTTCCTCCTGGACTGCGAATGACCAAGAACTGAGGGAAATAGTCAAGTTGGAGGAGCTTGAATTGAAATAGTCATGTTGGAGGAGCCTGAATTCCTAGCCAGGAGTCTGTCACCAGCATTAGTTTTTTTCATGAGCCCAGCCAGGCTGGCTCGCCCAGGACAGAGAAGTATTTATAAAGCTCATCTGGCTGGTACCCCTGCCTGTTTCCATCCCCACCCCACCCAGTTCCCTGGATCACTGGGGCGGCCACATTGGTCTCTTTTGGTTGCTAAGACCCAGAAATTCAGTCTCTTTCTTGCACTGAACATTTCCTCTGACTGAAGTGTTCATCTCCTGATCGTTACTGGGCTTTCTTTTTTTTTTATTATTTTTCTAAGATTTATGTTGGACTTACTCTTTATCAGCTTAAAGATCACTGCTCCAGTGAAGTCTACCTCCCTTAACAGAGCCACCCTTCACGTTCTAACCCATCACCCTTATGTTAGCAGGTTTTGTTTGTTCACCTGTTAGCTCATAGTCGGTCCCCATCACTAGCCTGTGACCTTGGGGACAGCAGGGCCTTTGCCACGGTGTTCACATCCTGTGAGCCTAGAACCGGGCCTGGCATTTGGCAGGTACTCAAAAGACACAGATTGGAAGAAATATTTCACTTCCTCTTCACACTTGAGGCAGTGGAGTTGGGGTTCGGCAGGGCATCTGTGGTGGTGATGGAAGTGGGCCAGGGTAGATCAAATGTAGAAACCATCTTGGAAGTGAATTAAGAGACTGGTCAGGGAGGCGTTTGGCAAAGTGGTGAAGACGCCACTTGGGACACCCACGTCCCATATCGGAGTGCCTGCGTGTGAGTCCTGGCTCCTCTGTCTCTGATCCGGCTTCCTTCTAAGGTGCTCCCTGCGGGGCAGCAGATAATGACTCAACTACCTGAGTCTCTGCCACCCGTGTGGGAGACCCAGAATTGAGCTCCTGGCTCCTGGCTTTGGCCTCATGTAGCCTAGGTTATTGTGGACATTTGTGGAAGTGAACCTGCAGATGGAAGATTCCCCGCCCCCCTTACAAATGAAAGAAAAAAGAAGAAAGAAAGACAAATGTCAAAAGACAGAGACTTGTTCTGAATGCAGAACAGCAGGGAAAGCAGTTCAAAAATGGCCCAGGTAGCAGGAGTGGGACAATGGCAGGAGCCAGTGTGAGGGCCAGGAGGGGTTTCCAGACCCCCACCTCTCTGCCTTGTGACACTGGCGAGCACGTGACCTCAGAGCTTTGCATTCTCCCCACTGAGTGCAGCAGTTGGACGCCACCCATTTGCAGTCTTGGATTTTTCATTTCCCCACAGTTCTCTGCACTCCACCACCATTTCTGACCAGCATTTTCACAAGGAGGTTCCTGGGCAGAAAGGAATGCCCTAAAATGGAGTCTCAGGGACCTGCTTTTAGCACAGAAGGTGCGGGCAGTCGCTTTGCACCATTTGTGAAACTGCAGGAAAAGAGTCCCTACTCAGAAGTGCCTCCCCCACCCAACTGCTGTAACTCCCAGGACTTCCCGCCTTTGGAGACTGTGTCTCCTGTTTACATTTTCAAAGCCACTTCCATGAACTCTGTTTTTATAGATGTAATAAAACTGCTTTTTTCCATTTCCGTGGAATGGCTGGGGCTGGACCATACTGAAGCCAGGAGCCTGGAACTCCATCTGTGTCTCCCCTGTGGGTAGTAGGAGTCCAAGCACTTGGACTGTCTTCCACTGCTTTCCCAGGCATATTAGCAGGGAGCTGGACAGGAAGTGGAGCTGCCGGGACTGGAACCCATATGGGATTCTGGCACTGCAGGAGACTTAACCCAGTGAGCCACAACATTGGCCCCCTTCCATTATTTTTAAAGGCAAATAAACCAAGCCTACTTTTTTTTTTGTCAAATTACAAAGGCAATACACACTTATTACAACAAATTAAATACCACAGAAGTACCTAAAGTAAAAAGCAAAGACTTTCTTGTCTCTTAAATCCCCCCCTTGCCTGCAGCAAAGAGGCAACTACTGTTTACATTTTGGGTTGCATCCTTTCAGGCTTTTTGCTATGCGATCATATATCCATACATGTAAGCCATTGCTTTTATTTCTCATGGAAATAAAAATGTTTATATTTTAAAGACTCTGTGGGCAGGAGGGCCCATCGAGCTTGTCCTACAGGATATAGTAAATAGATGCCAGAAACTCCATTTGAGTTCTTTTTTTTTTTAAAGAATTATTTTATTTATTTGAAAGACAGAGTTACAGAGAGAGGTAGAGACAGAGAGAGAGAGGTCTTCCATCCGCTGGTTCACTCCCTAATTGGCTGTAACAGCTGGAGCTGCGCCAATTCAAAGCCAGGAGCCAGGAGCTTCTTCCAGGTTTCCCATGAGGGTGCAGGGGCCCAAGCACCTGGGCCATCTTCCACTGCTTTCCCAGGCCATAGCAGAGAGCTGGATCAGAAGAGGAGCAACCGGGATTCAAACTGGCGTCCATATGGGATGCTGGCGCTGCAGGCTGGGGCTTTAACCCACCGCGCCACAGCAGCCACAGCGCCGGCCCCCTCCATTTGACTTCTGTATATCAGACCATGGCTTTGGCCAAATGACCAGCTCTATTCCCAAGCTTCCCAATCCAATGCTTACTGGCAGACACTGGGTGATGTCCCTGGGCTTTCCGCTTTGTGTTCCACCTCCATCTTTTCCCTTCTTGCCTCCCTTGCTGCCATTTCAGATCATTAAGGCTTACCTGGACTACGCCATGTACCACCACCTGGCTGGCTACCAGGGCGTGTGGTTCAAATATGAAGTCAAGGCCATGGAGCAGATCTTCAACCTCCCCCTGAAAGGCGAGGGCATTGAAATTGTGGCATACGTGGCTGGTAAACTGAGCTACATCAAGTTAATGATGGGTTACCTGGACTTGGCCATTGAGTTAGGTAAGGACTGGCTGGCAACAAGGAACATGATGATACAAGTAATATCCACAAATACACTGCAATTGTTTTTTTCCCAGGCGCTCGAGCCCACAAGATGTGGGCATTGCTCCAGAATCCCAACCAACACTATGTGGTCCTCTGCAGACTTAGTAAATCTCTCTTCTTGAAAAACAGGTATTTATCTCAAGGCGTTTTCCAAAGTTAGGGGGAGGAAGCCATATAAGTATTATGGCGTGACCTGGCTCACTTACCCTGGTCACAGGGCAGGGAGGAGTATGGCTCGCAGGGAGATGACCAGATGGGTCTGAACCATGTTTTATTTTTGGACACTACTGCCCATTTAACTGAATGCTGCCACATGCGTCCTTTCGAATCTGGTTGCTCTGCCCAGTGGTGGGGGTGCGGGGGGGCTGAGACAGTGGGGATCAGGTCCCTGCCCATCAAGTGGAGAGGAAGGGGAAAGTCCTATAGGGAGGCAGATACCCAGAGAATCACAACCAGGACCTGGGGGCCCTGGCCAGACTGGCTTCACGCTGGTCGCCCTGTTATAGAGGACCCATGAAAGAACAGTTTGGGGAAAGAGCCAATCAAATCCCTAGATTCCAGTCCTCAGCAGGGGTGGATCTGAAGTCTGTTTAGTGAGTTGCATTTGGTTCTCAGTTCCTGAGCAGGACCAAGTGCTGGACCAGGATTGAAATCCTGCCTGTCCTCTCCACTCCCCACTTGTTAATGCCCACATCTTGTCTCTTCCCTAGATACAAGCATCTGATCCAGATGCTGAGGAGGCTGTGGGATCTTTCTGTAGCAGAAGGCCACATCATCAGCAAGGCGTTTTTCTATTTAGTCTGCTTGGACATCATGCTTTATTCCGGTGAGTGTGGCTCTGGGATTGAAAAGAGATTGGGGCTGTGGCCCCTGCACTGTGCGTTATGTGATAGCTGCCAGGGATTTTTTTTTTTTAAGATTTATTTTATTTATTTGAAAGACAGAGTTACAGAGAGAGGTAGAGAAAGAGAGAGAGGTCTTCCATCTGCTGATTCACTCCCCAAATGGCTGCAACGGCCGGAGCTGCTCCAATCCGAAACCAGGAGCCAGGAGCTTCTTCCGGGTCTTCCACGTGGGTGCAGGGCCCCAAGGACTTGGGCCATCTTCTACTGTTTTCCCAGGCCATAGCAGAGAGCTGGATCAGAAGAGGAGCAGCTGGGACTAAAACCGGTGCCTGTATGGGATACCAGTACTTCAGTCCAGGGCTTTAAGCCGCTGCACCACAGTGCTGGCCCCAGGGCTGGAGTTTTGAGACCAGTAGGTTTCTGGCTGATAGATTTAGAGGAGAGGGAAAGGAAGAATCTGGTGCTGTGAACCAAGGAGCTGTCTTGTAGGTGCCAAGATTGGAATGGAATAGCAATGAGGAAGCTGTTGGATCTAAGCTGCTGGCTTATTTGTCAGATTAATTTACACACAAGTAACAGTGACTGATATTGTCTTCCTATGTCCATTTTACTGGAGACTTTTTTTTGTATTTATATATTTTTTAATATTTATTTGAAAGGTAGAATTACAGACAGAAAGGTTCTCCATCTGCTGGTTCACTTCCCAAATGACCACAAAGGCTGGAGCTGAGCCAATCTGAAGCCAGGAGCCAGGAGCTTCCTCCGGGTCTCCCGCGTGGGTGCAGGGGCCCAAGGACTTGGGCCATCTCCCACTACTTTCCCAGATGCATTAGCAGGAGCTGGATGGGAAATGCAGCAGCTGGGATTCATATGGGATGACAGTATCTCAGGCTGTGGCTTAATCCACTGGGCCATAACACCAGCCCCATAAAGTTATCTTTTAATTTTACTTTTCCATGAAATTTCTGGCGTACCCTTGTATATGCATATGATCCCACAATAGCTGGGACTCAGCAAACACAAGGCAATGCAGCCACGTGGTTGCCACAATCCATGGGACCCTTTGGATTCACAAAGCAATCAGAGACTGCTCTCCCTGCGGTGTGAAATCCTACGGTGAGCCACCAGGCCAAAAAGACAACCACCCCCCACCTACCAGCTAAGCTCTCTGCTCTCTATCTCTCTTCTAGGCTTCGTTTATAGAACATTTGAAGAATGTTTGGAATTCATTATCCAAAATGAAGACAACAGAATCCTCAAGTTCCAAAGTGGACTTCTCCTGGGACTTTACTCGAGTATAGCTATCTGGTAAGAGAACATGGTGAACGCCAAGAGGAGTTCTATGAAACCTGCGAGAGCTATTCATCCCTTAGACGCGAGGCAGCTCCAGGAGACCAGCAGGATTCAGTCCATCCCCTTCCACCAAGAACAGAAAAGTGAGGTTGTCTCCATTGTAGTCAGTGCAATGGGCTTTGTCCCCATACACATCATGCTGTGGTAGCACAGGAGTAAATAAGAAAAGCTTACAGTGCCTTCAGCCCGCTGTCTCCTTGGGTTCTGCATCCGTGGAGTCAACCAACCCTGGTTTGAAAATATTTGGGGATACATGTGTCTGTACTGAATACAGTCATTATTCCTTAAACAATACAGTGGGTGACAAGTATCCCGTAACATTTACATTGTGTTATTAGGTATTTGAAGTCATTAGAGATGATTTAAAGCCTATGGGGTGATATGCATAGGTTATATGCAAGTACCATGCCATAGTACTTAATAGAAGGGGCTTGAGAATCTAGATTTTGGTATCTGCAGAGGTTCCTGGAAGCAAATCCCCTAGGATGCTAAGGGTTGACAGATCTAGCTTCTGAGGCGTGCTGGGGCTTGCGCCCACCTAGGTCTAATCCCACAGAACAACATTATTGTGAGGCTAAGGTTGGAGGATATGGTTTACATCTGCAGGGAAGGTTCCTAGCACTGAGCCCGGTGATCAGACTTACCCACGCAGCAGCAGGCAGTTCCTGAAAACCACGTTCTGTAATTAATACACAGTTATTCTTAAGTGTTGAAACTTAACTGAAAAGTGATCCCTGTTAAATATAAGAGTGGGAATAAGAGAAGAAAGAGATGTACAATTTGGAACATGCTCAAGCTGACTTGCCCCAAACGGTACAATTAGAAACATACCAGGGGATTCCAATTCAATCCCATCAAGGTGGCATGTACCAATGCCATCTCACTAGTCCAAGTGATCAATTTCTGTTCACAATTGATCATAATGATAGGACTAAGAGCCAAAGGGAGCACATAAACAAGACTAGTGTCTTCAAATACTAACCAATAGAATAAAAAAGGGAGAGAATGATCAAACATGGGAAGCGAGATACACTCATAGAATGGCAGATGTCCTAAACAGCACTCTGGCCTCAGAATCAGCCCTTAAGGCATGCGGATCTGGCTGAAATGCCCATGAGAGTATTTCAGGCATGGAAAGCCAAGACACTCTGGCAAAAAAAAAAAAAAAACCCTAAATGAAAGATCTCCGCAAGTGAGATCCCAGTGGAAAGAACAGGTCATCAAAGAAGGAAGTACCTTTCTCTGAAGGGAGGAGAGAACTTCCATTTTGACTACAACCTTGTCTAAATATGATCAGAGCTGATGAACTCAAAAGGCCTCCATAGCCTTGGCAACTCATGACAAGAGCCTAGGGTGATTACTGATGCCATAAACAAGAGTGTCAATTTGTTAAGTCAACAACAGGAGTCACTGTGCACTTACTCCTCATGTAGGATCTCTGTCCTTAATGTGCTGTACATTGTGATTTAATGCTATAACCAGTACTCAAACAGTATTTTTCACTTTGTGTTTCTATGTGGGTGCAAACTGTTGAAATCTTTACTTAATGTATGCTAAACTGATCTTCTGTATATAAAGAGAATTGAAAATGAATCTTGATGTGAATGGAAGGGGAGAGGGAGTGGGAAAGGGGAGGGTTGCGGGTGGGAGGGAAGTTATGGGCGGGGGGAAGCCATTGTAATCCATAAGCTGTACTTTGGAAATTTATATTCATTAAATAAAAGTTAAAAATTAAATTAAATTAAATTAGACTTGGAAAAAAAAAAAGAAAACCACGTTTTCCCACCTTTCTTCCACGTGGCAGAGATGTGAGTACCACGCTCCCTGTCCCCTCTATCCCAGGATAGAGAGAGAGGTCCTGCACTCCATTTGCCTACTTCCTCTCCTGGAGTCACCAGCCAACCACATCACTCCTTATCACAGGAGGAGTGAGAGGAGCAGAGAAAAGATCCTGGGTCCCTCATGTGAAGCAGCAGCACCTGTACCCCATTACCTGCATTAGCAGGAAGCTGGAGACAGGAGCCAGAGCTGGGAATTGAACATGGCCATTCCAAGTATGGGATGTGGGTGTCCCAACCAGGCTCCTGACCTCTAGGCCAAATGTTAGCACCTTATTTTTTCTTTTTTTTTATATTCATTTATTTATTTGAAAGGCAGAATTAGAGAGAGAGAGAGAGAGAGAGAGAGAAAGAGAAAGAAAGATCTTCTATCCACTGATTCACTCCCCGCATGGCCACAACAGCCGAGGCTGGGCCAGGCTGAAGCCAGGAGCCCAGGAGTTTTATCAAGATCTCCCATGTGGGTGCAGGGGTCCAAGGACTTGGGTCATCTTCCACTGCTTTTCCAGGCACATTAGCAGAGAGCTGCATTGGAAGTGGAGCAGCCGGGACTTGAACTGGTGCCCATATGGGATGCCTGTGCCACAGGTGGCAGCTTTACCTGCTATGCCACGATGCTGCCTCCCTTATTAAGTGTTTAACTCAGTAGGCCTAGAGCTATGAGGGTATCCTCAAGGAAGGAGATGAATGGTAAAGCTCTGGAACACTAATTAAATTTCTCCCACGACTTTCCTTAAGACTAAAAATTACCCTCCATTCTCATCTACCTCAAATTATATGTAACCATGTTGTCCAGGGTGGTCCATCAGAGATTTTGTGATGAGATTAAATAACATGGAAAACATCCCTAGATGAAATGCCAAGAACTAGAGAAGTTCTAAGTTTGAGTACCAACATCCTCTTATTGTAAACTTACTTGAGAGAAATTACAATCCAAAAATCAAAGTTCAGAAAGTCAAATTAACTTGCCTCTGTGAATTAAGGTTCAAGAAATATGAAGTCCAAAACTCCTCCTCACGTCTTTCTTCCATTTCAGCTGGAGAGTTCAACAGCTGTGTCTTGGGTCAATGCTCCTTACACTTGAGTGGACCTCAGATCACCTGGAGAGTTTGTTAGCTCAGACCCCTAGCCTCACTCCCTGAGTCTGATTAAGCAGATCTGGGTTGGACCAGAGCATGGGCATTGATAAGCATCACCCAAGGTGACCCTGCTAAAGTGTGGACGACACTCTGAGTAGCAGTACTTGGCCTGAGCCGTCTCTCTTTGGAATTGGAGTAATCTCTTCAAGTCCCTGAGCCTACAGCTCCACGTGTCTGATCTCCCTTGCTTCTTAAAATGGTAGATGGTAGCTGTCTGAGTCCATTTTCTGTTGCCGTAACTGAGTCCCACAGACTGGGGACCTTAAAAATAACAGAGCTCTATTCAGCTCACCAACTAGAGGTTATAATTCCAAGAGCGCGGCACTGGCAGCTACCTGGCAGTCTGGTCAGGGTCTTCTTGCTGCATAACACAGTGTGGGGAGATCACATGGCCAGACAAGGCACACATGCCAGAGAGCGCTCACGAGAACCACTCCCCTAGATAACTCGTTACTCCAGTGGTCAATTGATCCATGTATAGGTTAATCCATTCAGGAGGGCAGAGCACTCTGACCCAATCTTCTCCCAGTGGTCCTGCCTCCAAACAGCATGAGCGTATGAATTTGGGGATCAAGTTTCTTACATGTAAAATTTAGGGAATGCATTCCAAGCGTAGCAGTAGCTAGTGTTACCTGGGTGTTCCCAAAGATTCTATTCCTCTCAAACCATCAAAATTCTACCTTCTTTTGCTGCATGTCCCTGAATTTCTTGCTGTTTGGGGGATTGTGGAGTAAGTGGGGTAAGCGGGAGGCAGACTTTCAGAAGCCCCAGCACTGGAAGCAACACATCCAGAGAGAGTCATTACAGAAAATGAGCCCATTCCGGGAGTGGTACTGATTTTTCTTGTCCCTCTGTGCAGGTATGGCAGACTTCAGGAATGGGACAACTTCTATGTATTTTCTAACAGAGCTAAAACTCTAGTGTCAAGAAGAACCCCGACGATTCTTTACTATGACGGCGTATCTAGGTACATGGAGGGCCAAGTTCTCCAACTTCAAAAGCAAATTGAAGAACAATCTGAGACTGCCCAGGACAGTGGAGTTGAGCTACTCAAGGTGAGGTTGTTCTCCGGCTTCAGGCATAACGTCTCTCCTTAAAGGGATTTCTGTCTGCCTCTTGTGCTAGTTTTTTCTGACTATAGAATCTATACATGTGTTAGGCTATCGTAGAACTTTATTCAAAAAGATGTTCTTTGCCCTCTTACATGTGATTTAATTTATTCCAAGTTTTCTCTTTTTCTCTCCAAATGCCATATGATTGCGCATCATTATCAGTTTTATTTATTTATTTGAAAGGCAGAGTGACAGAAAGAGAGGAGAGACACAGAGAGAACTTCCATCTTCTGGTTCACTCCCCAAATGGCTGCAAAGGCTGGGGCGGGGCCAGGCCAAAGCCAGCAGCCTGGAACTCTATCGGGTATATCAAATGGGTCATAGGAGACCAAGCACTTGGACCATCTCTGATACTTTCCCAGGCGCAACAGCAGGGAGTTGGGTTGGAAGCAGAGCTTCCTATGGGAGGCTAGCATCGCAGTGGGCCATTTGGCAAGTGAACCAGAGGATGGAAAATCTCTTTCTCTCTGTCACTCTACTTTTCAAGTGAAGAAATCTTTAAACAATGATATGGCTAGATGCTCTTTTTTAGGCATTTATCCTGTTTGATGTTCTCTGAGCTTCTGGATCTGTGATTTGGTCTTTGGTTTTAATTTGGTTATTATTAGTTAATATTATTGGTTATTAATTTGATTATTATTTTATTTTATTACTATTTTAACTACTTATTTGTTTGTCTTTTTCTTCTCCTTCTGCTATTCCCATTATGCATATGTTACACCATTTGTAGTTGTCCCACAGTCCTTGGATATTTTGTTCTGCTTTTTTTTTTCAGTCTTTCTTTTCTTTGGTTTTCTTTCTACTAATATAGCCTCAAGCTCAGACTCGCATCTGTGTCCAATCTACTAATATGCCCAGCAAAGGCCTTCTTTATTTCTCTGACAGTGCTTTGATTTTTTTAGAGATTTATTTATTTATTTGAAAGGCAGAGTTACAGAGAGCGAGAAGGAGAGACACACAGAAAGAGAGGTCTTCCATCTGCTGGTTCACTCCACAAATGGCTGCAACAGCCAGAGCTGGGCCAGGCCAAAGCCAGGAGCCAGGAGCTACATCCAGGTCTCCCAAGAAGGCGCAGGGGACCAAGCACTTAGACCATCTTCAGCTGCTTTCCCAGCAGCATTGGCAGGGAGCTGGATCGGAAGTGGAGCAGCTGGCACTCAAACCTGCTCCCATATGGGATGCTGGCATGCTGGCATTGCAGGGGGTGGTTTCACCGTTACGCCACACTGCCAGCTCCCATCTTAACGGTGTTTCCAATCTCTAGCATTTCTTTTTTATTCTTTCTTCGGATTTTCATCACTCTGCCTATATTGCCCTTACCTGCTCTCGACTTTATCCATTAGAACACTTAGCATATTCATCACAGTTGCTTTAGAATCTGGTCTGTTTTTAATTCCAAGTCTCCCTGCCATGTCCGGTCCTGATGCTTGCCCCATCTCTTCCAGCTGTGCTTTTTCCCTTTTAATACACTTGGTAATTTTTTCTTATAGGTTGGACCAGGTCACAGGGACTTGTGCAAATAAGTCTTCAGCAATGTGGCGATAAGGTGTGGAGGCAGGAAGCCTTCCAGAGTTCAGGGTTAGGTTTGAGCAAAACTCCAAAGTGAGCCTGTGGGTTTGGACCAGCGCTTTTCAGTTCCTCCTCCTCTAGCTGGTTCCCCTCGGCCACTTTTCCCTTCCCAAGTGGGTTAGGCGCTGGTTAAATAGTTTCTCCCCTGTGCAAACCTGGTTCACAAGAACGGAGTAATTTGGGTATTTCAAATTGTTCCTCTCCCCTTCTTCTGCTGGAAACATAGGGGATTTTTCTCTAGGATTGACTGTGAGAATCTAGTCAAAATCCTGGACATAAAACTCACAAGTGTGGGCCCTCTGGAGGCTTTTCATTTATTTTACTTTTCATCCTTTATTATTATTATTATTATTACGGTCAAATGCCTGTAACCTAAAATGTGCCATGTTAACCATTTGAAGTGCACAGTTCAGTGGCATTCGTGCATTCATAACGTGAGCTTCCATCACCCCCGTCCATTTCTCCAGCTCTTTCCATCTTGTGCACCTGACACTGTTCTCTTTAAGTGTGGCTGGGTGGTTTGTGGTGTTGTTTAAGTCCTCTGCTCCCTTGCTTATCTCTGTCTGGCTGTTCTGCTCATTCTTGAGAGTCTGCCGTGTTGGTGTAGAGTTGCCTGTTTCCATCTCCAGTTCCATCCGTCTCTGCATCGTGCCCTTTCATGCGTTTGTCATTAGCTGCGCACGTTTATAACTGTTCTGTCTTCTTGCTCTAGTGACTCTCACTAATTCATAATGCCCTTCCTCGTCTCTTATCACCATTTTTGATGTAAAGTTTATTTTGTCTGATATTACAGTGTCTAATAATGTGTTAGGTCTGGAAGTCTTATTTTCCTCCTTCCCCAAGGATTGCTTTTTTGTTGTTGTTGCTATTGTTTTTTGCTTGCTTTGGTTTTTTAAAATTGTCTTAGGCTGTGTGCCAAGGATTGGCTTGAGGTATAAATTTAAGATCTTCCCAGGTCTTTCCTGAGTCCTTGCCTTTCCCTGGCCACGTGCAGTCACTTTCTAACTTTTCCCATAGAATGTCCTAGTCTTTAATGTCTGAATCTCAAAGGGACATTGGCTCTTTGAACTCCTTGGAATCCCTTTGACCAGAGTGGGTGGGACTTCAACCGTGGAGGCAGATACAACAACAATGGCTGTTTGTCTATACACCTTTTTGTTTCTTTTTTTTTTTTAATATTTATTTATTTATTTGAAAGGCAGAGGCAGGGAGAGAGAGGTCTTCCATCCACTGGTTCATTCCCCAATTGCCTGCAATGGCCAGAGCTCCCCTGATCTGAAGTCAGGAGCCCGGAGCTTTTCCAGAACCCCCAAGCAGGTGCAGGGGTCCAAGGATTTGGGTCACCTTCCACTACTTTCTCAGGCCATAGCAGAGACCTGGATGGGAAGTGGAGCAGCCAGGACTCGAACTGGCGCGGCTTTGCCTGCTACGCCACAGCGCCAGCCCCAAGCAATTTACTGAGTATAGCTCAGGTTTCCCTACGCTGGCACAGGTTTCTCCTGGTGAGTGCCAGCTGTGTGAAGCTGTGATTCCCAGTACTCAGCTGACTCCCTCCAGTCTCTGAGGCAGCAATTTGGCCTCCATCCTCGCCTCTCTTTCAGAACCAAGAAGAGTTGTTGGTTTCTCTGTCTGTTCAGCTTTTTCACTTGTTGCTAGGACCAAGCACTGACTTCCAAGCTCCTTGTATATGGAGCTGGCCAATTTTTTTTTTTTTTTTTGAAAGTCAAATTAACAAGGAGGGAAGGAGGGAGGGAGAGAGAGCAAGCTTCCATCCCCTTTTCACTGTCCAAACGCCTGCAACAACCAGGGCTCCGCCAGGCCAAAGCAGGAGCCAGGAACTCCATCCAGGTCTCCAGGAGGGTGACAGAAACCCAGGTTCTCAGCCCATCTGCTGCCGCCTCCTAGGTGCGTTAGCAGGGAGCTGGATCCGAGGCATGGAGTAGCCAGGACTAGAACCAGGCCCTCTTATGTGGATTGGGGGTCTCCTAAACAGAAGCTCTTTTTAATTTTTTTAAAGATTTATTTTATTTATTTGAAAGTCAGAGTTACACAGAGAGAGAAGGAAAGGCAGAGAGAGAGAGAGAGAGGTCTTCCATCTGCTGGTTCTCTCTCTCTAATTGTGCAGCTGGAGCTGTGCTTCTCCAAAGTCAGGAGCCAGGAGCTTCTTCTGGGTCTCCCATGCGGGTGCAGGGGCCCAAGGACTTGGGCCATCTCCCACTGCTTTCCCAGGCCACAGCAGAGAGCTGGGTCACAAGTGAAGCAGCCGGGTCTTGAACTGGTGCCCATATGGGATGCTGGCACTGCAGGCGGCGGCTTTCCCTGCTGCGCCACAGCGCTGGACCCAGCAGCAGCTCTTAACCTGCGGCATCACGACACCCACTGCAGGAACTCATTAATTTTTCTCCTGAATTTTCAACAATTAACTTGTATTGCTTTGATCAGCAAAAGAAAATGTGTTGTTGTTTTAAGTTCTGGCAGAGAAATATTGGTGTGCCCTTCTTCTATCACATTCCCCCGTCCGATGGGCCTTGGGGGCCACTGCACTCCACCGACACTTACCATCTGACCCCCAGTATTCATATCTCTGTAATACACTCCTCGGTTGACTCTTACCCTTGGAATGTCCCCAAGCCCCCCGTGGAGGAACAACGTGGCAGCCGAGGACCCTTTTCTGATTCTGATCATGTTCCTGGTGCTTTTGTTTTTAACCCTAGAGCCTGGAGAGTCTGGTGGCTCAAAATACTACTGGCCCCGTCTTCTACCCAAGGCTCTACCACCTGATGGCCTACATCTGTATACTCATGGGAGACGGGCAGAACTGTGACCTCTTCCTGAACACAGCCCTGAAGCTCTCTGAAATACAGGGGAACGTGCTAGAGAAATGCTGGCTGAACATGAGCAAGGTGGGTACCATCCCTGGGCAAGCCGGGGCGGGGGGGACACTCACCCTTCCAGGAAACCCCAGACGCCTGCTTCCACTTGGGAGGTCCTTGTCTTAGTCCATTTGGGCTAAAAATATCTTACATTGGGTCATTTGTAAACAACGGAGAGTTGCTGCTTTCAGTTTTGGAAGCTGCTAGCCAGTCCAAGATCAAGGTGCTAAGAGTTCAATGTCTGGCGAGAGCCTGTTTCTCTTTGGTGGTGCCTCTTGCTGCACTATCATGTGGTGCAGTGGTGGGGGGAGGGGGGGGAGACTCACTCCCTTAAATGCTTGTGTTTGTTTATTTATAAAGTGATAGTGCTCTTACCTGGAGAGTCTATTGCTTGCTCTCTCTCTCTCTCTCTTTTTTTTTTTTTTGCAAGATTTATTTATTTGAAAGGCAGAGTAAGGGAGGGGGTGGGGTGGGTGGGGGTGAGGAGAAACAGATCTTCCATTTGCTGGTTCACTCCCCAAAGGGCTTCAATGGCCAGGGCTGGGCCAGGCTGAAGCCAGGAGCCAGGAACTCTATCCTGGTCTCCCATGTCAATGGCAGGAATTCAAGCACTTGGGCCATTCTCCACTGCTTCCCAGACACTTTAGCAAGGGGCTAGATCAGAACTGGAAGTGCCTGGACCTGAACCCGTGCTTCAACATGGGATGCAGCAGCCCAACCCAGCTGCACCACAACGCCCATCCTGTTAACATCTATTTTAAAAAATGAACGTATACATTTGAAGTGCAGAAGTAGAGATAGAGACAGAGACTTGGAGAAAAAGAAAGAGCTCCCACCACCGGTTCACTCCCCAAATGCTCTCAACGGCTGGGGCTGGGCCAGGCTGATGCTCAGAATCAGGAACTCAATCCAGCACTCCCACATAGGTGGCAGGGACACAAGTACTTGGGACATCGCCTGCTGCCTGCACATTAGTAGGAAACTGGAACTGAGCTGGGATCCAAACCCAGCTTAAGACAGCTTTTTAACAGCCAAGCCAAACACTCGCTGCAAGCCCTTTTAAAAAAATACTAGTCCCATTTATGTATTAAGTTTTTAAGATTGATTTTATTTGTTTGAAAGCAGAGTTTCAGAGAGAGAGGAAGAGAGAGAGAGAGAGAGAGAGAGAGAGATCTTCCATCCACTGGTTCACTCCCCAAATGGCCGCAATGGCTAGAGCTGGGCCAGGCTGAAGCCAGGAGCTTGGAATTCTGTCTGGGACTCCCACATGGGTACCAAGGGCCCCAGGACTTGGGCCATCCTCCACTGCTTTCCCAGGTGCATTAGCAGGGAGCTGGATGGGAAGCAGAGCAGCCCCAGGACTTGAACCAGCGCCCAGATGGGGATGCCCTGTGTCACAGGTGACTGCTTAAGTTGCAGACCACAACACTGGCCCCACGCAGCCCACTCCTGACCTAATCATCACCCGAAGGCCCCCACCTCTTCACGCCATCGCCATAGGCATCAAATCCCTACATAAATCAAATCCCTATAAATCCCTACTCACATTCAACACAGGTCTTTCTGTGCCAGCCCCTGTGGTTCATGTTTGTAAGCCTCCCCTGCAGACCCTGTAAGTTCTGGACTCTCCCCCTGATCCAACCCCCTTTAGCACACTCTCTGCCCCTCTCGTGTGGACTTACCACTGGGTGCCACATTTATCCACAAGTCTCCCCTCCAGCATTTACATCTCAAAGGCCAAAACCGTGCTGAGGACCCAGCACAGCACCTTACTGTCAGTACTTGTTGAGTTAGAGAACGAGTGTGCTATAACACGTGTTTAGTTAAGGAGGCTTATGTCGGTATCCTAGTTTGGGAAGCAAAATTCGTTTTTGTCCCTGGGTTCACCTGGTTTTAAAAGCATCCAAGGATGGGGCGGTGTTTTTACAGAGGGTTAAGCCACTGCCTGGAACGCCAGCATCCCATATGGGCGCCAGTTCAAGTCCCGGCTCCTCCTCTTCCCATCCAGCTCCCTGCTAATGCAGCTTGGAAAACAGTGCAGCATGGTCCAAGTGCTTGAGCCCCTGCACCCACTGGGAGACCAGGAAGAAGCTCCTGGCCCTGGCTCCTGCCATTTAGAGAGTGAACCAGCAGATGGAAGCACACACTCTCTCTCTCTTTCTCTCTCTCTCTTTCTCTCCCTCTGTCTCCATATCTCTGCCTTTTAAATAAATAAATCTTTTTTTTTTTTTAAGCATCTGAGGATGGGCCAGTGTTGTGGCACATAGGTTCAGCCACTGTTTCCTATGTTGGTGTCCTATATGAGGTCCTGGCTAAGCTGCTTCTGCTTAGCTTCCTGTTAATGTGCACCCTGGGAGGCAGCAGATGGTGGCTCAGGTCCTTGGGCCCCTGCTACCCATGGGAGACCAGGATGGAGTTCCTGGCTCCCAGCTTTCCTGTTGCAGCCATTTAGGGAGTGAACCAGCAGAGGGAAGCGCTCTCTCTCTCTCTCTCTTTCTCTCTCTCTCTCTCTCACTCGCTCTGCCTTTCAAATAAACAACTCTTAAATAGAAAGCTCCAGGGCCATTTAGCCATTTGTGGCATCAGGCCAGTGCTGGCCCCCGAGGCCAGGGAGCGCCAGCTGGTCCTTCGTTCTCTTCCCCTCTCAGGAATGGTGGTACTCAAACTGTACGCTAACAGAAGACCAGTGGCTGCATACGATCCTGAGTCTCCCGGCGTGGGAAAAAATTGTATCCGGCAAGGTGAACATCCACGACGTTCAGAAAAACAAATTTCTCATGCGAGTTAACATCCTGGACAACCCCTTCTAACGTGCTGGGGGGGAAAAAGAGCAAAGATGTTAACGAGATCCATGCCCTTGCAATGTTCTGTTTTTGATCCTTCTCTGTAGCCAGCACCCTCCGGGTTCTTTTTTTCCACACTCTCTTCTCTTGCAGACACGGAGCCGGGGAAGTTGGCTGCTTCTTCCTTGGAGAGACAGAGAGGGTGGCCAGTGTTATGCTTTGCTTCCTCTAACATTGCCTTTCCTTTCTGTCTTTTGTTTAAAGCCCTGACCTGTGTATTTCAGCCCATGCAAAACTGTACCATATAGGAAGACGGTGCGACACCTTGTGTTGCGACAGACCCGTGTCTGGTTAATGTATTAAACTGCAAGTGTTTTATTTTTAAATGTTCAGTTGTTAAATCTTTTGGAGGAAGCATGCCATCATAAGTAGCCAGCTCTGGGCATGGTCTACAAAGACACATTCCTGTAGAGCCTGCCTGGTTTCCACGGCCACGGTGATACTCCAACATGGGGATACTCCAGTCCATGCACCAAGTATCGGCGGATGGCAGTTGCTTTTCTTAAATTGAAATATTAGGAATTTTGATGTGGCTATCTTGTACATGCTTAGTATATAAAAAATAATAGCAATCATCTTTATTTCCCAGCTGTCAAGGCAAGGCTCTGCATTGTTCATCCTGATGTTGCAAATGAATCCCACAAAGGAGGGTGGACTGACCACATGATACCTCCTGTAAGGTTTGCCACAGAGGCCTGGGGGCCTGGCACAGTGGACAGAGTACCAGGCTATGAATCCCAGATGTTTCTCATTCCCTGACCTCCCTATGTCAGCACATGGTTGTATTGAATAAGATAGTGGAGGTAGAGAGTACAGCATATTGGGGCTGACATTGTGGTATAGAAGGTTAAGCCACCACCTGCGATGCCGCCATCCCATATGGGCACCAGTTCCAGTCCCAGCTGTTCCACTTCAGATCCAGCTCCCTGCTAATGTACCTGAGAAAGCAGTGGAAGATGGCTCAAGTGCTCCTGGTTTTAGCCTGGCCCAGCACTGGCCATTGTGGCCATTTGGGAAGTGAACCAGTGGATAGAAGATCTTTTCTCTCTCTCTCTGCCTATCTAAGAAATAAGAAAAAAGAAAATTATACTGCATCATATATATATAAACACAGACAACTTTTTTTTTTATTTTTATTTATTTTTTTTTGACAGGCAGAGGACAGTGAGAGAGACAGACAGAGAGAAAGGTCTTCCTTTACCGTTGGTTCACTCTCCAATGGCCGCTATGGCCGGCGTGCTGCGGCTGGTGCACCACACTGATCCAAAGCCAGGAGCCAGGTGCTTCTCCTGGTCTCCCAGGCAGTTGCAAGGCCCAAGGACTTGGGCCATCCTCCACTGCACTCCCAGGCCACAGCAGAGAGCTGGACTGGAAGAGGAACAACTGGGACAGAATCCGGCGCCCTGACCGGGACTAGAACCCGGTGTGCTGGCACTGCAGGCGGAGGGTTAGCCTATTGAGCCATGGTGCCAGCCTCAGACACCTAATTTTTAAAATAAATGCATCAAGGGGCCAGCGCTGTGGTGTAATGGGTAAAACCACCTCCTGCAGTACAGGCATCCTATATGGGTGCTGGTTCAAATCCCAGCTGCTTTGGTTCCCATCCAGCTCCCTGCTATGGCCTGGGGAAGCAGTAGAAGATGGCCCTGCACCTGTGTGGGAGACCTGGAAGAAGCTCCTGGCTCCTGGCTTTGGATCGGCGCAGCTCCAGCCATTGCGGCCAATTGGGGAGTGAATCAGTGGATGGAAGACCTCTCTCTCTTTCTCTCTACCTCTTCATCTCTCTCTGTGTAACTCTGCCTTTCAAATAAATAACACTTAAAAAATGCATCAAATATTAAACTTCAAGAGCTATCTCCTTCAAAGTTGCAATCATGGAAGCTGCGTAGTATCCCATGATGCTCTGTGGAAATCCTTTGCTTTCTAATTGCCTCCGTCACTTTGTATATCACTCATCTAATTTCAACAACAAGTAATCAGCATTTGAGGAATGAACTAGCAAATGGAAGAATGCTCTCTCTCTCTCTCTGCCTTTCAAATAAAAAAAAATGAATTAAAAAATTTTTTAAATGGACACAGAAAAAGATTAGAGGTTGTCAGGGGTTGTGGAGAGGATTGGATGAACAGGTGGAGTACAGGATTTTTAAGGCAGTGAAATTATTGTGTACAACACTGCAATGGCGGACATGGGTCATTTTACATTCATCCAAACCCATAGAAAGGACAACGGCAAGGGTGGGCTTTAATGGAAACTGTGGACTGTGGGTGATGGTAATGTGTTAGGGCAGTTCTTCAGTTGTAGAAACGTCCCGCTGTGGTGGGGGAGGCTAACAATGGGTGAGGATGTGCATGTGCCGGCTCGGGAGGTAGATGGGAATTCTGCACCTTGCACTCAATTTTGCTGTGAACCTAAAAGGGCTCTAAAAAAACAAAGTTCCTTAAAGAAACCCAAACCAGAAACAAGCCTGAAGCCTGTGTGCACCAGCCTGCCCTCCCTGTGGGGAGCAACTCGGACTAGACTAAGTTACTGGAATTAAGACTTATTCTATGCATCTGCTCTCCCACAATATGGCGCTGGGGAGGAGCAAACAACTTCCACGCAGCTGCCTCGCCAATTTGACTGATAAGCTGCAGGAGCTGATCCTGCTCCTGATTGGAGGAGAGCAGCGTACTCGGCGTGTGGGTAGCAGAGTTGGGATTGGTGGAAGAGGACTATAAAGGAGGAGAGAGACAACATGCACCAGGAACATCTAGGGGGAACATCTAGCTGAAGGAACACCTGTGCAGCCCCCGAGAGAGCCGGCCGGCGGTGTGCCGCTCCCCCGCGGAAGTGGGGAAGGTGGCAGGGGGAACCGCCCTTCCACGGAGGTGGAAGGGTCGTAGCCAACCCGGGAAGAACCAGCAGCAAACCCGGGGAGGGCCGAGCAGACAGAAAGAACAGCGCAGGGTCCTGTGTCATTCCTCCACGAAGACGGGGAGCGACATAATGGTGCCGTGACTCGGATATGAAGCCTAGGCAGGGTTTAGTGTCGTTCCTCCATGAAGAGGGGGAGCGACACTCCCTCCACAGAGCATGCTGCTCTGTCCCCCACTCCTGTGCCACCTGCCGCCTCCTCAGCCCCTGTAGCACTGGCACAGTCTGGTTGTCCCTGGTTCTTCTGTTTCTTCAGCACCCTCCCCACCCGTCAGCAGAGCCAGAAAACCCGCGGGATACATCTGGAACACAACCACTGAACACCACCTTCACCATGCCACCTTACACAGAACCGTGGCGGCTGCTCGCTGGGGCTACTGCAACAGACCAACTGACCTACCTGCCTGCTTCCAGTCCTGGCCCTCCCTGGCCTCCTCCCAGCCAGAAAGCCAAGTCTGCCTGCTCCCTGCCTATGTTCCTCCAATCTCTTCCAAGGCACTTATTAGAAGAAGATCAGAGGCCGACGCCGCGGCTCACTAGGCTAATCCTCCACCTTGTGGCGCCGGCACACCGGGTTCTAGTCCCGGTCGGGGTGCCGGATTCTGTCCGGTTGCCCCTCTTCCAGGCCAGCTCTCTGCTGTGGCCCGGGAGTGCAGTGGAGGATGGCCCAAGTGCTTGGGCCCTGCACCCCATGGGAGACCAGGAGAAGCACCTGGCTCCTGGCATCGGATCAGCATGGTGCGCCGGCCGCAGCGCGCCGGCCACGGCAGCCATTGGAGGGTGAACCAATGGCAAAAGGAAGACCTTTCTCTCTGTCTCTCTCTCTCACTGTCCACTCTGCCTGTCAAAAAAAAAAAAAAAAAAAAAAAAGAAGAAGAAGAAGATCAAAATGCCCCACTCCCACTCTGTTGTGCAAGTTCTACCCTTGCCTCCCTTTCGAACTTCATGCCACTCTTCCCCAGCCCTAACGTGCTCTTTCACTCTAACCTGCTGGATGTCCTCAGAAGAGATTAAGTGATAGGCATTCTTTCTTCTCTTACAAAATTCTTTTTAAAAATTTGTTTTCTTTAATATTTATTTATTTATTTGAAAGGCAGTATTACAGAGAGGCAGAGGCAGAAAGAGAGATCTTCCATCTGCTGGTTCACTCCCCAAATGACTGCACCAACCGGAGCTAGGCCAATCTGAAGCCAGGAGCCAGGAGCTTCCTCCGGGTCTCCCAGTGGGTGCTGGGGCCCAAGCACTTGGACCATGCTCTGCTGCTATCCCAGGTACATTAGCAGGGAGCTGGATTGGAAGTGGAGCAGCAGAGACTTGAACCAGCACCGATATGGGATGCTGGCATGTGGGCAGCGGCTTAACCCACAACGCAGTGCTGGCCCATCCTTGGGTGCTTTTAAAACCAGGTGAACCCAGGAACAAAAATAGGTTGCCAGCACTGGAAGCAGTGGCTGAACCTGCTGGTGCATAACACTGACCCATCCTTGGATGCTTTTTAAAAAAGAAAGATTTATTTATTTGAAAGGCAGAGTTACAGAGGTGGGGGAGAGAGAGAGAGAGAGAGAGAGAGAGAGAGAGAGAGAGAGAGAGGTTTTTCCATCCACTGGTTCACTTCCCAAATGGCTGCAAGGGCTGGAGCTAAGCCAATCTGAAACCAGGAGCCAGGAGCTTCTTCCAGGCAGGCCTCTCAATTGTGCAGGGGCCCAAGCACTTGGGCCATCTTTTACTGCTTACCCAGGCCACAGCAGAGAGCTGGATTGGAAGTGGAGCAGCTAGGGCTCGAACCGACGCCCATATGGGATGCCAGCACTGCAGGCAGAGGCTTTACCCACTACGCCATCCGTAGTGCTGGCACCACAAAGTTCTTTTGCCTACTGCCAACTTGGGCTAGGGCAGCCCCGGCCTGGCCCAGGGAGACCAAGTCACCTGAGGATGTTCATTTGGGTCTTGGTGTCTCCTGTTTGCTGCTTACTTCTGCAGGCAAAGCAAAGGGCAGTCCACCTGAAGAGCTCCCCCTGGCTGGGAGTAGGAGAAGGGCGCGTGTTGAGTGAAGGCGGGTGGGTGCCCATTGAGAAGCTAAGCTCAAGTGGTGCCTGTCCCTCATTTATTGGGAGAGGTGTCTGACACTGAGCGTCCCTCAATTATGGGAATGGAGGCCAGGGCTGAGAGGAGCATTCTGCATAGGCTGCTCTGTGCCGCTCTACTCTGGTGCCAGTCCCTGCTGTCAGAGGACACTGGTCAGGACTTCCATGTGAACAACTGGCACCCTAGCACAAGTAGAGCAGGGGCAGCCAGCCTTCTAACACTTGCTCTTCAAAAGCCTCTTTTGCACTTTAGTGACTTGTGAGTGAAAGCAACAAGGGCCTGACAAAGAGACAGGAAGAGGTGGGAAGGGCTGGGCTGTAATGTTTTTGGAGA